AGAAGCGGTCGTTGAAGGATGTGCCAATGGCTGAGCGATGGTGCCTGTGTGGTAAAAGAAACCACAAACCATGGGAATGTCTATATATCAATGAAAAGGAGAGATCGGCCAATTGGAGTGCCGATTCGAGAACTTAAGGAAGGATCAACCAGATGCTCAAGGATCATCCTGATTGGAAGGAGTTTATTGACAAGGAGATTAAGTTAGCCAATCAGTATTATTCAGCTGAAAAATAGGGTGCTGCCCTAGGTACTTGGTCAATGACTACGCTGGCACTGAATTGTCTTAATCAAAGGCCTCACCTTAGGGATGAATGGGTATTTGATACAGCAACTCATCGCCATATCTGTGTGGACCGAGATCTGTTCATTGAGTATACCCCTGATGAATTAGTCGTCAAAACTGGTGACAGTGTCACTCGCACCTTAGGGTATGGAACTGCAGTAATGTCCTGTATTAACCCTAGAACGGGTGCGCGAAGCAGCGTCAAATTGCATAATGCCTGTCATTCACCTACCTTCTAAGCCAACCTAGTCTCGTATGGTTGTGCAAAGGAACGTGGCTGCCAATGGGATGAGATGAACAACTGTATAAGAGATCCGAGAGGCATCCTATTTGCACGTGTAGCCTGGAATGATAATGCGAAACTGTGGCTGTTTGATAAGCCACAGGGTGATGCAACTAATTGACTAGCCGATGGAACTGCCACCTTAGAGAGTGAGTGTGATATCGAGTACGCAATGGCAGTGCGGAAATCGATTGTACCAAGGATCTCTGAGGCATCGTCGGATGTATGGCATCGCAGATTGGGCCATATACATCCAAATGCAGTGAAGAAAACAGCTGAGATGGTAGAAGGAATCAAAATCAAGGACCCTGAGGCTACTGGCATAACTGAGTCCCCGTGCCAGGTGTGTAGTATGTCACACGCACCACGTCAGATATCACAGAGACCGGTAGGTCGTACGTTTGGCAGGTTTGGCCAGCTGTATTACGACCTAATCGAAATGCCAAAGGAGTCATATAATGGCCACCGATATATCACATATTTCTATGTATCAGGCATTCGGTTCCACTGGGTGTATACGCACGCGCGTAAATCAGAGTGTCAAAACGGAATAAGGGCGTTTTTGTATCTGGCCACCCGTTTACTGAAGATACCCCTGATTGGAATTCACTCAGATAACGAGAGATCAGTGATAGCTGATACTGAACGAGAGCTCGAGGGAATAGGCTTTGTGGTGATACATACTGTGGTACATAGCGCTGAGATGAACGGCCCCGGCGAACGCTCAGGGGGTATCGTCATTCATAAGGCCAGAAAGCTGCGTATTGAGGGCCAATTGCCTGAGGGCCTGTGGCCAGAGATGGTATACGCTGCGGTGTATATACTGAACAGGACTCCAACCTATCTAGAGGATAGAAGTTAGATAGTGCCCTGGGATGAAGCACGATCACACCTGGACCAGAACTTTGTGAGAAAGTCAGACCTGTCATGTCTGAGATTGTATGGCAGTCTTACCTATTGCCGGATACCGAATATTCCCCGTTCTCACAAACTTCGCCCTCGTGCGGAAGTTGGTTTCTTGGTTGGTTATCAGGCTTCGAATGTGTGGCGAGTTTAGATGCCCTCGTCGGGTAGGATTCAAACCGTACGCAACGCAGTATTCGATGAATCGTGTCGCTGGCACCCTGGCATACAGTTTTGGAGGGAGCACCCACTACCGATCCCAGAAACCCGTGATATCCTCAACGACCGTGAGGAATGGTGCGTTATTCACCACGAAATAGGTCTCCCTGACGACTGGATTGAGAGACGAATCGGACATGAATCTGAGGCCGAATAATCGAATCCAGCACCTACTGATGCTGAGAGCGTTAGTAGAGAGCCTGAAATTGAGGATAGCAGTGAAGATGACCCTGAGGAAGTAGCTGATCGTGAAGCGACACCTGTACCTACTCATCTTGAGGCTGTACAACAGTATACTCCGCCACCTACTATTGAAAGACCATCTCAACAGTCTCCGCTGGGACATCGTTTTCCGGCCGGAAAACCTGCTACAGAGACTGAGGGGGTGAACAAAGAAACGACTTCGAATTCTATAGGAAACGAAGATCAGCAGGATGACCAGCCTCAGCAGCAGCAGAATGAGTTGTTTGAACCGGAGCCTCTATCTGAGAGTGAAGCTTAATTATACGAAGAACTGGCTACGCCGTTGCCGGCTGTAGCACCTCGAGACATTGATCTGTCGTTGAGCCCTTCCAATATTATTGAGGGTAAGCGCGAGCGTAGGTCAATACGGCGAGATGACTATACATATCTGGTTACCGAGGACGAACTGTCGGTCGAACCACCTGAGTTGTTATATGCATTCGCTACTGCGTTGAACGCTGAGAAACCGAGTCGTTACCGAGACGACCTGCTATCAGCACCTGAGCACTGGAATGATATGGTCCGATACTCTAACCGTGACGCATTCATGGCAGCAGCCGCCCTGGAGGTTCGGAACTTGAAAAGCAAAGGCACGTTTGAAGTGGTTGATCGTCCGAATGATCGATCTGTTCAGGTCTTGCCACTACGTTGGGTCTTTAACTATAAGTTTGACCAGGATGGCAACCTATTGAAACACAAAGCTTGTCTATGTGTGAGAGGTGACCTTGAGAGAGTAACTTCAGAGGAGAAGCGTGCTGCTACCCTCTCTGCCCGTACGGCACGGATTATCTTCGGTTTAGTTGCTGCGTTTGACTGGGATCTAAGGCAATTTGATGCAGTAAATGCCTTCCTGAACAGTACACTACCGAAGCCGGTGTATGTGAAGCCACTGGATGGATCAAACCTGCCGAAAGCAGTATGCTGGAAGCTTGTGAAGGCACTGTATGGCCTAAGGACCTCGCCAAAGCTTTGGCAGCAGGAGGCCTGTGGCGTGTTAGGTAAGCTTGGTTTGACACCACTACCTGAGGATCCTTGTGTGTTCGTTGGTAAGGGAATTATTGTATTCTTCTACGTGGATGATATTATTCTGGCTAGCGCACCTGATCAACGAGATCGCGCCTATGAGATCGAGCGACAGCTCCACACACACTGGGAGCTTACAGATCATGGAGATGTCCGCTGGTTTCTGGGTATTCGGATCATACGCGATCGATCAATGAAGAAGCTGTGGTTGTGTCAGGATGCCTATATTGCGAATATGGCGGTTAAATTCAACCTTGCGAATAAGCCCCGGGTGACGACGCCAATGACAGCACCTGATAGCCTAAAGCCTTACGACGGTACACTGCGCAGAGAGTATATTGAAGAGTTCTCGACCAAATTGGGATCAGCTCAGTATGCTACTACAATCACCCGCGTTGATGCCGCGAAAGCCACTGCTCGATTGGCACAGTTCTTGACCAATCCGGGACCTCAGCATATTGATGCTATTGATCGAGTGATCACCTACCTATATCATACACGATTTTGGGCAATTGCATATGGAATTGGTAGTGGGTTGGAATCTATTGCATTCGCAAGCGATGCCTTATTCGCAGATAACCTCGACAAGACGAGCTCTGCTGGATATCTATGTCAGATATATGGAGGACCAGTTGACTGGAAGGCGTCAAAGCTACGCACTGTCACTACCTCAACCACTGAAGCAGAGCTGCTTGCTCTATCGGAGGCCGCTCGGGCGATGCAATATACGATTCGCCTTCTACGCCACCTTGGTTTCCGACCAAACCATGAGATTACACTACGGTGTGACAATAGACAAACTGTCGATCTGATCACCAGCACCAACACTAAACTGCATACGAAGCTCAAGCACATCGATATACACAACCACTGGCTTCGATAAGAAGTGGCAGACGGTAGGTTGACGATCAGATGGGTGCCCACCGCAGAGATGGCTGCGGATGGCCTCACTAAGCCGCTCACACGGCAAAACCACGAACGATTTGTCCAAATGCTTCGATTACATGATGTTCGAAGATATATTGAGGACTGAGGCAGCCGTTCCTGCCTATTTGGGACCTTCAACGGTCTACATCGATTGGATACAGCATTCAACACGCTGATATTGGAAACCTCAGGTGCTTTGAATACTGAGGGGTGTGTCGGTATGAGTGGGGAATTGGTATTGTAAGGCATGGTCAGAATGTATCATTGTAACTTAGCCAAGAGTCTTAGTCATGGTCGGTCGCATACAAATTAGTATGTGAGCGAACATAACAAAAATTAGACAACTACCCATGGACCTGATTGGACGTACATTTCTGTTCCGACACATACACGCTAAGCCTAGAACGTGGACCCACATGGCGCATCTGGGTTCCCCTGAACGCGAAGAAGCTAACTTTCTTTTGCTTCCTCGCGTTACGTCTTGTATCTAGAGTCGACTATATCTTTTGTTAATATGATTTATCAATGAAAAGACACGCTCCTCATCAAGAGATACGTGATACCCTCACATACCCTCACACCCACCATCATTGCATAGTTTGTCAGCAAGATCCACATCGGATTCCCGTGAGCTAAGTGGGTATGTCAAGTAGGGTACCGCTGCAAAGAGGTATAAGCCAATCGGAGCCATGAACTCCCTTTAGCCTTGATGAATTCTCGAGAATCCTAAAAAAATGCGGTATGAATTGCAAGAATCTGCGAAACTGAGTATGCTTGCAAAGTGAGCAGACTGTTTCATTTTTTGTAAGGCATGAATTCTCAATTTCATTTCATCCTTGCCTTTTTCTCATCTACACTAACCTCAAAAATAAGGGAGGATAGTTTTAAATATGCTGCCTCGCGTTCTTTGAGTGCGCAATACATTGAAGCAAAATCCAACTGCAATTTGATAGGGCACGTTTTTGTCTAGTCCTGACCCCAAAGACTCAAATAGGTTACGAAAGCTTCTAGGTTTCGTCTTTAAAAGGGCACTTTCTTCGTTTCACCGCACTGTGATTTTGCAGACAAATTTTTCCTGATTTTGTGGGAGCTTTCTTCCAAGTACCAGACCGATATCATGGGAAGGGTTTTGAACATCTTTACAAGATTTCGCAGAAAGCCCCGTACCAAAAAGTTCGAACTCAACCACGTACCATTGTGCACGCCTCAGTCCGCTCTTGACAAGAAGATCTTTTATCCCAACTGGAAGCCTAGGCCCGAATGGAGACGTCGAAGAGGCCTTGACTTTGTTGGGAACCCTTGCTGGATATTCACGAGCCCAGATGACCCAGATCTCCACTTCGACGAGATGCAACTGAAGCTCTACCGAAACCTCTCCTTTCGTCCGGTCTTCGAAAATTTACAACTCACCTACGAGCACACCAAAGACCCTCCGCTTGAATGCATCACCAGTCCGGCTGCTTTGGAAACCGCAAAACCGTATTGCATCGGCGAATATTGTTAGTCGATGCCATATCCTGGATCGAAGCCATCGTGTCTCAGTGGACGTGTATTCTAGGCTCTTGGAAAGATGAAGTCATTGTGGAGGATAGCTGGGACCTTAAGCTTCAGTGCATCTAATTGAACTTTCTTCCTTTACGAATCTGTGACTCGGATTATCACAATACATTTTTTATAGATTGATTTATATTATGTGTTAAAATTGGACTGGATTACGATTAAAACTTGTAGTGTATGGATTGTTAGAATACCAAAATCGTGCACCCTAATTCGTAACTCTTCAGAAATATGAGTGGTCAGGCTACCGTCGCTAGAAAAACTAGTACTGTTCAAATATGTCCGTAAGTATCTGAAGATAGACGCGAATCAATCGAATGAACCTTCAAACACATAATAGTTTTTTATTTCTAAATATAGCCCAGCAGTGTCTATACACGCAGGCGCGCTCAATCTATTTACACCAGGCTGTGCAGCCGAAAGGGCAAGTAGCACTAATCAATTGTACCTACATGCCCCTAATATATGCCGTGTCTGCTCAGAGCCCATTCATATTTGATTTTCGTATATGCCATCTCAGCTACCAAGATTGCGATGGGTTCTCGTAGGTTAGTCATTGCTAGCTGGCTGGCATGACGGCGTCTCTTCAAGTGCTCAAAATCCTACTTTCGGCAGTTACAGCGCATCTTCCCATTATGGCACAAGTATATAAGAGGGAGCTATCTGAAGGGATGGGTTCATCTGTGTTAGTCGACATGGCTAGGTGGCGTCATGCCAGCCCGTGGCGATTGCAAACCGTATTGAGGCTCGCACTGCTTCTAGATTGGGGGTTTTTATTTGGTCACCTGATGGGGATTTTATGCCCAGAAAGAAAGATATATCGCTATGGTGGGTATAGGTACATTGCAGCATTGTCGTCTGGTGTGCGGCCCTCATCTGGTATCGCAAGTGAAAGTGCTCTACGGTCTGTTCTTTTTTGCAAAATTGGCTGTTTTGTTTATAAAAAGCCAATAAAATTTCTTTCAGCGTCACAAGAAACCGCCTTTATCTTTTCAGGCGACTCATGTCTGATCATTATGTTGATAACAAACATTCCTTTTTTGACGGGGCTTTACCTCAAGGAAAAAAGGGCTCTTAATACTCGATTTACTTTTTTTCCCTTGTGTCTTTCTGAGGTGTTGAGATTGAAGTTTCATGATATTCTATCAATTTTATTAGCTCTAATATACACTGATATCCATCCTACAAATCCTTTTTATTTTTCATTTTCAATTTATTCATATACATTTTGATTCCTCTGAGACGGGTTAGGGTAGAATAAGTTTGAAGAAGAGTTCCAACCAAATTTTGAAAGCCACTTGAACGATGCATTCCAAATTAGCTACTTTGTTAGCTGCAATGATAGAGGCTTCCATTGTGGGAGCTCACCTAGTCATGGTCGACCCCGTCCCTTACAATTCAAACCCTTCAAATAATTCTCCTCTTGACGCATCTGGAAGCAACTTCCCCTGCAAGATCACGGGTGATTATTCTGTCATTGAGGAGAACCATATGGTAAAGGGTGAGAGCCAGTCCTTGATCTTCCACGGGGGTACTACTCACGGTGGTGGCTCTTGCCAAATCAGTATTACTTCGGATCGGCCCCCCCGCAAAGATACTACATGGAGCGTCATTAAGTCAATTGAGGGTGGGTGTATGGATGCGACTGAGAGTGACGTCAGCATGGGGAACAGTCCAACGATGGCCACTCCTTTCTCACTCAACTTCAGCATCCCTGACAGCTTCAAAACGGGTCAGTATACAATTGCCTGGACGTGGTTCAACCGTATTGGTAATCGCGAGATGTACATGAACTGTGCCCCCATAACCATCACCGAGAGTAGCTCCTCCTCGAAGGGATCCGGATCCGCTGAAATCGAGGAAACCTCCCTAGAAGACCTCCCTCCCCTATTCATTGCCAACATCAATGGTTGCTTGACCAGGGAGCTGTACGATATTCGTTTTCCCAACCCAGGCAATACTATTGAGTATCTTGGACCTGAAGAAAGACTTATTGGACTTGACGACAACGTTTGCTTCACCGGTTCCGCTGCCTGGGGAAAGGAAGGCTATAGTGCTACTGGGGACTCTGTGCTTTCAGCTAAAGTCTCCGGCTCGAACAAGTTTTCCGCCATAACTGCCGATGATAAACCTTCCACTACGGCTGGTAGTACTTCAGAGTCCTCAGCCAGCGGGTCACTTTCCGCGAATGTGGCGAACTACATCACCAAATGTGCGGGCTCTATCAAGAGCGCTCCGATAACCTTAACCTCCGCCAATTCCGTGGTCAACTCTACGGTCGACAATTCCAATAGCTCTATTTCCGCCTCCAGCTCCAGCTCCAGTACGTTCGCGGGGTCATGTCTCGAAGAAGGGATCTGGAACTGCATAGGAGGCACTTTTTGGCAGCGCTGTGCTGGAGGCATCTGGACATCTAAACAGTCAATGCCCGACGGCACGGTGTGTACGTCCGGTCTAAGCCAAAACTTTATCATCAAGACTGCGTCTTCCAAGTCCCAAAAAAACGAGCATTACAAGAATCATAGACACGGTGCCCGAGGGCACTCTTGGACACTCTATGGCTCAGATAATAAAGATCTGGAGTGGATTTACTATAGTTCCTTTCATTCGTTTACTCTAAAGACGTCTGGTGATCTTAGAATTTGCTGTTCCTAAAATGATGCCATTAACGGGATGTATAATTTTGTCTAGATAGCTAGGTTATGCAATTTGATAAATTTGCCTCATTGCCTACAGCCGTAATATGCTCTATAATTTTCTTCTGCCATTTAAGGAACTCTTGGAATCAAGAAATGGATTGAGATTTTGACACTTTCTATGCTCTGTTTTATTCCCGCGAGGGTCTCAAGGCGATGAATGAATATCATATTAACACCTCGCCTACTCCGAGCTTGCCGTATGCTAGGATAAATTAACTACCACTAACGAACGGTTAGTTAGACAGGAGTCCGCTTTTTTTGTTTCGCATGATAAATTGGTATAGCCCGTGTATTGAAAATCGAGCATATGCAGATAGAAGGGTTGTTTTCAATTTGCCAATCATCGCATATCTAACTCTGAATAAATCAGTTTTTATCTTGAATTGGTTCTGCTTGAGTTCATTCGCTCCGAATAAATATTAGTCCATATGCTTCTAGTAAGTGCTGGCACTTTGTTTTGCTTCCTCGCGCTACATATTGTACGCAAATTGCTCCTCCCTAGTTCCCCCAGAACAAAAACACTACTCACTCACCATCACTCAGCTCCCAAATTTTTGTTGCTGTCAGTTCTGTGGCTTCCCTTGAGATCTCTGCTTTTTATTCAGCCAGAATGAATCCCCCTTAAATGTCCGAATGCTAAATTTGTCCCTTAGGGGCGAGGGGCTGTTCTGGTGGAACTCGGACAATTTTGTGATCCGCCTAAAGTTTCGTTTTCTGCAAAAGGGCGATTATCACTGTTGGAAAGTACATGTCCAAGCTAATGCTGCGTCTATTTGGCACCATACAGGATTTCTTCCAGTAGTTGTCATCTCAGATGTCGATATCTTAGCAGGTCCTAGACCGTGTCTAACGGGGCTATGCTACGGATGTGGGCCACTGATGGCACCGGTTGGTTGAAAATTACTTGGCAGGCATCATTCTATCCGTAGTATGCATAATATACTGTAACACGATGCGCAATCTGCAGGCTCCTGAGAGCTACGTCCAAGATTGATCACTTACTTCACTGGGGATTGTGCACATGAGGATTATACAGGAAACTAACTGACTCTTCCCTTGTAGTAACAAGTACCCATCTTCCCAGCTTTACTTTGCTTGAGGTTTGTGAGAGTCTCGCACATCTGTTGATGATAAACTTGCTTTTCGGATGGGTAATTAATATCAAGGAAAGCTTCCCAAGTGACTCTAGATACAAGACGTAGCGCGAGGCAGCAAAGTAATAAAACTTCCTTTGTACAAAGATGACCTGCCCCGAATTCAATACTGGGCTTCACATTTAAGATTAAATTCCGATCAAAGACTGGTTCCTGTTGAGGCAAGGTCATCCCCACTGAAACTATAGCAGTCGTCGATACCAGCCCATGTTGCAGTTGCAAGAGCAATACTAGAGTCATTGAGGTACGACTATATCGGAACGATTTTCATGATACTGTACTAAATTTCCTTACTAGTCTTGCTGTTTCAGAGGCTGATCGCAGAGTCAGAAGCCCATTTGATCAATCCAGTGGAAAAGGAGCAAGAGGGCAGCCTTTTGCAATTTGACCACTGCTTTCTAGATGCTTTTGGTGCCGCTTTTCTTGCTTGTCTCAAAGCTCTCGTATCCTCAGCATCAATAAGCCGCTGCCGCCCCAGAATCGGGGAAATTCCCATCTTGGAATCCAAGAATAACCATCAATTAGATTTTTCTGATCATCGAGCTTCAAATTCTCCCAATAAACCTTCAACCACATGCATGGGTTGGTCTCGTAATCTTTACATGGATTGCGTGCTTCTGCAACCACCCCAACCACGTCCTTTACGTTCTTGGACGTATACCGCCACATCGGATTACCAGAGCTGTCTATATCTTCCAGGGCAGAGATTCGCTTGGTGCGATCCGAGATGCTAGCCAGAGAGTCGTTTTTATAGTTCGGCCGGTACTCGAATCGATATTTGGCTGCGTCATGCGGTCCACATTGGATGATCACGAACGTCGATCGGCGTAAGCTTCCCCACCCATCTACTAGATCATTGTTAGTGGTGGCTCGGTTGGATGCTGACTCTGATGCGCTATGGCTGACTGGACATAGGCTGACTAGAGACCCATTGTCAGGAGTAGCATTATCGGTGCGACTTTCTAAATGGTTGCTACGTTGGCGAGATGAGCCCGCCGCACCAAGCTCTTTTCCCATCGAAAACGGATCGGCAGAATGATTCTTCTCCGTGGCATCCCTTTCTAATTCGGAATCACTCATTCCCACAGGCCTCTCGCGGCCTATATCATCTGAAAGAAACGGCGAAGTCTGAAGATCTCCGGTAGCTTCAGGGCTACCGGGACGCCATGGGTCCTCACTGACTCCTTGATCAGAATGGCTACTATGACAAGAGTGCATGGCTGGGGTACTCGCAGTCTTTTCTTGGACTCCTGACTGGAGCTGGCCGTCGACTGTGTTGAACTGTGCATCGAACTTTTGGGGATCGCTTAGGTAGTAATCACTCAGAACACTATGAAGCTCTCCAAGCATTTGATTTTCCGAAAACGAGAGCTTCCCTTTCTTCATCAATGCTCGGTAAGTATCCATGCACGCTTCCGCAAATTCTTCAATTCCTACATCGTCAACCTCTTCGATGTCTTGCTGCTGCTGATTACTGACGTTACTTATCGATGGCTGGGCTTCGCCGCTATCAGCGTTGTCGGGGGCTAATGAGCCTTCAGTTGCTGCCCGTTCCCCAGATTGCAGGGCCGAGAATGCATCGATTAGGTGTTCGAAGCTGCCTTCCTTGCTAATCTCATCACATACGCGTTTTTCACCCGGAGTGAGCATTGTCGGCAAAGAGAACAATGAAAGAACAATGGGGTGAGGAGATCAGCATCTGGATAGACTCTCGATGCTATTTATATCAGCTCCACACGACCTAATGCAGATACCAGAAACGGCACTTTTGTGCTCTATTTTCAACTAATAGCTACATCTTTTGCACTGTGTTGCAATCAAAAGCTTTTCAGTGAGGTCGACTTATAAGTTTGTCGATCAGAAAAGCAGACCCGCAAGCACTTGCTTGAACGTACAAACCCTGGCCTCAATATACGACGGAACCAAATGCAGAATGTGAATCACCTTCAACTTTGATCAGCCGAAAAATGTCAGTAATGATTCGTGATTAGAAGAAGATCAGATAGCCTCATCTATGCCGCCTCTCGTAAAAATGAGGCGCGGACCCACGTTGAGACGTGATAGCTATTACACAGGCGCTGTCTAAGGACTGCTAACTCGTAAAAATTCTCAATTCCTCATCAGCGGAGCAGTAGTTCCCAAGCGTCCTTCATCGTTTCGATTAAACCATGTTGGACGCTTCTCATCTCTCATGACTACTCTTCGGTATAGACTGAGGTCAAAGTCTTGCACTTAGCTTAAGACCAAGGTAACAGTTCTCGTCGCACTAGCGTGCTATTTTTATGCTTAAGTCTTCAGACAGCAAACGAGTGTGGCTACTCCATCTTTTTTGGTCGGCGAGCTTTACAGTAGTCTGAATCGAGAATCGTCGAGTCCTCATCTTTAGTTACAAAATCGAGATATCAATTCCGGAGGCGCTCATGGGATTATCCTTGTATTTAAAAGATCCAATGCTGTATTTAAATAGTGGAGTCCGAGTGAGACCACTGGCTTATAGATCTAAAACCGGACGCAACAAGAAGAAAAAATAAAGGATAGCATGAAATACTGATAACGTCGCTACACTTGAAGTCGCTTCCTACTACAAGCACATTGGGCCGTGTTGAGAGAGATCAGCGCAGAAGTTGTGGTGGCAAATGCTGAAGTATACGGTGAATGAAGCGAGCTTGATTCTGGGTGAGATGAAAAAGGGAATACATGAGGTAGGGAAACTAATCGAGAAGGCGTGGTAGTTGACGTCCCGTCGCACGCACTGGCGCTCTTACCCTCCCAATGTGCAGCAGATACCATGCCAATAACATTAGGAGCGCACAGGCTAGGACCATTGGTCCAGCCCAAAAGGCGATTGGCAGTGTCTGAGGCGTAGCAGTGAGTGGCAATCCCCTGACCCAAGTTACCGCTAGAGGCAACAGTACCAGAATTGTAAGCCCGAGCGGCCTTGTAGAATGAAGCCACGTCTGTCGAACCGCCCTCCTGAGCTATCAATGCCTTCAAACCGGGCCCGGCTGGGGTTCCCTCGACACCATCTATGATCATTTGATGGATTTCGCTTTGGGGACAAGGGTTTTGAATGATTCCACCTTTATTGCAGGAACCAGAGCCCGCGTGGCTTTGCATTAGTCCCGGATTGATGACACCGTTGTCAGTCGTCTGAACACGAACGCACCCTTGACTCTCTTGCATGACGATTGAAAAAATGAAGCGGGCGTCGACGCCGCTCGAATTCGCTACTTGGTGGATGGCATCTTTGATGGAATCGGTTTCGTCTTCCGAGTTATTGGAGAGACCCCATTGGGAGCAGCTGGCGGATACCACACCTTGATTATTCTCGAACATAATTTCAAAAGACCCAATCCATTGGTCAATGCTGGGCCAGCCATCGGAAATCATACCGTTACCACCCAATACCGCGGCATAACGACCAGCGCTGCGCTCATGAAGAGAATTTTCGGCCTTTCCCACGAGACTAGATAGATTTGAAGAAGCATTAGACGCTTCAGCAATCAATTGGAGGCTTAAAATCGTCAGAAAGGAGGACCAAATCGCCATTTTGAGACTGAGAAACCGGCTGGTTTGGAGAAAAGGCTGAACTTGACAGGAAGGAGGCCCCCTGATGTGATGTCCGACTGCTACAGTAGTATTGAGACTTGTAGAGAAAATTTAGAAAAGTTTTAGTTGATATGTACCTCGAAGGAGTGGGAAGCCTGTACTGAGACTCAATTTGATTTTGGCACGTTGATTCAAAATAGCTAAGAAAAATAGCATCATCAGCGGCTAGATGTATAAAAAAAGGCTCTGTGAGAAAATGTGCTTATTGCGTTGACCACTGAAAGGCAGGTCCCATTGCTGCGCTTAGAAAGTAGCGCCGGGGGTATCGTAGCTCAAGAAATTCTTTCTGATGTCACGAATATTGCAGACGACTCACGCCTCAGAAAAGGCATATCAGTCGACAAAGGTATCCAATTTCAATACTGTATGCCCCAAACTGTGATGCGTATTGAGCTAAGTCGCCACCCTGAGGGAGCGCTTTTGGCTAGAAATTCATCAAGACTAAACAAATTAAACATTCTAGATATTCTCACCATCCCTCAAGAAGGAGCCCTTGCCAAAACAATTGCCTGATATCCCAGACACTTTTGTCCAATTCCACCAACCTTGGACCGAATTCTTTTAATAATATTTCAATCTCGAGCCCCTCCTCATGAATCACTTTATGATACATATCTTCTGTGTCAAGGCTTGCGATTCTCTAAGTTCTTTTCCATCGTTCAATCGCGACTGTCGTTTCTCCACAATCATCAATAAGCTTCTGGGGCGGCAAAGGCTTACAGTATTGATGCTGAGGATAAAACAGTCAAGATAGAAAAGATCTTCTCTTTCTCCTTTTCCACTAGAGTTGACAGAAAGGTCTTAAGGTCACCGATGAGACTATGTGACTGGAAGCTGAACCGAGGATTTCAGCAGCATTGAAGTTTTTCGGATACGACTACGCCACAATGACTCTGATACTGCCCATGTGAGATTCGGTCTCGGCTAACATGGTGTTTTCAATTCTGATGCCTTTTCTGTGGTAGCAACCGGACTTCCTACTCTAAACGTGATTGAGAAGCCCTTATGTTTTCAAACGACCTTCGAAGACAGCGGTCGGGGTATAGATTTGATTGTGCAGAGAGGAAATTTTTCATGATTGAATAAAATTACTTTCATTGGATGAACCGAAGTATACTACCGAGCTCAACAGAGATATCCTGAGTATAGATTATGCACATGACTTTGATCCAGAGGGAACATACTTGGGATCCTCTGAATGTAAGGAGATACTTTGCTACCTCGCGTGGGCTTTATATCTTGAATAATTACGACAATCTTTGGATTGATTGCTTTTAAGAAAGAATAACTCGTTATTAGAAACACGTAATACCCTGGAAGCCCCCGTCCGGGATATACAAAAGGCATACACACTGACGGAGGACGGGGACCCACAGGACGCATCTAGTTCCCTGAATGCGAGATGGCATCCTTCTTTTGCTTCCTCGCGCTACGTCTTGTATATAGAGTCGGCTAGAACCTTCTGAATAGTAATTATTCCTTCGAAATACATGCTTCTCATCTACAGATACGTGACATCCTCACAGCTAGCTGTGTTTTATCGAACGCCTAGGCATTGACCCCTTCTATGTTGTACGCAAAGAGCTAAAACATCCTCTAGAGAGGTTCCCCGTAATGACTGTCCATGCAATCATCTGGTGCTGGTGTGGCCCTTCAATTCGGAGGGATTAAAACGCTCTGGTCTAGTTTCCCAGGCCTTTGACTACCGGAGTGTTAGGATATCCCTCGCCGACGAAGCCATAAGTTTATATCATGTAACTGCTGCTCTCTGTTTTATCCTAACGACAAAAATCGATATAATTAGAAATCAGATCCATCTCTTTATCTACCTTTACGCCCGTGATTTTGTCACTTTCAAGAGGCCTGGAAAAGGGCTGGATCGATGAGATAAAAGACAAGACGGTTTTGATTAAATGGCTCTACAGGTCAGTGAAAGAGTACTGGGTCATTGATGATGACTAAAGTATTACCTTTGTTCTGAAGCCCTGGTCAAAATTTGCTCAAGTTCCATGCATTGAGAGGCCTATCAGCACTCAGTCCCGCTACCGGCCATCATTTGGACGATGTGGGTGTGATTCAATTGATGGGCGATCTCTAGCGCACTTTTAGCCTCCTTGTTCCGTCTCGTAGGCTCAATGCCTTTACATTCGAGTAGCCTGTTCACGAGGGGAAGATTGCCATTGCGAACTGCGGCAATGAGATAAGTATCTCCCTTTTGGTTGTTCTGGCAATTAATGTCAAGTCGGCTGTCGTTCAAGAAAAGTGGAACTACCGACAACGAACGCGTTTGGATTGCCAACCACAGAGGATCGTCCTCCCTTTCGTCACTTGCGTTGATCCGAATACCATCTGCCTTGAGCAGCATTTCCACTACCTCATAGGCGCCTTGATACGCAGCAGCTCCAAGAGGACTGTGTCTGCCGTCTCCTGGAATGTTTGGATTCACTCTGTGTAAACGTGTCGATGAAAGAATACAGGAGACCATCCGGACATTCGTGCGAAAACAGGCGATGTAGAGAGCTGTGGTTTGCCATCGTGGATTGGTGCCACCCCTGACATTGATATCCACTCTGCTGTCATTGAGAAACCGCTCGCTGATATCGTCACGCCCGAGGTGTACAGACAGCCAGAAGGCAGAGTTGCCTTGGCGGTCCCTGCAATTTACGTCAAGGCGTTCACTAGATAGGAGCAAATTGACTGCACCTAGCTGACCGTGACAAGTAGCAAGATGCAATGCCGTGTACCCATGCCGACTTTCCGCGTAGAGATTGATGTTCCTGTGCTCTAGCAGTACATTGATGACTTTGAGGTCACCGCAGCGCACTGCTTGCATCAACGGTGTTTCGTCGTCCGAGTTAAGAATAGTATTGACATCTGCACCCAACTCCAGAAGAAACCTCATGACATCGGCGCTGTCGGGAGTATTGGCGTGATTCGAAAAAAGTTCATCAAGACTCGGGCCGTCCTGAAGCATCTCAGATACGGGCACAGTCGGTCGAGAATGCAGTAACATCCAGGCTATGATTCTGTCGATGGCGTCACCCTGCATTAAAGCAACATGAATGGGTGCCACCCTTTCATAGTCCGCCACAGTAGGGTCCGCGCCACACTTAATAAGAAATTCGGCTTTCTTATAGTCCCGCGTCTTTACATAGTACCATAGCATTGTTCGACCCTGAGCATCCGATACATCGACGTGTGCATTCATGCATTTCAAAACATCAAAAAAGCCCTCAACATTCTCTTGAGAGAGGGCTTTCAAAAAGCGAGTGCGTAATTTCATGATGCTGGACTGAGTGAAAAGTTAGCTGCAACCCTTCGATCCCTATTCTCTGTGATGTAACTTACCATTGGGAGGTTTTGTGAGGCTAGGTGAGGCTATTTGAGATGTGGAAATAATCAGAGTCGAAGTGAGAAGAGTGGTTGATAATAAATGGCGAGAAAAGAGCAGGCCGCAGCTATATTTATATCACATCCCGTTGGCAAGGACTAACCATACAAAATTCATATCGTCGTATGGAGCCGTATTCCATTCCTGCGCCCTCAACGGGATATCGCTTGCGTTCTAGTACCAGCAACAAGCATTGAAGCTTCAAGGAACTGAATCCCAGATCCTAGGAGCAATCTGCTCCAATCCTGGAAAGGCCATAAGTCCCCTCGGAGGTCCAAGCAACTCTACCGCCCCTATTATTGCAAGATTAGGTTGTTTCAGTGACTAGGAAAACACGACAAAATGAAATCAAGACAGCAGGGTTTGAGTTATGCCTGGTCGATACCTGTCACGGTGTTGATAGCTTGTATGGGCTTTCGCCCACTTTACATGCAAAAACAGTGATATGGAATCTAAGCACGCGCTGAAAGATTAGCCAGAGTTAAGAAAGGGGGTCAATTTCCTCTTTCGGAATTCGACACAATTTTCTGCCGCTATCCTCGTCTTGTCAAGGCAATAGCCACCCCAATCTCCTGGGAACGAAGTGGATGCGAGAAAGGGGGTACTACAATAAGCACATATGGCTCAATTAGTGCCATGGATTACAAGACCCACACATACAGGAGTCTTCAGTCAATTATTGGCCGATGTCAGGAAATGGTTCCCAGGAGCATGTGGATCGTCCACATCATAGCATCATTGGATGATTCTAACGCTAGATCAGGGTTGCCAATGAAAATGGGACAGTCGGGTCCATGCATGTCCCACATGCGCTATATAGCCTTGGAAGAAATGATTGGCCCTGGCCCCACTGTGAGCTTATTGAGTCCTGGGAATGACAGAGCTCGTTACCATACCATTGCATTTTATGGACCTGGCCCAAAGCGAGACATGGGCGAAAAACATATAAATACATGCACCTCGTCCTGGTTCTTTCCTGTTCTCTACATGGAAAATCAACCGAGCCATTTCTACAACTGAGTGATCTCATCTTTGTCATCAAGACCCAAGCGTCCGTGTTTTCATTCGGAGATGTCAATCGAATTTACGTCGAATAACCACTACGTCCAGGTGGGAACCAATCATGGCAACATCGATGTCTTTGCCGAACCAAGATCGGCCAGTCATTCCGAAGACACTCTCGATTTCAAAGTGGGTGGCAGCATCGATGCTGCCACTAGACGAGCTTTGGATCAAGCTCTAGTCAACGTCCAAAGATATCTTGACATTGTTCAGCGAGATATATCTCTACATTCGCGAATCATTGGCATGATGGCACAGATGAGAAGTCTTCTTCTGAACATCAAAGAGCTCAAACCTGGACAATGGGGCTCCCTAGGCAGCGAGGTCGTATCGAATGTCTTTTCACTCTTGTATTGCTGCACCATAGACTGCCGCGAGCTCTCTTCTACTCCCCTTACGAACTCTCCGCCTTACGATGGGCTTACCGCATGCCATTTGGCACTCCAATGCGTGTATGGCGCAGCTCTGATGTATGTTTCGGGCTTCTCATGTGGCGCTTACAGTATAAGTTATCTAATCAGGTTGGCATTCTAGGAATCCGGATGACATGTACCACAGCAACAGAAACTCACGGAGACCATGGAGCAATTAGATGACATGGAAGCTCAGTATGCTGCCAGAGCAGAGCAACCAGGTCTAGTCATATACCATTCCCAAAGGGTTCTTGGTCTATTGAAACGGGGCTATGAGCCAGATTGTAAGGCGAGATTTAGGGGCACGCATGTCAGCTTCGGTGAAGGAAACCGTGGCGTACAGGCAGTTGAGTATCATGGGAGTATGAGATATGTCAACCATCCCCTCTAAAATAAGCGGGGCTTCGAATTGATTGAGTAAGAAGTGCATTTTCTAGTTTTTCCTCCATACATGTGCTCTTTTTTTAACCATAAGATCGAAGGCAGAAGGCCTATGCCCAGCAGAAAGTCCACAAAGCTGGTTTCTTTTCCAAAAGTCCAGTCTGTAAAGACGTCAAAGTATTTTTTTTACATAGTATCAGACTAGATTAGCTAGGTCTTGAAAGCATGGCTGTTCTTTAACTTCCGTGAGAGTCTGGCGGATAGGCCAGCGTCTGTTAGGACAATCCCCTGGGGGTGTCCTCATACGATAAGGATACGAGTGAAGAATGTGAGATATGCCTGATATGGGTATGATGATATTCAGACTAATCGCTGGTCCTCCTAAGAGGATCCAGCTCCTCCTTTTAAGAGGATGCCTGTGTGCGTATGCAAGCAGGCAAGCGAGGTGATGTATCAACAAACGGCTCCGGTGGTGGATAGGCACCTCCTCCGCATCTCCTATACCTCATTGTATGGTTGGCGTAACATTATCCCCCTTCTTCGTAGCGCTGCGACCCGAAGTGCTTGGTAGTTGGATGGTAGATGAAAGATGAATGAGCCTATTCCGGTGACTTTGGGTGCTTGCGTGGACGTCCACGACGTCGCCTTGGTGCGCTTTCTGGCAGTACACCGTCCTTTCTAGGCCGTCCTCGCGGTCTTTTGGGGGTCTTTGCAGTTTCGGTTCTTGCTTTCTTCGCATTTAACTGTCCCTGTTGCCCTTCGAATATCTCTAGTGCTTCTGTATCCTCCATGTTAGAGCGTGGCTCCCAGGTATTCTCGCTGTCGCCGTAACCCTTCCATTTGACCAGATATCGTACCCCTCGGCCCCACCGCTTTGCCTCCAAGATACGCTCTACGTAGAACTCAGGCGCACCGTCAACCATCACAGGGTCAGGGTGCTCATCCCGTACAGGAGGACCTTGGTAGGGTTCAAGACGTGAGACGTGCTGGGTCGGATGGACATTGCGGTAGCGGGGTGTCATGATGAGCTTATAAGCCTGTTTACCAGCTAGGCCGGCGATCTGGAAGGGTCCCACACGCTTGTGGTCAAGCTTCTCGTTCGGGCGGTCCCGATCCATGTGCCTGTTATCAGCCATCACCCAATCTCCGATGCGGAAGGTCATCTCTTGATGCTTGCGGTCATATGCCTTCTTCATATTCTCTTTTGAGCGTTGGAGACGGTGCTCCAGCTCTCTGCGGAGGCGTTGAACAGCTGTGGTGCGGTGTTTCGCATCGGCATGAACAGGCTTGGAAGGATTGTTCACGGAGGTACGTAGCTCAGGTCGAACGCCATAGAGAGCTTCAGCAGGTGAGATGCCCAAGGCACTGTGGGTTGTCGTATTATATACGAATTGTGCGAGGGGCAGCCACTTTGCCCAGTCATTTTGCCTCCAGCACACGTAATGTCGCAGGTAATACTCCAGCGTCTGGTTCTGCCGCTCTGTCTGCCCATCTGTCTGTGGATGGTAGGCAGTCGATAGGCGGCGACGAGTGCCCAGCTGGTGGCAGAAGGATGACCAGAATTCGCTCGTGAATAAGGTTCCTCTGTCACTGACGAGATTCTCAGGCATACCGTAATGGGTCATGACCTTCTCGTAGAATAGGTCCGCTAGGCCTGCGGCGTCTAGCTCCTTGGTGGTAGGCACGTACAATGAGTGCTTTGTGAAGAGGTCGACCACGACCATAATGGCGTTGTAGGTCTTTTCATTCCACTTAGATGGTGGTAGGCCGGTGATAAAGTCGACACTCATCCACTGCCATGGCTGCTGAGGCACCGGCAGTGGCTCCAATAACCCGTATGGCTTGTGTCGATGCACTGCATCGAGCTGGCAAGTGTGGCAATGCCTCACGTACTCCTGGATCTGTGGGCGCATACCATCCCAGTGGTACTTGCTCCGGATAGCCTCATATGTGCGCTTTTCCCTGTAGTGTCCCGCGTACGGGTCATCATGGTGCACCTTAAGGATCTCAGCAATAAGGGCTGGCTCACGCGGGATGAATACCCTGCCGTTGAACCGCAGTAGTCCCTCTTCTGTCCTGCTCCAGGGAGTGCCTCCCAAGCGTCCTGCACCGTCTGTTGTCTCTATCTTGTGGTTGATCTGCTGCAGCTGCGGGTCTCGAGCTTGCACTTCGCGGATGTATTCAACCATAGAGGCGGTCGACGTGACATTCAGCGCTGTCTCTCCAGCCAGGGCCTGTCTGGCCCTTGCGCGGGTGAATAGAAGCTCTGGGCTATCGATGTCACCAACAGCTTGGCACTCCTGGCCTTGCATCAGGGTAGCAGCCATTGTAGGCGCTTCAGGGTCATCGTCTGCGAGCGGTCCCTGTTTGAGGCTGGTTCTCAGCTTCTCGAATAGCTTCTGCTGGTACGAGTCAACCTGATGCGAGGGCGCATCGCGGGCATAGTCTGGCCTTCTGCTAGGCGCGTCCGCGGGGTTCTTGAGACCTGGTTTGTGGAGGATAAGGAAGTCGAAGGCAGCGAGGCGCTCGGCCCAACGTGCTTGCCGTTTCGACAGCTCCTTGGTACTCATGAATGCCCTCAGGTTTGCATGGTCTGACCATACTACCACGGGCTTCTGTGTCCCTTCTAGGTAGTGGCGCCACGTCTTGAAAGCGTTGACGATAGCTAGCATCTCCAGGTCATGAGTCTCATAGCGCGTCTCCGCGGGGATCAACTTTCTTGAATAGAAAGCGACTGGGTGCCACTGGCCATCGTCTTGCTTTTGTGAGTAGATTCCAGAGATAGCATACCCTGATGCGTCTGTCTCTAGCTGTGAATCTCTCAATGGATCATAGTGGGCTAGCACAGGGGCGTCTACGAAGCATCGTTTTGTCTCCTCAAACGCCTCTTGGGCCGCTTGTGTGAAGATGAAACCTTCCTGCCTCTTATTACGCCCCTTCTTCTGTGCATCAGGGCCCCTGATGAGGTCGTTCAATGCAGCTATCTTAACACTGTAGTGCCGTATGAAACGCCTATAGAAATTGGCAAAGCCAACGAATTGCTGCACATCAAAAATACTCTGAGGTGCAGGCCAGCTCATGATGCTGTCAATTCTGCTCTTGTCCATCTCGACACCTCTTGGTGTGACGATGAACCCCAGGAATTCCACTTGCGTGGTATGAAACAGGCACTTGGAACGCTTTACGTATAACCGATAGTGCCTGAGCCTGGAAAGTACCTCTCGCACGTGGTGCCGGTGCGACTCCTCATCATTTGAATAGATGAGAATGTCGTCCAGATACACCACTACGAACACGTCTAGCGTGTCGCTGAGAGCGCGGTTGATATAAGCTTGGAAGGTTGCTGGTGCATTGGCCAATCCAAAAGGCATCACGCAGTACTCATAGTGTCCGTACCGCGTCCTAAACGCGGTCTTCCACTCATCACCTTCCTTGATACGGATGCGGTGATAGGCATCTCTAAGATCTAGCTTCGTATAGATCTTCGCACCTGCGAGGCGATCGAGACTCTCCTGCACCAGAGGTAGCGGGTGTCTGTTTTTGATCGTGACCTCATTCAACCCTCGGTAATCGACGCATAGTCGGAGGGAGCCATCTTTCTTCTGTACGAAGAGGATGGGAGCACCTGCTGGACTCCTGGATGGACGGATCCAACCTCGATTGAGATTATCCTGCAGGTATGCTCTTAACACTTCTAACTCATTGGGTGACAATGAATAGATTGGCCTGTGTGGCGGCTGCTTGCCAGGAACAGGTCAATAGCATGATCATGTGAGGCATGTTCTGGTAATCTGTCAGCGTTGTCCGAATCAAAAACGTCTTCAAAGTCTTCATATTCTGGTGGCAGTGCTTCTCCTTCATGTATCATATTGAGGTGGATGGAATCACCCCAGGGCTGGCACCATAGGATGCCAAGCATTCCTCCGCGGCGGACCTCCTTACGTATTTTGCCGCCATCAACAAATGCAATAAAAGTGTTCTCTTCGTTCTGTTGTTGCGAAGGAGACAGAGGTCGCCAGAGCCAGGTGCCTAACGCCCAATTGATGTCTGGGTTGGCGTGCTGCAGCCAGTCATAGCCCAGGATCATGTCGTATCCCTGCATGTTGACTGCTTCGCACGTCACATCTTCGTCGCGCATAGCTCCTGACGCGTCGGTAAGCTGGAGCTCCATGTCCCTGCTTCCGTACGACTTGATCTGGTGGCCGTCCACTGCAGTGACGAGCCTGGGTGCTTCCTGCGCGGCACGCAGGTGCTTCTTTGCCCATTCCTGGTTGACAAAACTCTTCTGAGCTCCTGAATCAATCAGTGCCCACGCACACTGCCACCCTGCGGGTGTAGCCACGAGGATCTTATGTGCGAGGGCAGAAGAGTGGTGCCGCGGTGGTTCGACGACGAGACCTAGTACTGACGCGGTTTGCAGTGCTAGGTCATCTATTTTTTTGACTTGTGAGGCCAGTCCGCGGGGAATCCGTGCTTCCGGTAGCAGACATCCTCAGTGTGTCCAGTTAGCTTGCAATGTGTGCAGTGCTCCCTGCCTTCCGCGTCGTCGCGCTTCCGCTTTTCGCCTGAGTTAGGCGCTTCCTCTGGTCGCGGTGGTCGGTTAGACGACCCCTTGAATCCCCTACGACCCTTCTTGACAGGGTGCTGGCGGTCGCTCTTGTGCTGGTCTTGAGGGTTCGAAGGCCTCTCACTCGGCATGCGAGGTATGCTCCTTCTTCTTGATAGCAGTCTGCCTCTCGGGGAGTTGCTTCTCAATCTTTTCGTAGAAACGCAGCCAGGCATTATATGCGTCGCTTTCTGCTGGTTTATTGACATACTTGCGAGCTTCAACGCTGATTTCCTCAACAAGGCCCGACCTTAGCCTCTCAATCTTCTGTTCGCGTGTGCGTTCAGGCCGCATGAGCCTCTCCAGCTGGACTAGCTTAGTGGAGTACTCCGTGACACTCTGGTTCTTGTACTGCTTGGTACGGTACCATTCGTCGACGCTATCCTTCGCTACCATGTCTGGGTCTGCTACAAGAGAGGTAGCCCAATCTTCGAAGGTTCGCCAGGTGAGGTTCCCACGTGCGAGGTTTTCTCGGTAGTTTAACCACTGACTCGTTCTCTCTTCATCTAGAAGCCCCGCAGCTGCGTCAACCCTTCTTCTGTCTAGCTGGTAGAAGGTCTCGTGACGCAGGAAATGCACCATCATCTGGTTCTTGAAACGCATCCAGTCTGCGAGATCCTTGGCAGTGAATGGAGAGATAGAGGGTAGCGGCGGCACTTTATCATTCGTGGTTGTGGAAGACGCTGCGCTCCTTGGAGTTCTACGCCCGGTCATGGTGCTTGGGGCTATCGAAAACTCCGTCGGCTGCGGAGACGGGGCTCGAGCAGGTGGTACTAGGGTAGTACTTCCTTCCTGCGACCACGATGGGTCCCAGGACGACGATCCATGGGGTGCAGGCACAAGAGGAGGGCCCATAGCTGCCAGTCGCGCCTCTTGCCTCTGCTGTTCTTCGCGCATATCCAGCACCTTCTGTTGCCTTTCGCGTATCTTTTCCTGAGCCTTCACATAGCGGTCCCAATTCGCGAGATCCGCTCGTTGCTTGTCCAGGTCGCGCTTCGTGATACGCTTTGGCGGAGGGGCCACGGCGATGACGGGTTCCACTGGGGCATCTGACTGCGCCGAGACAGATCGAGCGTGCGAGGAATCAACTTCGTCCTCTACTGATGCACGCCGGGCACGGGTTCGGGTGAAAGGCATTCTCAACTCGACGGTCGCATCCGAGATGCAGCGATTAGAATGTTAGGACAATCCCCTGGGGGTGTCCTCATACGATAAGGATACGAGTGAAGAATGTGAGATATGCCCGATATGGGTATGATGATATTCAGACTAATCGCTGGTCCTCCTAAGAGGATCCAGCTCCTCCTTTTAAGAGGATGCCTGTGTGCGTATGCAAGCAGGCAAGCGAGGTGATGTATCAACAAACGGCTCCGGTGGTGGATAGGCACCTCCTCCGCATCTCCTATACCTCATTGTATGGTTGGCGTAACAGCGTCGATGATTACTTTGATATCGAGCATATTAAGAACAGGTTTTGAAGTGTGGAGCCAGCGTTCTATCCACGATCGTCTCAAATATGTAGCGTAGAGACCCAGAAAGAGGAGCAAAATCAGTTCTTGCTTTCACGATCTCCCCACAGAGATTCGGTACCACAACCAGCCAGTAATGAGGTGAAAATTAGTTTGAAAGGAACCCAGCCCATATTCATGGTGTCCAGTCTCCATGAGCATAACAAACTTTTGAATATTCGGACATCTTCTCCAAAAAATGTTTTGCTCAATCAAAATCAAACATGAATGAGAACTTGCAGGCCAGCGCAGAACTGGCTCCCACGCTCCACACACTACCCGCCCATGGGGAAAAATACGACGTCGTAGCCAGCGAGCGCATTTCCCATCAGCCAAACAGTTCAGATGTTGAAATGAGCGTATAAATTAGGCCATTAGGACCCACGGATTGAGTATTTATGCTATGCAGCCTAAGTCAAAGAAGTCATTCATACGGCCCATCCGAAGCATCACAACGTTAATCAATGCTGGGAAAATGTATCCTGTTGCCGTTCACCTTCCACGGTTCCGAAAAGTGGCGATGCCCTGAGTGAAGGTACTCAAATATTAGTGGAGATAAAACAACTCGGATGGAGCCAGGACGAGCTGACAACGGAAGGAGCCAGGAGCGAGAGCCAGATATGAACTGCATCTGAATTCGAGGTCGACATTCAGGCACAGCAGCCACCTTTATCCGACTGGGGCAGTGTGTCGGAAATAGGCAGGTCCTTTAGGCCGGAAGCACTAAATACCTTCCTTGCTTGTCTGAGGCTGGCCCAGGAGGAGGGAGAACAGTTTGAAAAAAGGATGGCGATCGAGCGGCTCGACGGAGAGCTCAACCTGCTTCATCATCAGTCTTCGCCTTCGTTCAGGGAGCGAACACTGCTAACCCCTGGTTACCAGCCTGCGGAAGTAGCACACAGAGACACCTAACATACGCCAACACAGAATGGTCTCACAAACACTTGCCGCCCCTCCTATCACAATAACGTGTATACCCATGTTGATGAATGTTGAACGTGTCGTCGGCGCTATTCTGCGGTTTCACTGTGCGTGTTGAAACGATAACAACGGTGAGGTGGGCTTTTTATATACTAAATCATCAACAGAATGGACAAGAAGTCGTGATGTCGCCGAATACTGCCTCAATCACAGGTTAAACGTTAGGTCAACTGCAATTTGAGGCCCAGCGATGTTGAGACCCTCACAATTGGCAGCATTCATGACATCAGCGCAAAGGTCAGGGCTGAGTACAAGGCTATAAGTACCTGGGCTTTCGTCAGTAGAATGATCGTTCTCAAATATTTCTCTACATATTACCCCGCAAAAAATATCGAGAACTTCTCGACTTCGCCAGCTGCCTTCGGTATGGACTGACCCGACCCAAAACTGTGATGTACGTGTGATCGAACTGACCTGGCGTATCGCTCCTAGTCTGCCTATGCTCGACATCGAAATCCGTAAACAGCAGGTAAGCTTAGCTACCCGATAATTTGACATCATGCTAACGTGGAGGATGTTTCACACCAGCTCCGTCTCTGCTTCTCTGGAAGTTCAATTCAAGGAACTGGATTGATCTCAATGATAGACTCAGGTTGCGAAGTCAGTGAGTTATAAAAGCCCTATAAACTACCTACTGATGGTTTATCATAGATCGAAACCATCCACTAACAAACCGGCTCAACCAAACTCGAATGCCGCATGCAGCAGTAACAGGCAAAGTAAGTTCCGATCACTTTGGCAGCTTCTAGAATGGTTGACCTGTGCTGACGGCTCTATATAAAAGAAGCTAATTGTTTTGCCATGAGCAACCCGATGCCTTATAAGTTACCCCATGAGTGGCCACTGTCTACTCCTAAAGCCGGGACTGCATTTTGAACCTCACTGTGGAACTCATCTGTTTACTGCTCTCTGTTCTTCAGAAATATCGCTGATGTCTCTTTCTCCTCATAGGGCGAATGTCAATATTGCACTCTGCTGGGCCAAACCGCTGACTCCCAGTCTGCTTGCCCTTTTGGTTTGTCTGAAGATGTGGTTGCCAGGGCCACTTCGCCTGGCGTTGCTAGGGTGCCAATTCAGGAAGGATTGATGCCCTCCAGTTAGCCATGTGGTAACATTCCAGAGTATTTTTTTTATCTCTCTACCTCTTCCCTGTCTGATCAAAGGTTAACGGTCAATATGTTAGGAACTTGCCGTATTTTGATGGCTCCGTACCTCTTACCCCACGTCCAGTCCGAAGCCTCGCCGGCAGCCATAATCCGACCCCATGCTAGACTGAGCGAGCCATAGCAGCATCTGACAATGAGGAGTTGTCTAACATCAGTGCCGACCTACCCATTCTCTGGCAAATCCTTAGACAGACCGTGGACAACTTCAGATACAATCGAATCTGCGGGAAAGTGAGTTATAAAGTGCCTTCATAAGCTACCTACCTACTTACCATCATTCAGAGATTGATGACATGTTTTATGTAACTGCTTTGATCGTGCCAGAATGTAGCAGACAAGTATAGCTGACAGCGTAAGTTTTTATCATTGCGGCAGTTTTAAGACTACTTGTTCCATGCTGACGCTTCATAGGAAGGCAAATAGTCGATTGCAAGCCCCCGAACGTCTTCTAACTCACCCTGGTGCGTCGCCTCTACCTATTCGCATGGCTGGGGCCGCATTTTGAATTTCATGCGAATGTGATTTTCTTCATTCTTGATCTCGCCTTGCTCTCTGACTATCAGAAACAGTTCTGATGCCTCTGCCTAGCCGTAGAACATTTACCAAGAAGCTAATCATCAAGGCCGGTCCACACTTTCCCATGGCCTTAAAGTTAAGGATGCACGACTGGTCAGGCCACTGGCCATCAATATGCTTTGCCTTTGTTGTTTCAGGGACATTTCGCTGGTGTTGACGGAAAACCCCCTGGGAACCTGAGTCCTCTTCGATTTGCATATGATAGATGTCCAACATGCTTTCATCTCCTACATGCCCCCTCCTTCCAACTAAAGGTTAACTGTCACAGCATGAAAGATCTTCCGTATATCGACAGGCTTAATCTTGACCCATGATAGACCGACTGATCTATCGCAGCATCCTGCGACAGCAAAGAAAAGCCGAGCATTAAGGACCACCGAGGAGGACCACGGTTTCTCCAACAAAAGCGCCAATCCGGAATGGGTTGAGCTTTTTGGTCATACTATGAGGACCAGCTCTGTTAGAGCCTGGTTGCAGCTGAGCAAGCGACATTGTAGGCCACGGCATTGAATCCACCCCGGATCTCTCGCCACGAGCGCGGTAATCTTAAGGTCAGTTCCTAGCCTCCTCGGAACAACATACCATGACTATCTCCTCCAGTCATGTCCTTCACTGACACAGCTGGAAGTTTGCCTAGGGATACGCATTGGCAGTTATAGCCCATTCATTCCTGTTGTACGGAGCAATGCCGGGCCCTTTGACGTGTAAATGAGGCGAGACAGCTACCTCGTGTCTAGTCTGCCTATGCTGGTGCCAGGCTTCACTGCAGTAGGTTTGCACTACCCTCATCGTCTGGGATCATGCTAATATGGAGAGGTAGTGAGACACCCGTGGTTCGGCCGCTCCCGCGGGTCCAATCGGGGTTCTGTTTGCGGGCTGGTATTAGGGAAGCTCATCTATACCACGAGCATGGTGAGTTGCGAAGACTTCTCTTGCGCCAGCAGCGAACAATGTGTGCTAGATTGAGTATATCCCTCAGTCAGCAAACTGCTCTTGCTGTGTCTCAATGCAGAAAGCGATACCTCAGGCTGTGGCCATGGCCCGCTTTGCGAACGAAGCTGGCAACACGTTCTCATAACTGCACGCTTGGGGTAATCAATTGACCTTTTTGCCAAACCGCTGATATGAAGATAGCTTTTCCCTTCCAAACGTGGTCGCAAGCCAATCGAATGCTCCAAAGGTGAAGTCTGGCAATCCTTATATCACGCATCATGACCGAGTTCGCTGCAAAGTTGCTGCCGATAGAAGGTTGTTGCATGGCCGAAAACAGGAATCGACCTGGAGCTGGGCGGGAGTGCATTGTAGGGCCGACGGGTGCGAGCCAAGGGAGTCACTCTGCCATACTCGAGGTTGATTCCTTTCTGGCAATAAACCGCAATTTTGGCATTCTTGTGCCCGGGTCACCACCGAACGGCACGAATTCACCAGCGGACGCAGCCTCGCGAATTACGGCCGTTCGATTGCCGCAGCGGTTGCAATTGCTCAATTATTACTCGAAGGATGCCAGGTGGGGTTGTGATAACTGGTAGAAAAGTCGTACTTATTGACCTCGGACGTAGCTGTGATGTTCTGCCATTGTGGGCCTGTCACTTGTGCCCGACGCGAGACGCTGCGACGCGGCGACGCGTGAGTGCATGGCCTTGTCGCCCGTAGTATACCGCCGGGTGCTGCCTTAGGCCGGTGTCAAGGGATGACAGAAAACACGAAGCCCACGAGAAAAAAACACGCGAGACGAACCGGAAACAAGCCGGTCGTGAACACGATGTATGAGCGAAAACCGTCTGTCTGATGAATGGTCATTCAGATGCACCCTGCGGGAATCGAACCCGGTTCGTTAAGGAAGCAAACGTGGTATATTCGACTGGACCACGCGAGCAGATGCGCTGGCGGCGCGATATTTGCCTCACTATATCCAGCATCTTCTTAGAATATCATAGCCACCGATAGTCTCGACCAGTACTCAGCTATATTACCCCTTTGAGCTCCACAAGAGTCTCTCATTTGGCAATACAATGGAATATGATATTCGAAAAGAGGGCCAGAAGAACGGACCTGAATCGCTGACATTCTGATGGTTTTTCCAATTCTACTGCTACCATGTACGTGCGCATCTGAGGATATATATTACGCACATAATGGTCATTTGTCGACATTCCCTAAGAGCTGTGTACCACCAAAGAATATGCGACGAAGCTCGAGCCGCGTAGAAGAGCGACCCCAGTGAAAATACTGATACAGACTATCGTCAATAGATGGACATAGTGTACCCTCTAACATATTTTGAATTGGGAACCGAAGTTGGTTGCACCATCACGCAACTCCAAGCCCAAGGTCCAGTTTTTTCAAAAAAGACTATCCACAGATAATTAAATTGCGATCTGCTGTAATGACAGATTCCAGCTAATGAACTGCATCATGCTTCACCGTCTATCATCTTTTACATAATTGGTAGGCCAACGAAGATCCCACGGTAACGGCCATGGGGGTAGTCACCGTTGGCAGCCACTTCACCGCTCGGCAGTTACGCCGCGCCGCAAATCAATATGTTGACCACTGGTTCCCATCGATCATGATTATCACCAATCCTCAACCGTCACTCACCTCCAGCCCTCACCATCAACGTGTCCTCAAAATCAACACGCCTTCATCAGCACGCCAACACTACCTACTCACTGTCGAAAGCCCGCATTTCACCACGTCGAGACAGATTTTGCCACCACTGGTAGCCAGCAAGACACGCATTCACATAAATGGAGACTACTTTGGATTGCACGCGTCGCCCAGATTGGCCACCAAGCTATCATACACTGAGATCCCCACTGGCCCGATGACTCAGTGCTCCATTTCGCACTACGGTGAAGAAAATGCCCATTGTCGAAAGACAGGGCGTGATTCAAGCCTCCATAACAAATTTAGGCGAACCAGGAACATGGATATTGAACTCTACAAACAGGCTGAAGGGCATGACAAAGTATACTGGATGATTCTTGATTTTATTGATTCTTTGGAGCAGGTCTTGGCTTCTTCGAGGACTCCCCCGAATACTAGTCTCTGACACCACGAAGAGGTGCCTGCAATCGCCAGAGGATCAGGACGAGGACCGCGGCGCCACGGGTCGCCTAATGAGCGCAAATTTGATAACGCAGGGCTCAGGGCTGCATGGAAGCTCAAGATTATACAATCACAGGGCTCAAGGCTGTGAGGGAGGACTTGGTGTCGCAGCGGCCTCCTGCGGAGGTTCTTGGTAACGCAGGCGTCCCTGCGGAGCACATGTATACAACGCAGGGCTCATTGCTGCGAGGGAGCACGTTCCTACAGCACAGGGCTCATCGTCTGTGAGGGAGCACGTTTTTACAATCACAGGGCTAATGGGCTGTGAGGGAGAACTTGTTGACGTAGCGGTCTCCTGCGGAGAACTTGGTATCGCAGCGTCTCCTGCGGGTCTCCTTGGTTTCGCAGCGTCCCCTGCGGAGGCTCTTGATGTCGCGAAGGTCCCCGCGGAGCACACTTATACAACATGCACACTTGTTGACGCGGAGCCCGTCCCGCGAGGCACACTTGTTGACGCGGAGCCCGTCCTGCGAGGCACACTTGATAACGCAGAGCCCGTCCTGCGAGGCACACTTGTTGACGCGGAGCCCGTCCCGCGAGGCACACTTGTTGACGCGGAGCCCGTCCCGCGAGGCACACTTGTTGACGCGGAGCCCGTCCTGCGAGGCACACTTGTTGACGCGGAGCCCGTCCCGCGAGGCACACTTGATAACGCAGAGCCCGTCCCGCGAAGAGTACTTGGTAGCGCAGATCTTACCTGCAAAAGACACCCCAAGGCTGCGAGGCCCGGAGTGTGAGGAGGAAAGTCCTACTTTTATTTTGACGGGAAAGGATCGTCTTTTTATGCCATTTCCAATACGTTTTTCAGCAGCAACCACTTGCGTACATCCTGCTGGACCCAGAGATTTTGACTCGAGATATGCACCGGGCGACCCTGATTTTGCTGGGTGTTGAGGCGGTTGATTGAACGTTGAAATAAGAAATTTCAAAAATTCTGCAGTGGAGAGCGGGTGGAGTGGCTGGATCTACCTGTAGCCGTGGTTGGCTCAAAGCTAATATGTGACAAATCATTTCCCTCATCAATGTTGCTGAGATACTTTTCTCCTTCAAGCGATCACGTGAAGTTGGCCGAAGTTTACGTCGGGAATTGTGGGGGCGCTAGCTGTGCATAGTCTAGCGAGAGTTGATATCTTGTGGAAAGGCGTTGGAGCTGAAGTGTTTCCAAGCACATTGGGGTATCTTGAAGCATTCGTGGCGGAATGAGTCAAGCTTCGAGTCAGCGCGTGGTATGATTTCTACGCAACCCTTTTGCTGGATTCAATATGGTCAATCCATTCCATCTGGCGCCCAGAAGAAAGTCGTATCGGAGAGATTGGAACGTGTAATGTCGTCAAGCTGGTGATTTAATCTTTCAACGCGCCTGCAAATCACTTCTCAGCAGTCACCGGTGGTACTGTACGCCGATGACGGTTGAAATAATTCAACGTTATAGCCCAGAGTCGCGTTCCATCGTACCGTGTTTAGCCTAATTCCACAAAAGTAACATCCATGGATCATGAAAACTTTACAATCAAGTCAATTGGTTGAAATTTGTTGCAGACGTTATGTATTCTTCTTCACCCTCTTGCCCCCCCCCCCTGATTCTTAATAGTTTTCGACTCATCTCTCGGGCCTTTGAGAACGAAGGAAAAAATTCCTTTGAAAGACCCTCTTGACCGAAATCTTGATCATCAGCCTCGCGAACATATGGAGCAAGTCCTGAAAATACTGAAAGGCAAAGCCATGGAGGGGGAGAAATCTGGGCCCCTAGATGCAAACAGTCATCAACCTCAAACGAATGCCTCAATCCAGACAGAACGTGCCGGTGCACCTGCAGGTAAAAACCTCCAAAATCGGCCTTCAAGCAACAGGGTCGTCCCAACCAAACGTGTCCGCGAACCAAAGGCAGTCGATGGCTCGAAATGCGGCGAGTGTCAACATATGAATCATGCATCCGAGCAGTAAGCAAACATCTCCAATCATGCGTCCTGTTCTGATTATCTTCCTCTAACTAATACTTTTCAGACATGCCAGCCCACTCAAGTAAGTGCGCTTTGGATTGTCCCCTGTTAGGCGAGCTTTAAACTGACAGCATCATGCAGAGGACCAGACGGAAATGCTGCTAAGCGTCTCCTGCGGAGAAATCTCGCAGTTGATATTGAAATGCTGAAAGAGGAAATGGAGCACATGAAGGCGATGCTTGCCTCCCACGAATCACTTTTGACTCAGCGATTTAAAAAAAAGCGGGTTTCCTTCACAGACGAACGCTAGATGGCTGCGAAAGGATTGCTTGAGTCGGTACATTCCATTCGATGTGAATCACATCCTTTGTTTAAGGGCACATTTAACGTAACGAATCTGGAAAAGGATCGATAGTTGAGGGTGCCAGTATATGCCTAGTGTTGTAGCTCAGATGTATGAAATTTGTTCTTCTAGAGGGAAACATGAGGCTACATTTAGCGAGAAGACAAGAATGATTTTCAAAAATCTTGGTTCTTTGCATATATACTTCGGGTATCTGACAAAGTGGCTTCTGTTCAACACCACTGCTCCCTTCCTTATTCGAGATATCGTGTCTCTGTTCGCGGATCCCCAGCTTAATATTACTGTGAAACACGATCGAGAGACCAAAATAGCTTCTTGGAAGGTCCCAGGTGAGTAAAAAATGACCGTGAAGATCCATGTAGCAATTGATTTACTAGATCACCGATTCCCGGTCGCAATCTACTAGGTAAACATGGAAGAGGAACGCCGAGGTCATACGTGGTAATTTATGTTTGAAAGACAATATGTATTAAGCACTGTACGCATGGAAAAGTCCACGATTTCTAATACTAACTAGATCCTGCAACCGCACAATCACAGACACAGTGGCACAGTGGCACAGTGTTGGGGTGGAAGACCGAAGCTGCTCTAATGCACAACTTTCCCAAGTATCCTGTCGCTTTCTATTTCCCCCCGACATCCCCTCAAATTGTTACTCCCCATGAAGAGGATAACTCGTTGGTTCCACAGACACGGTGTACATAGTCCCATAGCCAGGACCTGGACTGAACTTCTTGCGGTTGAGGATCATGCGGAGCCGGTGTGGTATAAACTAAATAACAGAACAAATTAGCATGAGTAACCGACGAAGAAATGCCTACGTACCGGAATGCGACTTTTCTGTGGCGGAAGTGTTCTCTGAAGTAGTGGATTCTGCTGAAGGTATTCTCTGAAGCCACTGGTCGATATTTCGAGATTTGGTATTTGTGAACGCTGGGAATCTTTTCCTGGAACCCCCAAGCCGTCGAATACGTTTCTCACGTTTTGGAACTGAGCGCTGCCTAGATACCTTGGCACGACGGAGACGGCGTTTTCGAAGAATGTGATATTTCTTCCCCCGTAGTGATTCGACTGTTCGGTTAGTCCCATATTGCTCATTATAAGCGGCAGCACGAGCGTCCCAAGATAGAGCTCGGTTTGCATGCAGCCAAGGGAGAAGATTATCCTCCTCCCATCCTCACCAGCCTAGCGAGCTGTGCTGAGACATCTTAGGAAAAAAAAGGAGCGGTGGTGAATGAAAATATGACTCGTGAGACTTCTGCAGGAATTTGCAACGCACAGAAAGTGGGCGTGGTGAGCTTTAAACTTTTGGCACCTGAAATGATTGTCGCGAAATGACGGTTTCTAGAGGTAACCCTACCCAAAATACTGGACTGATACCTGGGAATCACTGGTTATGCCTGAACTTGCCGGTAAAGTGATAAGCCAGTGTAATCATGAGAAACATGGACAGACTGAGCTGATCCGTGGTTCTGTTCTGCTACCGTGAATCCTCATTTATTTACGGCATTTTTGATGTTATCCAACGATGCTCAACTAAAACGCATGATTTTTTTTTCTCGAAACGCTCACCGAAAGAGCGAATGTAACATGTTGAGAGCTTGAAAGAATGTCTTTGAATCACGCAAAGCTTTTCTTCACTCGTAACTCCACATGGCGTCACGACTAAGCATTGAGATTCAGCTATCATGCTATGGCGATTAGCTCCTTTCTTGATAAGCGTCTGCTAATTTCCCTATAGTATCTGTTCATCAATACGAGTGAATTGCAGACTGGTCAAGCCTATATGACGCCGTTGTTGCCGATTTATTAATTTCAAGAGAATAATTGGAAACGGGTTGCCAGCTAGAAGCTAAGATGGGTGAAGACTAATTCAATCAGATCTCCGGATATGGTGATCAGTGGGGCAGGATTTCTCCGCCACCTCAGATCGTCCGTCCGCCCCGGACTCAGTCGTGTATTTAGCGTTCCTCTAACTTTTCAGTTTTGTTCCTCTATTTAAACTCCGATCAAACGAAAAAGATAAGAATAATTTGGAATATCCAAACTCCAAATATGCCTTCTCGTCGAAGACTGTCACTTGTCGATGGACCGCGCACCTTCCGAAGCAGACTAAAACGTGCACTATCCGTGTCGTCCTCCGAATCGAGCAACGAAGCCTGGAACCAAAAACCAAAAATGAATCATTCCGCCGGGCATGCGTTGTATTCTGAAAATAATGGAGCTATCGGACGCAGAAAAGTTGGAATTGAGGCCAACAATCTGGAAGATTACCATTGGCGACCGTGGGAGATGAAGTCTAAGAAAGAGATATGTCGCCCCAAGACTGCGTCAGAGGGCGAGCCCGACGAGTCCACACAACATAGCATTATTGCACTGAAATGTGTATCAGAGTGAGTACCGAGACTGAAAATAGTGGTTCTTTGACTAATATGTTGATCAAGTCTGGATAGCCGAATGAAGTTAGTCGTACATTATACAATAAAGAGGGTGGAAACAATGCTGACTTTTACTCTACAGATCTCTGGCAGATTCTGTTAACCGACAGGTTGCTTGGAATGAGACCATCCGGCATGATCTGAAAGATACCCTGAGCCGGCTCGCCACCGTGGAGACTCGAATGAAAGATTCGATGGTTCAGAAAAGGTCTGCAGTGTCGAGAACAGATCAGTCAATAGTGAGATAGTATCTTTCGAGCAACTACACACAGATTCGAAATTGGCTTCCAGAGATATACACATGCTTGTGTTCTGGAACCCTCTGCCAAGATAGACTATCCAATCATAGGAAAGAAAACCACAAGGTCAGACTCCACAGTAACGCTTAAAAAGGTATAGCCGCTTCTCTTATTGGCCCAACCTTAGGGTCTGAGATTGTTTTTCTGTGTAAAATATGGAAGCCAATTTCGAATTTGAGTGTATCAAGTCCCAAGTCTTCAGAATGTGTATAATGGTTGTGGCGCTTTGATTTCGGGATACTCATCTTCCGTGGCCCCATACATACCATCAAAGAGGAAGACGTCATGTTCGGCTGGCTACTAGGGGGAAGAATTCTTCATTCCCGATGACTATTAGACGAATTTGAAATGTAGCGTGATTGTTCTCCCTATCTCCAATTACTGCTTGCCAGAGTCTAGATATGTTCGCAATCGATAAAGTGTAATTGCTCCGATCTCGGACGTGATGTCATTGCTATCCTTTCGATTATTGAACGACCCCTGTCACATCTTGATTAGTTATGGGGCTTTGTTCAATGAAAAATTTTATAGGCCTCACCGCGGAATGTTCTAGAATCGAAAACACGTACAAGCCCATTCAATTGTATCCTTGACAATGCGACCCGTTCTAGAACAATATTTATTTTCGGGGTGGAATCAAAATTCGGAAAGAAAAAGATTTTGGTTCCATGATTAGATCGTTCCAATAAGACTGAAGTGGATACTTAAATTGCGGTCTAACTACTAGCTTTCCGTGGTTCAACTGAATACTTCATAGTGTCATGCAAAAAGACCCTAAGGCGGGGAGGCTGAGAAGCGGACGGAGACGGTCCCCAATAAAACCACTCCCTTTGAGAGTGCCCGGGGTCAGTGCGCCAAAAAATGAAGATTATTCATGAGGTCAAATATTCCTCTTCTCCTGCTCTAAATCAACAGATCCGTGGACCCAAGAACCACGTATGGACTGGAAAGGGCTAAAAATGAAGCTATCTGTCTCTTTCTTTTCATCAAACATAACGTGAGGACAAGTTTCCTTGCAGTTATCAGCGATGTGAGCCATCGAGCTTTTATCTAATATTATCAGACCAAGTACATACACAACCCGAACTGAAAAGGCGTTGCATCGAAATATTCTCTCAGCCGTGGCAGGCCATGACAACCAGTGCGAGTAGAGCGATAAATTCCCAGAGTGAGGTTAGTAGAGTCAACGAACGTGCAAGGGGAGTCTGCACCCTATGTACTAAAAGGCTGGGGTTCGGCTCGGCATTCTAAAACGTACGACTTGAGTGGCGAGATCTGCACCCCTTAGTTCATTATTTGATTTCAAGCGCCCTATTGGCTAGCTTGATACTTGGCAGCGTGCTGCCGTGGCTCTTCCCTGGGCAAGTTGCCCGGCGAACATGCAGTTTCCATCTAGATCGAAAGTCCCCAGTATATACGATACTGTGAATTTCACCTTGCACATCTTTGCGGAAGAGCTAGTGATAGTTGGGCATCTGTTAGAAGCAATATTACAATAGAGATAGAAAGAATTGATATAACACCCCCCCCCCCCCGTATGTTACATCATCTATATTAATAGCATCTCTTGTTGGTCGTTAACGCCCTCAGGAACGCAGTCGGGGCTCTAGGAGACATAACTTCAATCCTGGGAGCAAGTTTGAAAGCATGCTGGATCACTATATCCTGTGACTCCGTGGCCGAGATATAAATACCCAAGGTGCAGTCGGACTCGTGACAAGCATAACCCATTTGACTCCTGACTGGCGTACACCTGCTAAGGAACCTGCGCAATGACTGCCAACAGAAACGTGCCGTCCACAGCTATCGCCCCTGATCTCCATTACGGGCGCTACCGTGAGTCTACTCTGCATCATCATCATATTCCTACTAAGTCGGAATAGCTTTGCCTGATGATCTAAGAGGGTACCGGGAGAGGGCACGTTTCTATCATTTATTTTGCTAAATCAAGGAGCAGGTATTGCTGCTTGAAAAAGATCGACAAAACCTCATTTCTGAACTCGAAAGTCTGCGCAGTTACTCATGGACCTTGTATCATGCGTATGATAAGGCGATGGAAGAGCTGGAACAGGCCAAAATGCAGCAGTGGTCTGGACGCTGATGGTGAATGAACCATCTGCGCAGGAAAGAACATCTTATTTGATGACCATGAGGCACTGTCAGCAGAAACTCCAGAACTATCTCATTTCAATTTCATTCGTAATTGATACAGTACATATTTTGAACCACAAGTTCTAGTAGGGTTTTCGTAAGAAACCCGGTCCGGCTGTGTGTCTTATACTCCGATTGAATCTTCCATGAATTTTACGATATACTGTGACCCGGTCTACTCAAAGTTCTTGTATTTTGAATATATCCGCAAAGACTACACCTGAATCTCAACGGCCAATTCTTAATGTCGTCTCTATCTCGAGTTCAAAGGAGAGAAGACGTGGGTACATTGTGGACATAATTGTATCAGCCTTATCCAATTATGGGAAGTGTTATGGTAGGCCCAGGCTCCTAGGAGCTCACAGCCAAATTTGGGCCAATCATTTCTACGGGGGCTTTGTGGCAGACGTGGATAATTCATAGCAGCGATTGGCTCATTCTTCCTCCGAACTATTATTAGTATCCAATGATTGCATCAATATCTACGACCCACAGGTTCCTGGGAGCCATGGCCAAACATCCACCAATCATTTCATAGTCGATATGCACGCTTGTAAGCCATTGATGGCACTAATTGGCAGATTTTTCCGAATAGTAGTACCCACCCTCCTTTACAAAGACGCGGCTGATCGCAGAGATTTGTTCTACGAAAACGTAATCGACCTAATATCTGACCCACTATACAAGGGACTCTGTTGTGAGATGGGGCTGTGTGAATCAGTCCCGCGCCGTACTATAGCTTGCATCTGCTTGATGTTGTGTAGGTGTGCTTCCTTTTCTTCAATACACGATAGGCACTGAAAAAATATGTCGTTTGGATGGTAGAGATCTAGGGTCGCAATCTGGCATGGTGTCTGCCTGTCTTTGATGAGGTGTTCATTGGTAAGGGTGTCGTGCTCATCATTGGTGGGTGAAATGAAATGGCATGATCTGTTGCCGCCTCACTGTCGCATTAACTTACGAGCTCATGGTGGTGAATGTTGAAATGGATCATCGATGCTTACCTGCGGCATGCTCGCCATTGTTTAAACGGTGCCAACAGTGATCAAAGGAAGGGCATATATCGAGTCGCCAGGAAAAATGCAATGTCTTCGAATGTTGTGTTAAACGACCAATAGAATGTTGAACCAGCTGCAATTTAAGAGTAGTTTGTATTTGAGCCCTCACAATTGATAATGATGATCTCATTCACGCAGACTGAATGCCTGGCTGAAATGCTATAAATACCAGACTCGTCACCAGAAGAACCGCCGTTCGCAAGCATTCCTTTGTGATTTTGGAACAAAGAATGACGATCGTGACTCGACTTCGCGGCCACTCTTTGGTATGGATTGACCTCCAAATCATGCAATGAAATAAGCTGACCTTTTATATCGCAATGGCCTAGTCTTTCTCAATAATAGAGTCTTTAGACAGCAAGTAAGTGTTGTTTCCCAGTCATTTAGAATCATGCTAAGTCGGAAGACGCTCGATATCAGCCCCGTTTCCGCTTCTCCTCAAATAACCCATTGAGCGAACCTTTCTGGATCCCGAATATCCCAAGCTGCGAGCACAGTGAGTTACAAGGTGTCTTCATGAACTGCCTACTGATGATTGATGATAAATAGATGTCATCTTTTATACAGTCCCCTGCAGCAGACAGCAATATCTGAGAACGTAAGTTTCAAAATATTCCGCGATTTTTAAGGCAGATATCATGCGCTGACGACCCTCTATATAGGATGGCAATCTTTCTATCGCGAGTCGCTCAATGTCTTGTAAGTCACGCTTGTGCTTTGCCCTGTTCATTCCCAACGCCCGGTCCTAGATTTCATTTTCCCTACCATTGCTATCCGTTCGTGGCTCTCTGTTCCTCAGCACGGATTGCTGATGATTCTTTTTCGTCATAGGGCGAGCTTCAATTTTACACTCGACCTGACGGAGTCATGTTCCCTCTCGTCTTCGAAACTAAACCAGCTTCAATAACCTCATGGGTCAAGCCACTGAATATTACTACGCTTGCGCCTTTGTTGTTTCTGAAGACGTGGTGAAAATGGCCAATTCACCTGGTGCGTTTAACGAGCCTAATTCAGAAAGGCTTGATGCCCTCTGCTTAGCCATACGGTAAGTCTCCAAAGTGTTTTCGTCTCTTCAGCATTACCTTTTCCGATCGAAGGCCATTAACCAGGTTATTAAGAACTTGCCATATTCCGACAGCTATGATCCCTTGCCGACCTCCGATCCAGAGCCTCGTCGGCTTGTTGATCTCGAACGTAGCTGTGATGTTCTGTCACTGTGGGCCTGTCACATGTGCCCGACGCGAGGCGCTGCGACGCGTCAGTGCACGGCCTTGTCGCCCGTAGTATACCGCCGGGTGCTGCCTTAGGTCGGTGTCAAGTGACGACAGAAAACAAGAGGCCCAAGAAATAAAAACGTACGCGAGACGAACCGGGAAACCAGCGGGTTGTGAACACGATGCATGAGCGAGAACCGTCTTTCTGATGAATGGTCATTCAAATGCACCCTGCGGGAGTCGAACCCGGTTCGTTATTTTGAGGTAAATGAGACATATTGTTAGGACAATCCCATTGAGGGACGTCCTGGTACAATAAGGATACGAGTGAAGAATGTGAGATATGCCTGACATGGGTATGATGATATTCAGACTAATCGCTGGTCCTCCTAAGAGGATCCAGCTCCTCCTTTTAAGGGGATCCCTGTGTGCGTATGCAAGCAGGTAAGCGAGGTGATGTATCAACAAGCGGCTCCGGTGGTGGTTAGGCACCTCCTCCGCATTTCCTATACCGCATTGTATGGTTGGCGTAACAGATAAAGAGTTACTGTGTATTACACCCACTTTTCGGTTCAATAATGCATTCTTGGGCAAGACCATTGTAAGATCATAAATGCTAGCATTCCTATCACCAAGTCCTATTTGTCTTATTTTACGTACATCAATGGTACTTACAGTGATATCAAGTGGGATTTTCCGGTAGCAAGGTGGGCAGCAGAATTGTGGACAGACCATGCTGCGTTGGTCCAGGCTTCGGAGTATATAGTTCGAGATACGATCAGGCTCCTATAAAAGGAAGCAACATCACAACAACATACTTGTTTGAAGCAGGCTCATAGGAGTTGGGAAGCTGAATCTGCCTCCGCAAGGTTTGAGGCTTGACTTTGTTTGCTTCGTTGGGCTCGTAGCGCCTGCACGAGGTCTTATATATGAGGGAACGGAAATCAATGCGCAGAAAAGATCCCGTAATGGTGATGCCGGCCTTTAAACAATATGATCGAACAATAGGGTGACTTTTTGAAATATAGAGCACCCTAGAAGAAGGGACAAAGTGGACGCAAGTAACATTCTAAAGGAAAGAAAAGGAAAACAAAAAAAATCATGATAGCTCAACATCCTGTGGTTTGCGACGTCGACCAGAGTTATCATTTCATCTGTATGGTGACACCGTTCGAAGAGACTTGCCGCTCAAGAAAAGCTTTCAGCGCGCTAGGATACCAAATACCGAAGATGACCATGGAAAAGAACATGGGAACAGAATCAAAGATATACAATGTCCATTCATGCTTCAATGGGTAACCATCATCTCCCATGGCGTATTCAATTACTCGAAAAATGGACCGTATGAGAATGAGCGTGCTGATGGCGAAGAGGCTTTTCAGATGCTGCTTCCAGGGTACGCAACCCTCGAGTACTTCGATAGTCGGGCGGGCGCGCATCCTAACCAAGGATATATAGGCAGTAGCAATGAACAGGCCGAAACTGACCACTTGTAGGGCTAGACCAGTAATCACCACCCCTTTTCCGATGCTGGCCATACCGCTACTGACCATCATCCCTGCCGCAGATGCCTGCATCAAGAATGTGACAACATCACAAGTGACAAATATCTTAGTGAGCCATTTCACAGGAACAATAGAATCCTTTTCTCCATGGACGCTTTGGATGATGCGAGCGAGTACCATGTAGACTGATGCAGCGAAGAGGGCTGGACCAAGAAGAATGAAAGTTGACTGAATAGAGTAAGGAATCACCTTGTCCGTGTGATTGTGGGAGTCGATTCGGGCGCCAAACCCAATGATTTCGACTGGAAAATGGAGCATTAGTCAACGAATCGTACTTTTACCGGCAAAGATGCTTACATATGCCACCGATGGCGAAAGGGAGCGTGAACTTCACTCTGGTCTTGAAAATCTTCCAGAAATGATAAGAGGTGGTCGCGAGGAAAAGAATAAAAAATATGATCGCGGCGGCCATGGATGGCAAATATTGCCAAACATAGTAGGAGCCGCCATCCAGCGGCATCGGTTTAGCCATGCTTGATGTATTGTAAAAGGACTCGAAGGGGGTTGTTTGATCGGTTGTAAGAGGAATAAATTTCGTTTGTTCTAAATATGAGGTGTGGACTTTGATAAATCATTTTTAGACAGCTCCATGTGGAGAATACTATAAGCCCACAATATATGTCCACTTACCAATCAAAAGGGCAACAGTACGCGTACTCAAATGTATGAGAGCCCACATACTCAAAGGGATAAAGTTGCAAGATGGGCCGTGCGTCCGCGGATTCACATCCTGTTGATTGGCTGAAATGATTAACATTGGTACGGCTCCTATGGCTTGGCATTGTGGGTCCAGGATGCAGGTTATTTGAGACAGGCGCGTATCTCCGCAGATTGAATCATCATTGATATTGATTTGATATTACCCAACATAATCATAAAAGGGCTATTGACAGAAAAGAGGGGCCAGAAATTGGACCAAAAAAAAAGTTGGAACAGAAGCCCCAAGCACTAGACCAGTTTTAGTCATGGCTAGAAACAGAAAGGAAAAGGCCCTGAGAGCCGAACATATATGTACCGACGAATAAGAGACACGTAGTATCAAAAATTTGAATCATATTCGACCTGAGACTATATCGCTCAGCTTTGTTGCATCCCTTTGTTGTTATACCGCTTTGCACTGATGAAGATGAGCCCAGAGACCGTATCCACCCCTCTAGCCGGTAAATGTTACGATCTTGCAAAAGCATTTAGATGATGAAATATCCTTGTTAAGTCTCCTGAGAGTGTATGCAGGCAGAGCCCAAGGGCATATAGTTATTCGAGGTTGACAATAGTGAGATAAATTATGACAGTTGATCGGTTAGAAGCTGATCAATGTGACAGGGAAATGAACGTCCTCAAATAGAGAACTAACAAGAGAATGCAAACGGTAACTGATATGTTTTTGATCAATTGGACGATGAGCCATGTGGATCAATAGGTTGCCGTTGATGAGCCTCGAATTTCCGAAGGATAGACTGGCGATGAATCTCTCCCTTCGGTGAATCAACCAGATACTTTCCTTCTTTGGCTCTCGCCTGTATGATGTGTTTCCGCGTTTTACAATGTGTTGCCGTATACAGACTTTTCATCATACCATGCGCTGGATATGCTATCAAACCCAGTGCCGCTGCAAAGAGACTTTTAGCGATTATCGAGCTCGGTGACAGAGATGCACATACCTGAGGACACCTTGGTGGTAGTCCCAAGAGTTCCCTTGGCGAGACCTTTAATGACACCCTTTGCCCCCTCTTTCTGCCCGCCTTTGTAAGGCTGAGAAAAGATGTCCGTTAGTCCTTCCGCCATGCCGTGAACGAAGCTTTTGCCGGCAAAGGTAGCTCCTGATTTCCAATCTCGGATATTCCCGTGATCCTTCACCTCATCACCATAAAGACGTGGCACAGCTCTTAGTCCGTCACTGACTGCTAAAGGCATATCTACCAACATTCCTTTGTACCAAAAGCCAACCATCCTTCCGGCACTCTTCGCTGATCCTTTCAGTGTCGATCCAGTCATTTTCAATTTCGAGTCTTTTTTGCCTTCATGAGAGTTCACGGAATTGGCCGTTAAAGATGTTATGCTCGAAGTCCTAGAGTCAGAATGTTCATAGTTTGAGTGAGGAACGCGGCGAAGTTCTTGATACGGACGATAGAAGATATCGCCTGATGCCTGGAGAACATCGGTGGCGGTACCCAGGAGTGAGGAAGTGATTCCTGTCACCGGATCCCACCGTCGATTCTGGATATGTATTGGGTTCACTTCGTGGCTGTTCTATTGGTTAGATTCGGCAAGAAGACGCGAAATGAGGAGATATGCTCACAGGTGAAGATCGCTTAGCTTGATGCGGGAGTATTCGACCAAGACTCCCGCGGCAACCTTTGACAAGGAAAGAGAAGTTTTAGATGATTTCCTGAACCGCCACACTGCTGGTTCTGAGGGAAGAAGCTGACATCTCATCTTATCAAGTGGGAGGTTGCGATGAAAGGAGGCGACTGCCTGAGAAACCCCGTCCTCATGGACCATCTGGTTTGCGACATCTAGTGCAGCCAACTGTGCGTCTGGCTGTAGACAGAACTGGATAGCTTCGGCTAGATTTTGAGCATATAAAGATTTGTAAGGGATAGGCTTTGGTCCTAGCCCCCGAGATGCAACCATGTTTCCCCAGAATAGTTGACTAAAATTCATCAGTTATAATTTATGTTCTCCAGCCAGAGGAACTTACTCTCCAAAGAAGGGTATGATAACAGTAGATCTTCCAAAACGCAGACCACATGCTGTGGTTCCTGCACCGCCGTGGTGAACAACTGCATCAACACGTTGAAATAGCCATTCATGCGGGCAATCGTCAAGATAAAAGACTTGATCGTCTGAGCAGGCGTTCTCGCCGCCCAGCTTACTCCAGCCACGAGATATGATTGCGCGAACACCTAGTGACTTGATGGCGTCTAGAAGCATAGATGTCATTGCAGCCGGCTCGTCTATAACGATGCTACCAAAGCCAATGTACACTGGGCGACTCCCACGTCGAAGAAATGATTCGAGATCAGCCGGCGGCGAATAATCTGGAACGGACCGGAAGAAGAAACCACAGACATCAATATGTGATGGCCAATCTGATGGTTTTGGCATAAGGCTCGGAGACCAGCAGTATGTAAAAGGCACTTTTAGGGTCTCTGCTAGATTAGGACCCTCCGTAACCGGGATCGGTTCTAAATCGAGTGACGCTCTCCACTCATTAATGATATCGCCAAGACTAGTATCATAGTTAGCATTATTAAACATATAACAGAGCGACTTAGAGCTCTAGGGGCCTTAGGTTATTTACCCTTGCCACGTCATCCATTCGACAACGCTATAGGAGATATAGTTGGCCATTTTTGGTTCAGTTGTCGAATATTTCAAATTTGCCAGAGGATGCGGGAAAGATCTCGTACTACTCCACGGCATTGTGAACATCAGATGCAATGGAATAGACAAAGCCTGTGCACAGTGAATGTGGGCAAAACTCGGGGGATTAGCAATAATCGCATCCGCCACAAAGGGCTCGTCGCTTTCTTGGTCATCATCAATGCAGGAATGCCAACATCCCCGAAGCATTTCAGCGACCATACTGCGTTTACGCTGGATTTCTCCATCTCGCAGGCTTTTCATCTGGGGAATCAGTCCCGGGTTCTTCACCATGTAGGCCATAAGCTCCGAGGGGTCTCCGCCGATAGGATAAAACTCTAAACCCGAGTCACGAACGAAGGACTTGAAAACTCCATGCGTTGCGATTCGCACACGGTGGCCATGTTTCTGAAGTTCATTCCCGAGCGCAATAAAGGGTTGAACGTCTCCCCGACTTCCGACGACTTGGATAACGACGTTGAGCTGAATGTCACAATCGAAAGGTAATGGTGCAGCCGTTTCGGAATCAGGGTGTTCGTGCGAATGGGGAATTAATTTTGCAACAGTCTTACACAGGGAAGAATCAAGATCGACCTCAATACGGCCATCATCTATCAAAAGTTACTATCTTATGCATCGCGACTTGAGAGGTGTCTTCCTATAACCACCTTGCTTGAGCTGCTTACCTTTGACGCTTGCTCCTTCTTTTGACCAACCAATAGCCTCAAGGAGAGAATATCTTGGGGGTGGTTCTTCCATGAGGAGCGATCGTAGCAAACTGCAGGTTTCTTGGATCCGAAGTCAAATTTCCCTGATGGTTGACTTCTATAGCTAGGGAAGAATGACCCAGAAGGAGCGGTCAGAAGTCAGAAAATTCGAAGTCGCCACACAATTGCAGTATTTCAAGACTATTCAGGGCTGTCGTCCAAATCAAGAAGCAAATAGGCCCTGGGCACTAGTGAGGATACTTTGCTAGCGGCCACCAAACAGAGACGCTAAAGTTGGTGGGAGCGACGCAATACTCGGCACAAAGCCCTCTCAAGTTCTATGAGGAAAATTTAGGAGATCCACTACTATCCCTGATTTGTTCTAGTCTCTGACCCACTGAGAAGAAATAATTGATATTTTACGTTCAACTAAGCTCAATGGCTCAAGGGATTTATAGTTTGACCCATAAGGAAGCCTTTTTGAAGGTTGTGGACAAATCAATGGCCAGGAAATCCGCGTATGCACGCTCCACCAATGAAGCTCCACCAATGAAGCCCCACCAAGGTAGCTCCACTTGTTCCTGTATGCAGTTCCGCGTACTGCCACGCTCATGATTGGTTCAGAATACAATGAGAGTCACTCTTCAGGTTGGCATCTTCTAGGCACCTTCTAGGCATCTTCTTCTGCCTTGAATATCACCTCGTTTCTGTTCCACATAAATTGGAGTAATGGGGTACTCATCATGGATGGTGGGGCTCATGCCAGGTACCGTCAATCAATGCTATTTATAAATTTTAGAGAGTGGACTGGATTATGTAGATGGCTAAGTATTGCGAGACTATTCGATGACGTTGAACCGTGACATACTGTTAATTCTTGAATCGTGCTCCACCGCATTCGCCTTCAGGTATAAATATCAATTCCAATCTCCTGTTTCCTGGTGGATTGTATTCCAATATTTCACTGCAACGCTTTGCAAATGTTTTCCCTCAAAGTACAGTCCTTGCTCTTAGCTCTCTCGGCCACCTCTTTCGCCAGCCCGGACTGCAAAATCTCACCTGCAGATTCCGCTTGGCCCTCTTATGATGAGTGGGGTGCGTTGAATCACTCGATTGGGGGAGTCCTGATCAAGACTGCCCCTGTCGCCTCGTCTTGCTATTCAGGAAACCCGTTTGGTTCGCCCCAGAATTGTACGGACGTGCAGAGTAAATGGTCATATGCAGCATTCCACGCATCCGTGCCAGAGAGTATCGATTTTCCAATCTACACGAACAATTCCTGCGTTCCTGATGGAGCCACCGGCTATACGGAGGGAAAAGGCTGCAGCATCGGTGGCCTGCCACAATATATTGTGAATGCCACGACAGAACACCACATCGCCATGGCGATGAGATGGGCCTCGCAAAGAAATATTCGAATCGTGGTGAAGGGAACCGGACATGATCTCAGTGGTCGGTACGTTGTTTCGATCACTGGTGCGATTTCAAATTACGTTCGCTAATGTTCATCTAGGTCAACCGGAGCGTTCGCACTTTCTATCTGGACGCACAATCTCAAGCACATCAAACATGATAATGCCTGGCTCTTACCCGGTCGCAACGAGACAGCGGACGTTTTATTCTGCGGTAGCGGAAACAACTGGGGAAACGTCTACACTGCAGCCCATCGCTTCAATAGAAGTGCCGTCGGCGGTGAAGATTCTACTGTAGGACTCGGGGGCTTGATCCAGAACGGTGGTCATGGATATCTATCCAGCCACTATGGACTTGCATCAGACCAGGTATATCAAGCCACTGTGGTCACAACTGATGGTCGAATTCTTGTCGCAAACAGCGTGCAGAATCAAGACCTCTTTTGGGCCATTCGTGGTGGCGGTGGCGGCCAATATGGTGTGGTGACGGAATTTGTTTTGAAGACACATCCCGTTCCAGAAAATGTTGTCAAGGGGAGCCTTGTGTTCTATGCGACCGAAGACTCTGGTAAAAGTGTGAATGCCTCCTGGAGCGCCTTGACCGAGGTTGTTTCTCTCATCCCGGATCTAATGGATGATGGCTTGCTCGGTAACTTTACAGCATACACCAAAACAAACTCATTGGCGCTTGGCTTCAGCGAGGCACCACCGGGCGTCTCAGCAGTCATCGGGCTTATCGGTTACAATAAAACAACAGACCACATGAACAATATTGTCAGCAACCTAGCAAACCGTATCAACACCATTGGCTCTGCTCGCTACCTGAACATTTCAGTTGAACAAGCGACAACCCAAAGCTACTGGTCCTTTGTCTATCCAGACGCTTCCCTCAGCCACACTGCCGGTGCTGTCAGTTTGATGACCAGCCGGCTAATGGGCCGTAGGGAGCTATCAGATATCCCTCGGGAGCAATTGACCACATACCTCAAAGAGGCCCTACAAGCTGAGGATGAGGAAACCGGGACAATGTTGTTGTTTGGCTTGCAAGGAGGTCGCGGGACTGCTAGTGTCCCAGAGGACATGCGCGGCAGCGTTCTTCCTGCTTGGCGCAGCGCATATGCTCATGTTTTCACCTTGGGCGCATCAGTCAACGCCACGGGTGACCCAAGCGAATCCCTAAGGGCTGGTGCCGACTGGTATGAAGCCGTTAAGGAGCCTCTCTGGGCAAAATGGGCACCTGACACCGGGTCCTACATGAACGAAGGCAACCCCTTTTGTAGCGCATGGAAGAAGGATTTCTATGGTGAAAATTACGACAAGCTTCTTTCGATCAAGCGCAAGTATGATCCCTCTGAGAGTTTGTTTGTCTGGACTGGTGTCGGGAGTGACTTCTGGAACTATGACTTGCAGACTGGTCTGCTCTGCCGAGTGGCACCGGGAACAGTGGAAGAACCCCTTTGAAAAAGTGAGGCCTATAGGGCCAGCACATTTCTTACAAGAGGAAGACATGAAAGAGAAAATGGTCCGCTTCGCTAGATTTCCTCTTCAAAATCAGTTCCGATTCTTTTTTGCTTTTTGTACCCGAAGACCAATACTCCTTTTGGTCGAAGATCCAATTTATACACAAGATGTACGTGGAAAGATTTGCTCTTACTGAATAGAAAGGTACATGCATACTTGGATAGAAAAACGTATTATTTTGGTGATTTCATTTTACGGTTGATCTACCGGAGAGCTTCAAATCGAGATACTACCTGTGGTAATCTTAAAGCACCCGATAGTATTGGGTAGCAAAGTCGTTCCATGCGACATTTATTATACAAGAACAAAAGATAGTCCGGGCTTTGAACCCGTTCTGCCCATCGGCTTGGTCGGTTTCAGCTTGCTTCTGGCAAGGTATAATGTCGCCGCGGGAAAGGCGAAAGATCAAGTCAAATCTGGGAGAGGGATCGGGAAAATTGAACTTGGCGAAAGACGAAGTCAGGTACCGTAGGTTGTTAGCATACGATTTACTGCGGTCCGATAGTTGGAAGGAGACGATATTGAGATGCTATGCAGTATGCAATTTGCTAGGGATCGACACAGCACTTGTGAGTCAGGGCCCGCTAATCACCAATCGCGGACCGTCCATTCAGCACGTTCGGGCCAAAGCCGGTCCAATCACACAATTTTCGTTCCGCGTATCTGCCTTATAAATCCCCTAGATGTATACACTTATCGAAAATTAGTACTCCACCTGATCATGAACAAGCTCTATCTCGACAGCCCCCTTCTGGATGCCTCCTCATCCAACAAATGAGAAATCCCGATACCTGATGTTTCAGCTCCACTTGACTCTTCAGGGGTTTGACTGGGATTCTCTAACATACGGGTGGCGGGGATGTGCTAGCTCCCGTCATCTCGGATACATACTAGTCCCCCTTTCTGCTTTCCAAAACACATTAGCCCTCGGTTTCTAAATATAGAATAGAACGGATTTAGTACCTTTCTAGAAAAGATATAGAATATAGTGTATACATAGATACATACCTAGTTCTAAGGGTAGTCCCCGGCTTATTATTATACGGAAAATTAGGGAACCTATTTTCTAAAGCAAAAATAATAAAAGAGGTCTCTCAGCCTCGGCATGCCGAGACACCCCCGGGACCACCATTCAGGTAAGCAGATCTTCAGGCTTATACCCAAGTAAGTGTCTAAGCACAAGTATGTCAGGGACAGCTCTTAAGACAAGATATCTAAGCTTCAACACACCGGGGACTACCCTTAGAACTAGGCACGTGTCTAGGTGTGTGTCCAGGTGCATATCCAGGCATGAACCCTGTTCTATATCATTTCCAGAAAGGTACCAAATCCGTCATGTTTCGCAACTAATTCAACTCATAGATCCTGTATAACCTATAAGGACCTAGAATATGCTATAAACATCTATAACTCTTAAATAAGAGCTTTATATAGCTCGTCCTTATATAAGTAGAGTATATTATAATCATTATACTTTAATCTAGACCTAATCCCTATGAAATACTTAAGAAAAAAGAATAGTCTATATTCTTCCTTTCTTAAGAACTAGTCTTATCATCAATTTACACTATATTAATATCCATATCGAAACCTACTTATTTCAGTATCGTTTTATATCTAATTCACCTATCTCTTACTTTCACTTCACTATCTTCTTACCTAGTCTTTCCTTCTCCTTACACACTAAAAGAGTAGGTCCGTAAAATATACTAGATTAACAGATATTCATAATATATTCTAGATCCTTATAGTCTAGATATAATCTAGATACCTAATCTAGTCTGAAGTATAACCGTGGGCGGCGGGAGTATATATCAGGGGCTATTTATAGGATAGAGAAATCGAGTAGAGGGTTAACTAGCTTTAATAGTATAGTATAGGAGCTTTTAGTCCCGTGGGGGCTAAAACTACAGGATTAAATTTCTGATTTCTAAAATTTGATTCAAAATGTTTTAATTATTAAAATAGTCACCGCTTCAAATTATTCCAATGACGTAGCTTTATCATTCATTTATATCATCTTCGGCTCACGACATTCTCATCTACTTCGTTCGTGGCTGCTGTAGTCAACCTAGTGTGACTGACACTTTTATTGCTCACTAAGCCGCTTGTTGGATGTTTTTCGGCCACTGTAGCCAAGCATCCCAGGTGGCATGCAGGTAGGTGGAAACAGAATCAATGATATATAATCCACTGTCTCCAAACGTCCAAATCTCATGATGCAAATGTAGCAAGGCACCGAAACGAGCAAGAATGACAAGAGCTTCAGGTCGTTTCTCTGCTAAGAGATCTATGTAGCTGAGGGGCACAGCAACCAGCCATGAAATGATTGGCCCGATTGTCGATTGTCCCGAAGGATGATTTTGGCTTCCATTGATAGCCACCTGGAGAGAATTAATTGTCTCCAGATAGGTATTTCTAGCAGACGAATCGATCAATGCAGATTCCACCAGTGCTAGTAGCTCGGAACATTCCACTAGAGGTTCCTGCTGCATCAATGCGCTTGATTCCAGTTCCAGAAGTTGTTTGAGTGGCGAATCGAGAAGAAAATCCCACGATTGATTGGCAATTTCAAGGACATGTTTGTGCAAATGGAATATTTCGATGAAGTCAGCGAGGAGATCGCCAAAATCCTTTCGGCAAAATGTAATTCTTTGGCAAAACACGTGAAGAGCACGAATCGATGTGAAAAGAAAGACCGTAAGGCAATTCCTTACATCTATCGTGGGTTGCTCCACTCTGAACAAAAAGAGACCATGGGCTTGAAGTTGAGTTGCGTGGTCTTGAAATTCTTGTTTTCTGGTCGGAAAAATGACGCTCAAATGCAATGCGGTAAACGCAAGAATTTGATTCACTAAGTAGGGCGCAGTAAAAAGTCTGTCCATAATCTCCCTGTTGAAGGTTCCGAACTTGGATTTATCATAATTAAAGAGCGCCAGGTCTTTGTTGATCAGATGTCGAAGCAATTCGAGATGAAGCATATTGACTGGTGAGTTGCCAAAACCCCTATCGAGAGTAGATCTGCTAGATAGGCTTGTATCGCTATCATTCTCAATTGATGTCATCGTGTTGGTTATACTTGGCAATGATGTACACCCAGAGGTTTCGGACTGCGATGCCGGAGTCTCTTCGTAAGAACACTGATACTCAGTGATATTGCAGTAGCCACAAGATGGGCGTCCCTCATCACACTGATAACTAATGTCAATATCCGACTAAATTTGCTCTCATCTTGTACCCTTCTCGGAAGAGGTGACATACCTTGATGTGGCGACGTTTGCATCGAACACAACCGTTCCTTGACTTCTTGTGAGATTTTCTTGTAATAGTAGTCATTATATTGGTAAAAGTATCACAATAATTGAGGAGAAATTGAATTTCCGTAAGATGCGTCCTACTATCGAGGGATTTATGGCTTCGGTGAGGAGAAATAAAGATAAGACCAAGAACACAGGAAAGCTTGGACATTTATGTGACGAAGTAGTCACCCTAGTATATGCGGATTTCCGAGGTTTTTGACCGGCAGAATATCGTGTACTTGTGGGGGTGTGGGGCTCTAGGTTGTAAATATATTCATCGTGTTATTGTACAATCCAAGCTCGTAACTACAAGTGTACGCAATACGCAGAAACTTCTGGGCGGGCCGTTTCATTTTGACTACGATGGTTTTATTGCCGCTTTAAGCCCTAAATGGAATCTGCTACTAATCAATGACAAGTATTGCTAGGTTTTACATAATGAGTGGCGGAAGAAATTCGACATGTGAGGACCGACATCATAGTTGTTTGATAAAATAAGGCCGTGCTGTAACTTACCAATGGCTGTATACGCGGAATTCTCGCGTGCTGATTGGCTCAACTTCACCCCTGTGGATGGGCTGGTTAGAACTTGGAACGGTACATGTGGGTAGACCCTGACCAATACGTATTCGTATATGATCCACCACGGTCGATTTAGGCAGCATGGCCATATTGGGTCAATAATGGAAAATGTAAAGGTTTGATTTTATCTACTGACCCTGCAACTGGACTACCAATCGTGTTGACCGCTATCCAGGGTAGTAATGTTTTCAATGATCACTTCATTTTTTCAGTATCGCGTATTATGTGTAATTTCATCCTTTTCCGGTGGGACGCCTTCCATTTTTGACCACAATAAAATGACAATGCTTTCACCCTGACAATTTGTTTACTTTCAACTCTCGTGACTGCCTCATTCGCAAGCCTAAATTGTAAATTTTCACTTGCTGAATCAGCATGGCCCTTATCGAATGTACGGGCTGCATTGAACCGTTTAATCGAGTGGGCTCTGATTAGACCCGCCTCGGTCGCATCATCTTACTATCCTGGTATTCCATTCAATTCACCGGAGAACTATACCAGCCTGCAGGATAGATGGACCCACGTAGCGAATTATGCTGTCTGGCCTGAGAGCGTTGGCTACTTTACTCGAACAACTCCTTCGTTCCTAACGATGTCAAGGCTTATGCTATAGAAAGAAGCTATAGTATTAGTAGACTACCGTAGTATAATATGAACGCTACGACTATCGGATATGTCTCTAATGTAACTAAATAGGCGTCCGAGCGGACTATTCGGATCGTCGTGAAAGGGACAGGGTATGACATAAAAGGCCAGTATATTAACATAATTCACAAGCGAGCCGGACACCTAGTCAGTCCTGACATCGCAGAGCATCATAGCAAAGGCGATTTTTAATACTGTACAATTTGAAAACCATGAGTTCATTTTGATGCGTATTTCGCCTATACATATCGATAAGCATTTTATGCCTTATATAGACTTGTGAGTAAATCGACAATTGATTTAATCGTGATACTATAAATGACGAATTGATTCATCAAATTTTTATGACCCCAACTGTCCCGCGCAGGAGCGTAGCCAACTGAGCCAAAAGACTAAATATATCCGCAAGGTGCGAATATACCCAGGTACCGATTGATACAGTAGCGCACTAGCGTTCGAGCACTGGGGTGCCGTAAAAATTAGTTTTGTCTTTATTGCAATACACTTGAAAGAGATATCTTCAACCTCGTCTTGCCAATACCCTTTAGCTTATCAAATAAATGAACTCTAAAATGCTGTTCCAGTAGCTCTACTAGGGCCGCTATCCTGATAAATAGCCATCAATAGGCTAAAGAGAGCTATTGGATGTAAGTAGGGATGATTTACTAGAATTTTCATAGTAGTCTATGGTTTCCGAGAACCCAGAAACTAAAATGATGTTATAGCTTAGACTACAAGGCGGCCGTAGGCCTACTAATGTCCCAGTATCTATTTGTAAAAGTGTTCTTCCCGCTTAGAGCCCCGCATAAGCTCACGTCATGACTCTAGTTGCCATTATATGGACGATTAATGATGCAAGTAAATCTCCAACTCCTGCTAAATATTGATACAAGGCTGTTAGGGAACCGATTTAGAGAAATTAGGCTCGCAATACCGGTGCCTACACAGACGAGGAGAACTAGTCCAGTAGCTCCTGAAAGAAAGACTTCTACGGTGAGAACTATGAGAAGCTCCTTGCTATCAAACGCAAGTTTGATCCTCGCGACAGTCTTTTTGTTTGGAGTTGTGTCGGCGGTGACTTGTGGAATTATGATCTGAACTGTAGATTGCTATGGCGGGTCAAATCATGATTCCGACACAAAGAAAATTGTAGCACTGCTTTCTAATATTAAATGCTACATATCAGAGTTCTTCCTAGCCCCATGTTTACACTGGGAACGGTCACGTGTTATCTTCCTGTGATCCTCTCTGTCGAAAGATGGTTGTTATGAACCATGGCTCATCGTAAGGCAAGTGTGTTCCTAGGACAGCTGGTGTCTTAGGAACACTTGACCGCGGCATATAGTGCGGTATCCAGATTCATGCGATGGCTGTTGTCGTACGAAAAAATCAAACGTAGTTCATCGTGGGATCTTCCGTATCCTACGGTCTATGGATCTTTGGGAAGGCATATAAATTCGATAGCTGATATGGAAATTTCTTACAGGTTATCAAAAAGACAAAGTTCATTTGAAAGAATCCAATTTTATGCTTTGTACCTGCCTCTACATAGAAATTAATTCCATTGGATAGGAGCACGTGGTATGCAAAATCTCAAATATGGCTTACCAAGAAAGGAAAAACGCTCACACGGCATATTTTACGCAAGATTTACAATTTATAAACTTTCAATGCGACCCTAGAAAATTTACTTTGCGGGTCAAATTATTGGTTGTTGTGGGTCTGTGAAAATGCTAGCTGGATGCCCGTAAGATTGCCACTGTGGAGCACGTAAACTTGAACTATGAAAAACCTATTTCTGTCTGCCTTTCATTTTTCTACTCAGACACTGCTGACTACCTGCAAGTTTCATCAAATATCGTACATTCACCAAAGCCACCTTCTTAGCTCGCCATCGTTTTTCTTGCTTTGAAGCCTATCTTGAACTACTGCGACACCGGGAGCTGAAGACTTGGGCACCACAGAATGAGCACCGGGACAGATAAGCAAAAAGTTAAAGGCACACAGAAGAACACAGGCGGCACGATGCTGTTTTTACAAACAACGGAACGAAGAATTCGATCCGCCTCACTCTCGACTGCCGCAAGATTGCTCGATTACAACCCAGCAGCCGGTATGTGGCAAGCGACCGGCACCGCTATCGCGCATGCTCCAAACATCACAGACCTGAGATCACCCGACGCGGTGGAATTCGATATACACGGGCGAAGCATACGTCGAGTGGGCACCCAAGCCGCGGGTGGTGCCAGTAAAGCCCCAAAAATGACTGCAATCTTGGCTGAGCCATACCTTTCAGAAAACAAGGAGGTAGCTGGTGGATCAAATGAGTTACCTTCCAGTGCTCGCAGTGATCATTCTGGGATTTCTAAAAAGGACCAGGAAAAGTTCTCTCGGTGCAAAGCATTAAAAAAGGGGCTTGTTGCTACCTGGCGATTTACCTGCACACCTACCGGGCTTTTCATCCTTGTATACGGTCTCAACGTGATTGCCTGGGGTGCAATGCTATTTTTCCTCTTGCTGAACGTCGGTATGATGAGCAAAGAGCGAAAAAAAGCTTTGGATCGAAATCGACTCACAGATTCTCAATGGGTTGTTCTGTTTAACTTCTTGGGGGTTGGCACCCTGGCGAATTCGTGACACATACTGGTTATTGATGTGGCGCATCGGATGGGGCGAAAGATCACGAAGCTCGATAAAACACCTTGCAAAGGGAAGCACAAGTTGGTTTCGAATGCGGAATTGTGATACTGAGGAGAATTGCGACGAAATCCCGCTTCGCAAGACTCTGACAGGCAAATCCGCTCCGGCAACTAAGACGTGGAAAATGGACTTCGTTGTCATCAACATGCTCTTGAACAGCCTTTTCCAGATCGGTATGGCGACATTCATGTGGGAATACAACCGAAATACTCGTCCAAGCTTCGGCGTCGGCCTTTTCATTGGCCTGGGCTGTTCTAGTTCTCTCCTGGCAGGGGTAATGACCTGGTGGGAGGGTCGCAAAGTCAAAATGATCGAGGGGTCGATTCTGGAAGAGATCACTGAGGAACATGAGAAGAAGATAGTCCTCGTAAATGTGCCTTGACCTGTTGAATCGTTCATGTACTTTCAACCATTATTAGCCCTAGTTTGTCGCGATTCATCTGAGCACCCACCCACCGTGTTGCGTCACTTCGTACATGTTCTAATGAAAATGTTACCTATTGGCAACGACCATAGAATGGCAATGTCCCGAATACGCGGAACTAGGGGATTCTAATTGGCTGATAGCAGTGCCGCACTCGTATCACAATACTGCGCGCACCCCACCTGGCGGTGAGGGTGCGCGTCACAATTAGAACAATTGTCAGAATTAGAACAAATTCACACAACCAACCTTCGTGAAGCTATTACCATCCACCAGTATGTCGTATCGACACAAAATTGACGAATCTCGTGTAGCTGAGGCTTGCAAAGCCGCCAGTCTTGTTGAAAACCCGAATTTGTCGCAAATCGCAAGGCAATATGGTGTTTTATATGGGGTATTGCGGGGACGCATTCGCTAGGGTAAACAGCCTCGTACAGCACCAAAACCAGAAAATAGAGCTCTTGATGATATTCAGGAGGAAGCCTTGATTCTGTAGATTGTGGAATTGAACAAAGATCACATGCCAGTAACCCCGGTGTTGCTCCATGAGATGGCGCAGCTCTCGTTAGTTCGCGCAGGCTCAGATCATATCTTAGGCGATCGCTGGGCTTATCGCTTTATTAAGCGTCTGCCAGAGGATGTGAAACTATCGTCAGTGAAGCAAAGAACGAAGGAGTATAAGCGTATTCAGGCAGAGGACGTATGGAAGCTCGATGTGTGGTATATGAAGCTGAAAAATGTGATCAACAAGAATACCCCAGCACGGTTGGTATACAACTTCGACGAATGTGGTTTCCAACCAGAAAAGGGCAAGAATCGAAAAGTGATTGGACAGAAAGAAGGGCCTGATCTTGGAGAAAACGAGCATTCAGAGACTATTACTGCTCTAGAGTGTATTGCTGCAGATGGTTGGTTTATGGACCCGTTGTTCGTTTTTAAAGGTACTACCTTCCAAGAAGTTTGGTATGATAACAGTGAGGGCCTGCCACCATATACACTTATAGCAGTATCTCCAAATGGCTGGATTTCTCATGAACTACTTCTTGAGTGGCTTGGGCACTTTCAGGAAGCAACAAAAGAGCGAGTGGAACCTAATGAGAAGCGTATTGTGATCTTTGATGGTCATAACTCTCATCTTACAGTTGAATCCCTGGAAAAATGTTAGGAATATGAGATTTTACCAGTTGTATTTGAGCCTTATACGACTCATCTATCTCAGTCTCTTGATGGTAAGCCTTTCTTGGCTTATAAGCAGCATTTCAAGGTGGTCAACAATAAGATATCGTACTTTGCAGGTGTACTGGCTGGTAAATCAGAGTTCTTGAGAGTTATCACCAGAGTACGCGTCCGTACCTTCAACACTCGAATTATCTGTGATTCGTTTAAAGAACGTGGTATTTTCCTAGTTAATGGTAAAGATATTGTTAAGAAGCTTCGTATGAAGCTTCCAATAAGTTCTCAGAACCGTGATATGGATACATCTCAGCTACGACTATACGGAGAAGAGCATACACTACCTCCCCCAGAACCTAGATTATCTAGTATTGAGAATTCACCTCCAAAATCAATATAAGCTGCTAGAAAGAATCATCGAAAGCTGGAGAAGCTATTCAGAAAAGAGGCAATACCCCCAAAGCTTGAGCGAGGGTTAAATCGTCTTCTGAAACATCAGGGTGTTATCATAGAACATGCAGCACCAACCAACGATATTATTCGTTGTATAACAGCTGTACGTCGTCCTCTACAATGCTAATTTCACAAGAGACAGGTAAAGCCACTCTCTGGCTCTAATATATTGAGTGTACGTGATGCCAACTACTCAATTAAAGCCAGAAAGGAGAAGGAAGCAACAAAGGTCGCAAAACAAGCTGCAAAACGAATGGGCCTCAAGTTCAACCAACCAACAGCAACAGAGGTTTCACAGGCAAATCAGGCATCATTAGATGCGGAAAAAGTTGCTCGAGAGGGTGGATTACTTTTTTGGTTCGATTCGAATCCAGTGCGTTGAGAAACGTAAATAGTTTCAATTTGTTCTAATTCTGACAATTGTTCTAATTGTGACGCGCACCCTCACCGCCAGGTGGGGTGCGCGCAGTATTGTAATACGAGTGCGGCACTGCTAGTGCTCTCGGCAGAATAAAATGTAGCGCTGCCGCGACCCACAAAAGTAGGTTACACAGTCAAACTCTATTTCAGTATCCATGGACACCTAGGTACTCCGTAACCGCGGAAGTACAAAGCGCCCCACATTGTGCAGATTGATGACACCTGCATTAACATCGAAATACACTCTGCCGAAATTTATGTATGGACGATAGCATAGCGTTTTGATCCATATCGAGACAAGAGAATATGGATACCTGCTATTGATCTCAATCAATCAGACTACAGCCTACCTTGCACTGTATGACTGCTAACCTTACATATCCAGGTTTAGGCTCTTTGATTATATTGATAGCGCAACCGAGCCGCTTCCGAGGAGTTTCAAACTTCGAACATACTCACAAACAATCTCTCAAGATGCTCTGGTGAGTTGAAATGTTATAGGTCGGTTTCTACATGATTTCTTATCCAAGCCTCAAAATGATTGATCTATTCCAAGGCTACACTTATTCACAATACAATATTCATATATTATATTGAAACAAAACAAAGCAGAGTGTTGCTTGGGTGAATAGGAAAAACCCGGTGCCTTTTTATTACATTTCATCTCGAATAAACGCATTCGGCCACTGCAGCCATCTCTCCCACTCGGGCCCAAGGTAATCATTGATAGAAGCGATGATATAAAGACCACTATCACCAAAAGTCCACATCTCACTATGCATGTGTAGTAGTGCTCCGAAGTGTGACAAAATAGCAAGAGCTCCTGGTCGGCGCTCTGTAAGCAGCTTTATGTAATCTGAAGAGATGGTGACTGGCCAGGAAATGATTGGCCCAATCCTGGAGAAATTTGATGAAGGGGAACAGCTCGCATTATAAGCCTTCTGCAAGTCCTCAATCGCCAGTCTGTAGATAGAGCTTATTGTGGGGTCAAGCATCGTATCCACAAGAGCTAGGAGCTCGAGGCACTCGTCACCGGAGGCACTTTGATCTAACATGCTCCCTTCGTGTTCAAGCCAAGATTTAAGGGGTGACTGCAAAAGCAGATGCCACGACTGACCGGCAACTGCACGTACGCCACTATGCATTCTCAATGACTGGATGAAGTCGTCAAGAAACGTCTGGAAGCTATCTGGGCGAGACAGTAGCTTCTCGGTGAGGACATGCATTCCCAGGCACGAAGAAAAAAGAAACATGGGGACGCAGGTTTCGGCGGATATTTCTAGCTTTGCACTATTAAATTCAGAAAGGGCGTGTGTTTGAAGCTGCGACGCATGATATTGGTAAAAGTCCCGTCTCGTCGGCTTAATGATGCTGAGATGCAATGCAGCGAACGCAAGAATTTGATTCATAAGAAATGGCGCAGCCAAGATATATCTCGTCATGTCGATAGTAGAGCCCTCGGATGTGAAGTTATTGAGGCCAAGGAATCTCAAGATGTCTGTAATAAAGTGATGGAGTAATTCTAGATGCAGTTTATTAACCGGGGGACTGTCATTTATGACACCGGGATCAGCAGCATGCGAAGAATCCACGTATGCTTTATTATTTTTGGCAATTCGCTTTGGCTTGCGTCGGGAATTAGACACTAAAGCAGTCGCACTCGATATCATATCTTCATATGAACAGTGACGCTTTGAAACCTCGCAATTGACGCATTTTGGGCGTGTCTCATCGCACTTTTGCACAGGTCAGCCTGGAAGTTCCGTCTGAACGGGATACATCGCTACCTGGCGATTTATTCATGATGATAGAGTTTAATACCTTGACATGACGACGTTTGCACTCGATACAGCCATTCCTTGATTTGTTGTGCGGCTTTCTTGCTTTAATCATACTCTTGTCCTTTCCAGATAAAACCAGGCTTGGAAATCTTGCGCTTTGGACGGCATCCAGGAAATACAGCGAGTTTCGTTTGAACAAAAAAGCAAAAGGGGTGATTATGACCTTTGAAGGCTTTTGGTATAGCGGTGGTTGAAATCTGCCGTTGGCCTGAGATTTTCGTCTGTGCATGAAGCCAAAAAATATGTTTTGTCGTGTCAGATCACGTGCCCGACATCAGCATATGAGCAGTCAGTGCTCGCGGCCATAACAATCTGACAAGCAAGTCCTTTCGTTCGAAACGTTGTGACCTCAAAATTCATAAAAAACAAAACTAAGAAAGCATAGAAATTAGAAGAGATAGGAAAAAAATTCTGACTAATAGAAAACATCATCACTGCCTAGTCGCCGTGGGTTCGTAGCTTTCGACCGGAATTGGGTCATCTATGTAACATTTGAACTGCTAGTCCCTTCATTTCCCACAAACACAGGTACTATCCAATCACACATCCTGCAGGTTCACATATTGATCAACAACAGGGCCTTTGCCCGTAAGGATTTTGCCCGGGTGGACAAAATGGAAAATTGCTTGAACAAAAAACATCGGAACCATGTCGAAAATGTACATGAAAAACTCATGAGTGTACACATATGAATCAGTTCCGCTGACGTACTCAATGATCCGAAACACACACCGTCCGATTACGAGGGCTGATACAAGGAACAGGACATGTAGGAGACGACGCCATGGACCACCGATAACGTTGAGACGAGCATTACGTAGTCGATGCTGGAAGGAGACAGAGACGTAGAGGAAGAATCCAAAAAATAGCAATTGAACGATCAGTCCAACAACCAGGACCTTTTGTCCAATATTGCGCATAGTATCGATAGTCTGCATGCCACCACCACCCAGCTGTAGGAGGAAGGCAGTTGTATCTCCAGATACAAAAATCTTGGTCACTTTCCGGGGGTTCACGATGGATAGCTGAGGTTGACCAACGAAGTTGACGATTCGACCGTAAGTCATGTAGATTGTCGCAGCGTAAAGAGATGGTGGGAGGATGATGAACATGGACTGGCAGATGTAAGGGACAAGGCTATCCGGACTCTTTGCGGAGAGTAAGCGGAAAATGTAACCCAATGTCATCACTAGTATCAATTCATATGAGTGACTTTCATTTTCCAAGGTTGGGGAGCTTTCTTCAAGTTTAAATAGAGGAAGGTACTCACTGAAAGCACCAATGAGGAAAGCTGTAAAAAACCACGTTCTTGTTTTAATCATTTGCCAAAGATGAACACATGAACTTGTCCCAAACAGCAACATCGCAATTACAGCACCTGTCGTACTAGGATCGTAAGGGTATAAATCTGAAGACCCCATTGTGCCTAAATTCTTCGTCGTAGCGTCAAAGGCGAGTTCTTCAAAAGAAAGATATCGGAAAACTTGATTGTTCCCCAAGGGTAGGAAGAGAGAATGAAAGCACGATGGAAAGAAAAGAGTGCGGTGCTAAAGATCGACTTTGAATAGGGAGTGTAAGAATAGATGTATATCTTAGAATGTTTCTGGATAAGGAGTATTTATAGGAAGCTGTAGATTTTATTCATTATGTACGGATAGCTAGAAGGTGGCCCAGCCGGCAGCCATTGGGTGGAGTAGAAACGTAAACCGTACTATGGGAAGGCACACTGCAAAAACCAGGGCTGTGTCGATGATCCAGCAGAATATTCGTTCATGTAGGCTACTCTGTTGACCTATTCTCAGATGATGGTACTAATTATATACCAGCAAAGATTTTGGGCTACACACCCGTGGAACGGAAAAAGTTCTGATTGGCCTGCCCCACCCGAATACGCGGACTCAATGGCCTATGATTGGCTCGTTCATGAGTAACTCTGATATCTTGAAAATACTTGGCGCCTCCTTCGGGGCAGTTCCGTCGACAGTATTGTCCCCAATCTTGGTCCTGCTATTTATTGATCAAATCTAGGAGATAGACTAAGTTTGCTAGCTGCAATTGTAAATTTCAAATTTCAAATAGCTAGCTTACTGCAATGAGATTCTAAGGCAATCACCGAGTATAGTAAATGAAGCCCGAGACTGAGATAAGTATTAAATAAAGCAACATGGTTGTATGAAAATGAACGGATCCTGAAATATGGCAGTAGGCCGAGAGCAAAAGATATGGCGAAAGCAACATTTTCTGCTGTACGTGATTCTGAAGTATACCAGGGAAATTAAAGTAAGCTATAAAAGCAAAAACAAGTGGCAGGCTGATTTATCCAAGTTGGTGAAGATTATTTCTAGTTGAGATCTCGAGACTAGCTAAGACTAGCTACTTGACGAGGGAAGAAAGCAAGGAGTGAAATGAACAACAGAGAAGGGAGTTTGTAATTTTAATTAGGGTAAAGAACACGAAACGCGATAGGGAAGAATGAAAGAGAGTGAGAGAGTGGATCACTATAGCCATTCTGGAAAATAGCTTAGCCAATACACGCCGAGCAACTACTTACGGGAACCACCATTAAGTTGTCTGTGCAGATCATTAGTTGGGTGGTTCGCATTAAGTGGAGGGCGCAGTAAAAGTTTTTCTTTGTTTATAAACAGGGCCCAATAAGCATCAAAGGGCGGCTTCCCATCAAGGCTTAGTATTTCACTCAGGATAAAAACTTCCCATGAATATGCAGCAGCATTGAGGCTTCGATATGTATTCTTTCATAAAATTAAAGTATACCATATGAATCTTGAAATCAGCATTTTCGGCGGACTTCAACCCAGTGCCGACCGAGCAATAGAAAATTAGCATTGAAGACATAGCGATGGGTCCCGCCAAGAGTTGCTCAATTTATATCATTTACGCTGATTTTGAAACCGACTTTATCTACTTGACTAATTAACTCATCTGTGCTCCCTGGTTTCAAGGCTTTCCAACCATTATTTCAGATGAACGGCGCACCTGGACTAAAGAATCTGTGCAGAGACGGAGATAGGCAGATCGCGGGAGCTGAAGCCAACGCTGATGTTGAAAAGACCTTCAGGAATTCTCCACTGCTGAGCTTCAGTATCCCAGAAACTGAGATCCCGGCGTCGAAGAGAGAAGCGAATCATCTGATGAGCTCCTGGGGATAGCGTCACCTTTTCGAAACCGCGAAGTACCTTGAAAGGAGTTCCGGATGGCATGGATTTCATTGGGTAAGAAAGATAAAGCTGAACAATGGTGGCTCCAGCCACAAAACCGGTGTTTACCACGGCTGTATCAACTTCAATCATCTTACACCAAAGATCAGAATTGCCGCCAACTGGTGTCTTTTTGTTGGAATCAAGAGAGAGCGCAGACACGTCTCCATTGACAATGCCATGGTACTGGACGGAAAGCTCCGTTGAGAGGTTGAAAGAAGTGTAACTCAGACCATAGCCAAATTCGTACAACGGTGTGATCTCCTGGGCATCAAAATGGCGGTAATCGATCATCAAACCCTCTGTGAAATTGACCTGCCACGCGTCGGAAATAGCTGCGCTTGCACCAGTGAGATTGAGAATAGGTGTGTTGTAATCAGAGGTGTTCTTGGCAATGGTGTAGGGAAGCTTTCCAGACGGGTTAACGTCACCCCACAAAATATCCACGATCGAATTACCAGATTCCTGACCAGGGTAATGCGCGGCGAGAATAGCAGTCACATTTTCATTATCTGCCCATGGCATTGAGTTGACACCACCAGTATGAGTAATCACAACAGTCTTTCCAGGACAAATCGATGCAACTTGATTGACCACCTCAGTGGAATTCCAGTCGGCTTCGAGGGTGATCCGATCGATTCCCTCACTGACCCACGTTTTGAGAAAGACAAGACAAATATCAGGCCAAGGGTATATACCCTTGAAATCTCCTTCAGCAACTATATCATTGTCTGTGAGATAGATCACGCGTGATCCATCATGTTTCGCACGTGCCTTGATAGCTTCGAGTGGGGAGACAATGTAAGAGTTGCGCCCACTACCGGAACCACCGCCAACTGTGAGAGTGCCGATTTCGAAGCCATTGTTGTTGCTGGGATAGAGTAGGCCGGCAGTAACGTCTGGGGCATCGTTGCCGAAAACTCCGATGACCATGGGTGATTCCAGGGGAAGAATGTTGTTCAAATTTTTGAGGAGGACTGTACCAGCCGACCCAATTTCTCGGATCAATGTGGAATGATTGCCACGAACATCACGACCTGCCGGAGCCAAATCTTCAGCAGAAAGCAAACCGTAAGTGGCTGCAGTTACGGCGTATGAAGAGGGGTCGATCGTGGGGTAGTCGGTGTCTTGATTGAAATAGAAGTATGGCGTAAGGATCCGCTGTATCATCTCGTTCAGTCGGTGCTCAGAGATAGACCCATTCTTAACACCAGAGACCACATGAGACCCGAAATAAGAATGAGTGAAATCTGTTTCGCTGAGGTAGCCTGGCATGCTCAAGTCGAGACCGGCATTTATGGCGCGAGCTCCCGAATGCGTTGCAAACCAATCTGACATCACATAGCCCTCGAAACCTAGCTCGTCCCTCAAAATCTTGTTGAGAAGCAGATCATTTTCGCAGGAATATGTCATATTAACTCTATTATAGCTGCACATGAGTGACGCAACACCAGCTTTGACAGCATCCGCAAAGGGCCAAAGATAGACTTCGTGTAGTGTGCGGTCATCAATATTGGCTGAAACGGCAGCAACGTCAAAGCCGTCAATTTCCTCGTTGGTCCGATGGGTTTCTTGTTCATTGCCAATGAAGTGTTTGGCACAGGCTTGCACACCAAGCGCTTGAACACTTCGGATCGTCTCTTGCATGGCAACTCCTGACAGGTAAGGATCCGGAGAAAACCCCTCCCAGTTGCGACCACCCCATGGACTACGGCCAAGTGGACCAGTCGAAGGGCTGAAAGAAAATGTCAGACTGCACGATACATCTCACATTGGAGATAATGACCCACCCTAACATCACATTGGCACCCTTTCCGCGGAATTCGGCGCCCATCGCGGCACCTCGCCGCGCGATCAAATCACGATCCCATGTTGCTGCTGCAGTCAATCCTGATGGAAAGACGCTTGCAAGGTCAGCAAGGTGTAAGCCCTGGGGGCCATCCGACAAGCAAAGTCCACCAAATCCGATACGTTCAACCGACGCAAGATTTCCTATGCATTGTCCATCGGCAGTACCGGTCACCATAGATGCCTTCTCAGTCAAATTCAATTTTGCTATTAGATGGTTCACCTTGGTGCTCGCAGCAGCCCATTTGGAGGCATCGATTGCATCGTCGGCTGGCATTCAGAATTAGCAGAGGATTCCCCGGCTGATCAAATTGAGGGATAAAAATTTACTAGACATACCCGCATCGTAAGCCAAGGTTTCCTTAGAATATAGGCTGGTCACAAAAATAGCAGTCGCAATCGACACTCGAAGTTTGAAAAGCATTTTTATCACCCTTGGGACGATCTCTTGGAGGAGAAGTCTTCAAGTTGAAGGATAGTCTGTCCTCAAATAGATGGTTTCCCAGTTATTTTATGCTTTTATTCACCTCGGCAGTGAAAGACAGGGGGTTCCCCGAAACTCGTATGGTTTCGAAACAGTACGACCAGTGCGGGGGCTCCATAGTTCTTGGCAGACTCTAATACATTAAGCTTACAATGCTAGGAAGTGATTCGGATATAGTAGACCTATCACAGTAATGCGGAATTTTCGCTCAATGACGAGCAAGGTACGCAAGCCAGGAAACGCCGAAAGAAAGAAGATAACCTAGAAAGTACAAAATTATTATTTCATGACAACAATAAGAAATCGTGAAATCGTCAATCGGAAAAAATGAATAATGTGTCTAGCATAAAGGTGCTCATAATCATACTTTGCTCTCGATAGTCTCACTGCCCTCAGAAGCTTTATCAAGGAAAGGCTTCAGATCACTAGAGTACCACACCGCAAAGATCACCATTGCGGCAAACATGGGTACAGAATCAAAGACATACAATGTCCATTCATTGCTCAATGGATAGCCGTCATTGCCCATGGCGTACTCCACGACTCGGAAAATGGACCGGACGAGCACTAGCCCACTTATAGTATAGAGACTATACAGGTGCTGTCTCCAAGGGATAGCGATGTCAAATGCCTCTGCAGTCGGAGCACGACGCATTCGTTTCTGAAATACATATACAGTGAGGATAAACAAGCAGAAGCTCACAACATGCAAACATAGGCTAGTAATAATGAACCCCTGCCCGAGGTTGTTAAGACCGGTATTGACCATCATTCCAGACCCACTTGCTTAGATCAGAAATGTTACAGCGTCACTGATGACAAATTTTCTAGTAAACCAGTTCAGTAGTAGAGCAGAGTGTTTTCTTGCGTGGAGGCTGCGAATTATGCGAGCGAGCACCATGTAGACCGATGCAGCAAACAGAGCTGGGCCAAGAAGAATGAAAACTACTTGTATACAGTACGGCATCAATTTTCCAGTATTGTTGTAGGAATCGATTCTAGTCGCATGACCAATGATCTCAACTAAAGACACATGTCAACAAATGGGAATAAGTACGGTAGCAGGGAGCATCGTACAAAGGCCGCTAATGGCAAACGGAAGTGAAAATCGCACTCTTTTTTGGAAGATCTTCCAGAAATGAACAACTGTTGCGAGGAGAAAAGGCACCAAGAAAATGACGGCCGCAGACATAGATGGGACATATCTCCAGACGAAGTAGCCGCCTTCTAAAAACTCCAGCTTTGCCATTTTAATGTATTTTGAGATTGGTGAAAGTCTGATTAGTGGGGATTGGAATGAAACGTCCGTCAAAATACCTAAACCTTTTATATTGTCGATGGAAGGAAGTTTCATCTTGGCGGCGCCATATTTGTGGACTTGCATAGTTTAGTTAAGCCGACCAACCGTGTTGCCCGCAATACGCGTACTCGTGTCCAGATTGTGGTTCCGTCGCCCCTGTGGACCCATTAAATAAATTACATGGAGCGAGTCACAAGCGGAAACCATCACCTCTGATTCGTCAACACGCTGTAAATGTTAATCCCAAGAGTATCTACGATAATTGGGTGAGGTGTTAGCCTAGTGTGCGCGTATCTCTGGGGTAGCGATTGGCCGCTGATTTAGTCCTCGGGTTTTGTTCCTACACAAGTCAACTGCCAAGTCTCTCACAATTTGCCTTTCAGCCTGGCTTAGCTTTCAAAATTTATACTCAGATTCCTGTTAAACGCCTCACTTACGTACTCGCGTTTTTGAAAATCTGCACCCCGGACAAAATTGCAATCCATACGGTCTTCTTCGTCTTTCTTTTGAAATTTTGTTTGAGCATTCTTGTCCTCCGGTATTTTCTACACATTTGTCTTTCTCTGGAAGACCATCGCTGTGCTCGGCCAATTGGATTAATTTATGCGAACGTGAACAGAGTTTGCGCATATCAGCATGTCTCACCTGCGAGTGCGCGTCGAGGGGCAGTCATTCCGAGATCCCCAAAATCGAGAAGTCATTCTGAGGGGGATTAATGTAGCAGGCGACGCGAAATATCCCCAAGTGCCAGATCTGAGATCCAATGATCCGGAAGTTTTTTTCGACGCGGATGATATATCGTTTGTTGGACGGCCGTTCCCTCTAGATCGTGCCGACGACCACTTCCAGCGACTGCGAAAATGGGGATATAACGCCATTCGATACATTTTCACTTGGGAAGCTATCGAACATGCTGGGCCCGGTGTTTACGATGAGGAATGGGTGAATTTCACGATTGAAATACTCCGTATCGCGAAGAAGTATCAATTTTATATTTTCATGGATCCACATCAAGATGTGGTAAGAATTTGAAGCATTGGAACTCTCCATGGGTGTATGCTAATCGTTCATAGTGGTCCCGATTGTCAGGAGGGTCAGGGGCACCTGCATGGACTTTTTACGCAGCTGGACTGAACCCACGGTGTTTCAAAAATACGGAAGCTGCCCTATCTCATCATACCGCAGAAAGCCCCACCGATTTCCCCAAGATGCTCTGGTGCACAAATTACTCAAGATTGGCTTGTCAGACTATGCTCACTTTGTTTTGGGCCGGCCGAGACTTCGCGCCAAAAGCCATCATTGATGACATGAATATCCAGGATTTCTTACAAGGCCACTTTATTGCGGCGTGCAAACATCTCGCGCAGAAAATCCACGATGCAGGGGGCCTCGAACACGACGTGGTTATCGGCTGGGAAAGCTTGAACGAACCCCATAGGGGACTTGTTGGTATTCAAGATATCTCGAAAGTTCCACAGGAGCAGCATCTCCAGCTCGGGACATCCCCAACCGCACTTCAGGGCATGCTTCTTGGTGCCGGGAGGAGCTGCGAAGTCAAGTCATGGCGATTTGGAAGGCTTGGACCACGACAGACTGGTAAGAAGCTCATTGACCCCAAGGGCGAATCGGCATGGCTACAATCTGAGTGTATCAAATACGGCTGGCAGCGAGATCCGAACTGGAAACTCGGCACCTGCCTCTGGGCGCAGCATGGGGTTTGGGATCCGACCAACAATATTCTGTTACAAAAGGACTACTTTTCGAAAATCCCCGGCTCTCACGAAACGCTAAATTATCAGAGGTTCACCAATACCTATTTTCTCGTACATTACAGAGCCTACCGAGATGCGATTCGCAGTGTGTGTGAGGGCACCATCATGTTCTGCCAACCTCCTGTCATGGAAATACCACCGAGCATGAAAGGCACGCCGGATGATGATCCCAATATGGTACATGCTGTACATTTTTACGATGGTCTGACACTTTTGAGAAAGCACTGGTAAGTACCTGTAACTAGCTTGTGAGTCACAATGCTTATTTTTACAGGAGTTGCTTTTTCAATATCGATGTCATTGGTATACTTCGGGGCAAATACGCCTTGAAGACGCTGGCGGTCAAATTTGGCGAGAGGTCTATTCGTAATGGACTGCGGAATCAGCTTGCATTTATCCGCGATGAAAGTATACGGAATGTTGGTAATCATCCTCTCGTTTTTACAGAGATTGGAATCCCGTATGATCTTGACGAAAAAAATGCCTATGCAACCGGTGACTACGGCAGTCAAATCAAAGCAATGGACGCCAACCATTTCGCTCTAGAAGGCAGCAGCGCCAATGGATTCACTTTGTGGGCCTATATGACAGAGGTATGTACAGTTACTTTTATGTGAAGACTTGCATTAACGTTCTCAAGAATGATCACGCATGTGGCGATCAATGGAATGGTGAAGACTTTTCGATTTTCTCACAAGACGATTTGGAATTACCGGAGGGAATTGCTTCGGCTTCCACGAGTTCATATTACCTGACGCACGCAGAGGATTGTATTACTGAGCAAGGCAAAACACACAACTCGTGTGTCGAAAACATAGTGCCTTAGAAAAATGCGCAAAGTTATGGGGATTCATTCGAGGAAGGGTTAATTCATAAGCGAGGCTATCGTGCAGCAGAGGCATACCTTCGTCCCAGCCCTATCCGTGTCAAAGGTCAATTAAACAGCTATGGTTTTGATTTGAAGAGATGCACGTTTACTATGGCCATGGATGCGCAGGCCACGGATCCACAGTCACCAACCGAGATTTACCTTCCATGTTTTCACTTCGCAGAAGGGAAGGTCGCTGTCACGGTGAGTGAGGGCAAATGGCAAATTATCGAGCACGAGGTGAATAATGTCGTGATACAATGTCTGTTATGGTGGCATGATGAAGGAAAGGCGGAAATCACAGTCAAAGGAAAACATCAAAGACAGAGGAGACTGGGTATTGGGTATTAAGGTCATCAGGGCAATAATTGCATACGCACCTACAAAGGATAATTAGGAACCCCATAATTTACCATCGCAACTTAGCTGCCATTATTATATGGTTTAACCCGTAGACTCGGCGAATATCAGGAGCCTCCATGGTAGCGCGAGGAAAGGGATTCTGGCAGAGTCAAAGCATAGTCTGAAGTGCCAGTTATGGAAATAAGTGATAAGGAACAGAATTCTGAAGTCACAAGTTATCTGTATTGAGTAACAACTATGTAGTACATCCCAAAGAACTAATAAAGATACCACTGGCGTCACTATCAGCAACAACAGCCACAGCAACAGCAGTTAAAACAAGTAAGACCCATACACCTAAATATATCAGGTAAAATTCGGACTCAGTCAATCAGGATGAGACTCCCACTCCGCAGCATATATCACCTGCGCCTCCTCCACGGATACTCAAGTCCACTGGCCTGGGCTGATATTGTTTTTCAGTTAGCCTTAAGCCTTGAGGTAAGAAATTTGTACTGTTGGATCATAAGGTGGCCCTTACAGACTGAGTTGAAATGACTGGAGCAGCGACCATTTTTTCTGGATTTGAGGGCTGCTTCACCGTCACAGTCTTGGCGTCCCACGTATTTCTCTCTAGGCGAGTTTGAAATTTTGATTTGAATAACCCAAGCATTTCATCTGAGATTAGAATGAAGAACAACATTTGTGATGAAGCAGAATAGCTCGCACGGATTTAAAGGAAACCAAGAACTACAAATCAAAGCTATGCAAGAGATTATAACGCGTACCAGGCGCAGCATTTTCTATTCCGAAACTGGAGACAAAATGAATAAGGACCCAATGTGAGTTGCCTAATTTTTCTCCAGCCTTGGAGGTGGAGCTGTTCAGAATTTTCAAGTCAGGCGATCCAAAAAGGAGAAAATATACACCCAAACGAGTTCCCATTCGCTAACTTGGTTAAATTGAGAGGGAATGAGCTGACAAATTTCAACCGGTTTAGGGCTTAGGGCTGAATTTCAGCCTCTATCCTTGCTGTGTCATTATTAATCTCTTATAGAGTGTTCGTTGCTGAGATGGCGGACTTGATGCTTGCGAGTGTGTTGATTGTCTAATTAGATATTTAGTAGACGTCTGAGAGACGTCTGGGAACAAACATACCTGCGAGTTGTTTTTGATCGTCTTGAGTATGGAGAACGGGGAAGACCAGAGCTTGTTGTTGGAATATCTTGCTCAATTGATAAAGAGAGAGCCGTAGAGCTTGATTGAGAGCTGTCTCGACGCTTTTGCTGGAAGAATTGATCAATTTGCTGCCGTCCTGCCTCATATGAAGTTGACCGGTTTTTTGGACGGATAGAATGATCAATAAAGGCATTAAACTGCTGTATATCCTGTTGATCAAGTTGGAATGACCTAGAATTGTGAGCCTAGATATCTAGCAGACGTCTGGTGGATATCTAACTACCTCTGAATCGCGACTAGTAGGGAAAGCCCTATGCCCCGAGTATTTGACTTATGATGCGTCTGCTCAGCAGCGTTCGTGCTCTTCCGGAGAAAGTCAAATAATGAGGGGTCAACCTCTGTAAGCCCTTTATTAAGCCCGCATGCAACCCATGGCTGGAGCTTATGCTTTGCCCACCTCTGGATCCATGACGATTCGTTATCTAGAAGCGTTAGCATAAGCATCTACTAGACGTCTGCTAGATATCCATACCGATTAAGTCATGGAGAATAGCAAAGTATGAATCACGATCGTCAACATAGAGCACCTGCTCCATTGCCTCATATATACCATCACGGCATCCATTTGCACGTTCTATAGCCTGAATAATACCACGTTTAAAGTGAACATGGCAGAAGACCACAAGTGGTCGAATAAGGGTCTCTGGAGGGCGATGGAGAGGATCAAATTCATGGAGAAATTTTGCAAGACCTTAAGGAGTTAGCTGTCTGGAGGATGTCTCGTAGACGTCTAGAAACTCACCGCTATATTGCTTTGAATCCATATCAAACACTAATGCTTTAAGCCTAGTACTATGGATTGTTTGGATCTGGAAGGGGACTTTTGTTAATTCCCCTATTAGTTTAAAGACACGTTTAAATAGGAGATAGTATCCATATGTTGAATCAAGGTTTGTGAAGACAACCTCTCTTATCCCAGAATCCTTCACACGTTTATATGCCATATCTACCTCAAAAGAATCACTGCTTTGTAAAAGCTTTGCCTGGGCAGGGAAGAGACAGATCACCATGATACCATCATCTGTATAGATCTTCTGGACATATTCCTAGAAGAGGTGAGTAGACATCCGGTAGACATCTACCAGACGTTCACATACTTTTAATTCTGGCTTCTTCTGCATCTCGAATATCAGCCCATTTACCCCTTGACCACTAGGGTATGATAGGAGCTTCTGTTTCTTTAAGATCATCCGGATATGATCTAAATTAGCGAAGCTTGGATGGATATTAGGCAAGCTTTGAGCGTTAAGCTGTTCGCAATATTGACGAAGTTGTGGACTTCGAAGAAAGGTAACTGAATAAAAGATCAATAGGTGTCCTCTAGACGTCTAGTAGACGTATGACCGCTTGCTTACCTGGCGTTAAACCCGGATATTGCATCCCCTTGATAAGCTGGGTTAGGTCATCTATAACCTTCTTTGGAGGACATGAAGGTGGAGGTGGAGTATGAGTATGGATCCCTTCAGAGAAGAAAAGGAAGAATGGATAGGTGACTAGGTTCTTTGGAATAATCCAATGGAAGTGGACGCCACATTTATGTGTGTCTAACTTTCCGGAGCCTTGAATATGGCTGTATGCTATAGACGTTTAGTAGACGTCTAGCAGGTATCTAAGGAATCACTTACCACACTTTTTCGTCTGCTGCCTTGTAGATTTAATAGTTCCACATTGCTCAATATCAAACATTAATCTCTTGATTAAAAATCATCTCTAGCAACTGGAGATCTATCTGACCATCTCGCTTTAGCTGCCTTGTGTAAAAGTGATTTTCCTGGTCAGATATACTATACTGGCACCCAATAAAGTGGTTAAATACTCCATCGGGTCCAGCATACTGCGCTCGGAAGAGCTTTGGCCTGCAGCTAGCTATCCAAGATAGACAGCTTGTCTCGTTCGCGATCTGGTTTCTGATTGCATTATATCTTCTGTCATAGACGTTTAGCAGACATCTGAGGGACGTCTAGGATCACTTACGTATTTGTTTCACGTTTAACAGGGTCTCTCTCCAACCATCCAATATCATCTCGGATCTTCTGAATTTCCTTAATAAGATCCTCAGTCACATTAGTATGTTGATATCCTCGAAGCCTAGGTGTGGCATATTGACAGAGCTTTACCCCGGCACAAGTATAGTATGAATGATAATAAGAGTCACAACCTAAGAAGGACTCTGTGTAGCATTCCCTATCCTTATACCCCTGCTTCATTGTGTATTGGACCTAATATATTAATCAGTAAAATTAGACGTCTGATAGACGTCTAGAAGACGTTTAGAAAGAACGGAAATCTCACACTCCCAATCTTCTGCGCTACAGACTCCCTTGATCCATTACTAACCTCAACCACATAGGCAAAGTCATTTGGATGGGTTTGAGGATATTCAGGTAAGTCAATAGCATACTCAACTTTATATGCTTTTAGTTGTGCTCGCTGCGTATTGGTGATCGCCGTAAACGGAGATATTGGAGTTTCCCGAGGAGCCTATATAGATCATTAGTAAAATAGACATCCTGTAGACATCCCATAGACGTCTATGGAACGTGGTTCACGAACGTTCGTCTCCTCATCTTCCACTCTCATATCATACAGTAACTGATTGTACATGTCATCATCTGCACTCATTTTGACTTTGTGTGACCCAGTACTAGGTAGGATAGTGGAGATGAAGGAAATTACTAAATTTACCGTGTGAAAAGGGAATGTATTCGCTTATAAATCGCGTGCGGCTAACCGATTCTAGTTAATTAATCCGGTTTTTCGGGCCACACTTGGGTTTGTCTGGGCCTTATTAGGCTTAGGCAAGTGTGGCCTAGCCCACCTCCAAGTGTTCATGCCACACTTGCACTCCGAGTATACGCGTATGTGAGATAGAGTTATTCGGTGGGTCTCGGGTTCCAGCCGATGACTTCCTGCCCAGTGCCCACTCATGATACAGTGGGGCACTCTCTGGAATAAATACAAGCGCATTCATGTGTACCGGTATTACCAAGGGGCTCTGGAGGTTCTTTGGTGCTGATTTCATGGACTAGTTCCCTCTCCTACAATACACATACCAGATCAGTCAATACCCCAATGCGGGCCAATAAGTTGCCGACTCTATGCTAAGCCATTGACTTGTGGGTCCTCAGCTCCTAGATTCTAGCTATTGGCAGATCATTGTCTGCTTATATAATTCAGCGATGGACGTCATGGCCGAGTTCAACGTCAACCCAATTTTTCAAATGTTTTCAGCCCTGAATAATTTTTTTAAAGCTGAACAAATCCAAGGCTGGCTTGAATTTTGTATTTATATAGTGGCTATCTATCCACACAACATTTGACTATGGAAGATCAACCTCCGAGGTACTCCATGCTGGAGGCCGCTGGCTGGTCGGACGATCTTTGGTCTCAGAATGGAGTAAATGTCAAAGGTATCCCTGAGGTGGTTTTCTCCTGCTACACAATGAAATGTTAACACCTGAAAGATGATGGTCGCATTGAAGTCAACCTTGACTCCAAGGTGTGTCGAACGGTCGCAAAGCTCATCCCGATTTTGCGCGAGGAGCAGAGACCCGCGTCAGTCCCAGATTTTACGGAGCATGTCTCCTGTGATATTCAGTTAAACATTGTTATCCAGGTCGTTGGCAGTCGAGGCGATGTCCAGCCCTTTATTGCATTAGGTAATGAGCTTCAACTTTATGGCCATCGCGTAAGACTGGCGACTCACCCAGCGTTTGAGTCTTTCGTTCTTCAATCTGGTTTAGAATTCTATCCTATTGGAGGCGATCCGTCGGAGCTCATGGCCTATATGGTTAGGAATCCAGGCTTGATACCTCAAATGAAAAGTTTGCGAAGCGGAGAGATCCAACGCAAGCGGGCCATGGTAGCCGAAATGCTCCAGGGATGTTGGAATTCATGCATCAGCAATGATCCAATCAGCCAAGCCCCTTTTGTCGCTGACGCTATCATCGCCAACCCGCCTAGCTTTGCCCACGTTCACTGTGCGCAAGCCTTGTCTATTCCCGTGCACCTTATGTTCACTATGCCATGGAGTAGCACAAGAGCTTTCCCGCATCCGTTGGCAAATCTCAAGTACTCAACTACTGAGCCAAGGATGGCTAATTATATTTCCTATGATGTTGTTGAATGGATAACGTGGCAAGGGTAATGATATTATCCTATCATAATATATTGGCCTAAAGTTATGCTAATCATATCTTAGACTTGGTGACGTGATAAATAAATGGAGATCCTCGCTTAATTTAGAGCCTATCCCAGCGACAGAAGGGCCATGTTTAGCTAAGACTCTAAAGGTACCTTTTACTTATTGCTGGTCTCCGAGTCATATGCCAAAACCATCAGACTGGTCGTCAAACATAGATGTCTGTGGCTTCTTCTTTCGTGCGCTCCCAAACTATACACCACCCTCTGAACTCGATTCATTTCTTCAAAAAGGTAGTCCTCCGGTCTATATTGGCTTCGGCAGCATTGTCATCGAAGATCCGGTCGCTATGACGAATATGATTCTCGAAGCTGTCAGGTCACTTGGTATTCGCGCAATCATCTCGCGTGGGTGGAGCAAAATTGGAGAGGCTTCGTCTAATGATCAGGTTTTATATCTTGAGGACTGCCCACACGAATGGCTGTTTCAACATGTCGCCGCTGTTGTCCATCATGGGGGTGCTGGAACTACGGCATGTGGCCTGCGATTTGGGAGAACCACGACTATCATCCCATTCTTTGGGGAGTATGATTCATCTAATCCTATCTTCCGGCCACCAACCTGTCCTAATATCTATTAGTCAACTTTTCTGAGGTAATCTAGTCGCGTCATGTGGTCTTGGACCTCGGCCTATTCCCTATCGTGCTCTGACTTCACAGAGTTTGGTGAAAGCTATTCAATTCTGTCTGCGACCCGAAGCGCAGTCTGCAGCTCATGATGTTGCAAGCCGAATGAGTCACGAGAATGGTGTTGGCGCTGCAGTTGACTCATTTCATCTGAATTTACCGGCGAATATGCGATGCTATGCGCTTCCATCTGCACCAGCTGTGTGGCAGTTCAAGAAATCTTCAAAGCCCACAATATATTTGTCGAAAATTGCCGCTGAGGTACTAAGCGACCACCATCGTTTAAAACACAGTGATCTTCAGCCGTGAGAATAATCTTTGAGTTTCGTCCCTGCTTAGGAACATTATTAATAGGCAACAGTTACCTCGTGAATCCAATTTTCATTCGAAATCGGCGATGGGATCCAGTCACTGGGCTGTCTTCTTCGTTGATAGGCACCAGCACCGACATGTTGAAAGCGACTGGTGATATTGTTTATAAACCATACCAGGAGCTTCGCCGTGCCCCCAAAAGCCAATCAGAGCTTGGCGTCTCAACTCCGTCTGGCTCTCGATCTTTTAGTATTGCTTCTCCAGTTGACACATCTTCTGTGACTACCTCCAGTGGTAAGAAATCTTCTAAACTCAGGACTACGGGTGTGGCGATAGAGGGGTCCGTAAAAAGTCTAGGAAAGGTCGTTGGCTATTGGTATAAAGGCATGCTCATAGATATGCCTTTGGCAGTGAGTGAGGGTCTTAGGGCTGTGCCTCGGCTATACGGTGAAGAAGTTAGAGATCACGGAACGATCCGGGACTGGAGATCTGGAGCTACTTTCGCAGGAAAGAATTTTGTATATGGTATGACAGACGGCTTCAGCGACATCTTCGCCCAGCCTTATAGAGATGGTCAAGAAGAAGAGCCAAGGGCGTAATGAAGGGACTTGCTAAGGGAACTGTTGGTGTGACGACCAAAGTCTCAGCTGGTGAGTTGCAGTCACTGATTTAGGAAGAAAATGCTAACCAACCGATCATAGCGGCATTAGGTCTAGTGGCTTATCCTGCCCATGGAATGATGAAGAGCCTATATACTATAACTCACTCCCAAACACAAAAAAGAATTCTCCAGGCGCGAGTTCAAGAAGGAAGGTACCTAGCGGAACACCCTGAAAGGGGTCGGAAACACCACCAAACGATCATTCGCAACTTTGAGGCTGCCTACCGCAAAACTATTGATTCTATAGTTCCCTAAAGAAGCTAGATTCAGGCCTATGCTGTATAGTTAAAGCCATTTAACCCTCCACTTAATTTCTCTGCCCTATAATTAGCCCCTAAGATGTGCTCCCGCCGCCCGCGGTGCGTTATTGTCAGGACCCAAGTACTAAGCAGGTCTGACGATATATATCTCGCAGTCTATGTGAGACTGCGAGGTGGCCAGTTCGCAGGTGCGAACTGAACCCAGGGCTGAGCCCCACAATGCGAGGGCTCATGACCTCACATGACCCCACATTTGTATATAAACAGTTCAGGGGCTGGAGTCTTGGACTCCAGCGATTAGTTCAGCAGTGAACCTGTCTACTGCTTTCTCTATTCTATTGCCCGAATCCACCTAAGTCCTAAGACCCCCGTAACGGGGCCTCACAGTTATCGGGAGTCGCCTATCCCTATTAATTTGATTCTTCCTATATTAGCCCTAGGAGGCGAATCTTGTTGTAGTTCAGAGGTATCAATTGTCTTATTGTTCAGAGGGAAACATTAGACTATATATATACAACGAGAAGAACAAGTTGATTTCCAATCAACTTGGTTCTTCGTATAGATATCTCGGGATTAATTCCGATGGTTCGGCTTGGTTCCTGATCTGCACCAGCCTCATATCACAACATTCCCCCTCAGGATCGCTTTGCTGGCAGAGCGATACTGGAATTGCGCAGAGCAGTCAGGCCTCGGTAAAACCACTCAAAAACCTTCGTGGGAAAATTGAGTGGAAAGAGCGCCTATGCTGTCATGCGTGTAGCCTTTGAGTTTCTGAGGCGTCAATTCCCAAGAGACTACAAAACTTGGCAAAGGACATAGGCCCCAATGGCTTGGTGAGGCCATCTGCGGCCTGTTCCTTAGTTGGAACATATTGAAGCCCAATCTCGCCTGCATCCAGCACGGTTCGCTGATAGTGAAATTTCACATTGAAATGCTTCGTTCGTTTGTGGAATTCAGGGTTGCGAGAAAGCGCGATGGCAGACTGGTTGTCAGCCATGATGTTAGTGACCGGAGACCGGTACAGTTGCGTTTCGGCTAGAAAGGTGCGGAGCCACTGCAGATGCAGAATGGCATTATATTGTCCGATATATTCGGCATGTGTCGTAGACGTGGCTACTTCCCCTGTCTCTTAGACGACCAGGAAACTGGCGCCCCTGCAAGCTGGAATACATAGCCAGACGTCGAGTATGCTCCGTCAGTAACGACAGAACCCCCAAAGTCGGCGTCTGTATACCCGATTAGCTGTCCACTGCGGTAGGTGATACGATGAGACTGTGTGGCTTGGATGTAGCGAAGCAGTCGCTGCAGAGCAACTTGGTGATGTGCTTGCGGCTGAGACGTGAAGCGACTCAACGTGCCCAGTGCAAACGCAATATCCGGTCGCGTGCCAACCATCAGGTACATCAACGAACCGATGGCAGTCGCATAACGAGCTTTTGCTTCCTCGTCCAGAAGTGCCTCATCTGGACGATGATTCAGGATTTGCTTGGGATTCATCGGCGTAGGCTTCGGCTGACAAGTTTCCATGCCAAAGTCTGAGAGCACCTTCTGGATGTACTGGTGTTGGTGAATGGATACGGAACCATCGACTTGATAGTCGAACTGGATCCCGAGGAACGAGCGTGGCGTCCCTAGGTCATTCAATTGGAATTCTCCTTGCAATGCTCGTTGCACTTGTTCTATCTCATGCGAGTTTGCAGCAGCAATGAGAAAGTCATCGACGTAAACACAGACCACGCAATTGGATTTGTAGAATACACAGTTGTCCGATTGAGCCATGGTGAACCCATGAGAAGCCAGGACGCGGTGGACGCATTGGTACCAAATCCGCGGGGCCTGCTTCAGCCCATAGAGTGAGCGGCGCAGTCGGCATACGTATCCTGACTCTTCGAAGCCTTCGGGTAGCTCCATATAGATAGGCGAATCGACATCACCATGAAGGAATGCGGTGATCGCATCGAATTGGTGGAGTTTCCATCCGCGCAGCACGGCACTGGCAACAATGCAGCGAACGGAGTCCATCCGGGACACCGCAGCGAATGTTTCGTGATAGTCGATACCATGTTTCTGCCGGTAGCCTTTAATGACCAATCGCGCTTTGCGCGTTCCGTTGGCTTTGGTCTTGAAGATCCATTTGCACCCAATTACATGATCTGTGGCGGGAACGTCCTTTCGCGGGACCTTTTCCCATGTTCCGTGTTCGAGAAGTGACGCATATTCTTTCTGGATGGCGGCCCACCATTCCAGCTGGTTTGATCCAGACACCGCTTCACGAAAGGTCGTCGGGTCGACCTGTCTGTCCGATGCGGTGTTCAATGTGCCTGCCGAGTACACCTTGCCGAGTGATTCCAGGAGGCGCCGTGACGGTCTTCGTCTGCGACCATAGATTGAATACCCAAGATCCGATGTCAAGTCGGTTCCTTGTTGGCTTGGATTGACCACTGGAGGTGTCTGTTCGTCACGCTCCGATGGCGTTTTATCTTTATCACCTGACAGAGGTAATGGCGATGGAGGTGGTGTAGGCAGCCCACTGGCTGAGCTCGGCATTGATGGAAAGACGGGCGATGGAGGAGCGTTGTCCGGGAGGTCGTTGCCTGTTTCCCCCTCGACGAGTGGCGCCACCGGGGTCCTCTCGTCGAACTCGACATCACGGGAAAAGACCGTCTTTCCCGAATGGATTTCATAGAGCTTGTACTGATTCGGCTCGCAATAACCTAGCAGTCGGCACTCAGACGATCTCGCTCCGAGTTTTGCTCGATGCTCTTTTGGGATTAAGACCCATGCCCGGGAGCCAATCCGTCGTAGATGTAACAGCGATGGCGGCTTTCCGTAGATAACTTCGTACGGGGTCTTTTTCCGGAGGATTGAAGCTGGCGCGCGCAGCTTCAGATAGACCACAGTGTCCACTAACTCAAACCACCAGGAAGGAGGTAGGTTCGCATCGGACAAGAGCGTGTTGATCCGCTCCCGGATAGTGCGGTTGGTGCGTTCGGCCAGTCCATTCTGTCCTTTGCAGTATGGCGGCGAGGTGTCGAACTCAACTCCCTGGCTTTCGAGGTGTGTTCCGATCGGCAGGTATTCCATTGTCGGTGAGGAACCTCTTGATCTGGGCACCGAACTGTCGGTGCACCCAGGCCTCAAATTGTCGGAACTTCTGGAGCGCTTCATGCTTCCATCTCATGGCATAGGCCCACGAGCCTCGAGAATAGTCGTCAGTAAAGGTGATCACGTACCTGGAGCCCTCTTTGGCCATCGGCATCTCCATGATGTCCGAATGGATCAATTCGAATATTCTCGTTGAATGCAGACGTGGCCGTCGTGCACGGGAGTTCCTCTTCTGATGCTGCTTACCCGACATACACGCTGGGCACTGCGGCGTTGCCTGCAGCTGCGCCTGTGTCTGCGGTCGGTACGGAGTGCCAGTCTGCCGGAGGACCACCCTCAAGTCGCCCCGGTTCAGATGTCCCATCCGAGCGTGCCACAGCGCTTCGGGAGCCTGGTCCACTCCTGTGCCCGCATCTGCTTCGAGTATCCGAGCTTCACCACCGAGTTCAGAGGTTGACGCTGTACATTCTACGTCACTTGACTCCTGAGGATCGTCGACGTCCATGGCCACCGCCTGCGGTTCCAGGGAATCTGCATGGTCATGGGTCGCCGGCGCCCTCGCCAGTTGGACTCGCTCTCGGGATCTTTTGCTCACATGGCACCGCAGGATCAGTAGATCCTCCTCCGTGTGGTAGGCGGTCCCCACCGTCCGTCCTCGGCGTTGCACAAAGACGTTCTGCGGGTGCGCCACCACCGAGTAGCGGTCTCGTAGTAGCTTCGGTACGCTGATCAGGTTCATCCCGACGCGTGGCGCGAAGTATACATTCTTTAACACCAGGGGTTGGTTGAACTTCCCCCGGAGCGTGAGCTTCACCGTACCAATCCCTTCGGCTTCCACTGGATCGCCCGCCGTGTCCAACATCTCGCGATGCGGCCGAAGACTGCTGAAGCAGCTGCGGTCCCAGCAGATGTGGCTGGTGGCGGCCGAGTCCAGGATCCACCGAGGTTGCGGTGCGTGGGTATAAAGGGTCGTCACCCTCGCCCTCACGATATTGATCCTCGGTCTCTTGGAAGTCGGCGGGCCCTGCCGATCCTCCATCTGGCTTGATGGTATATTTTGCATGTTGTTTCTTGGTGAGCCGGAAACACTCCGTTCGGTCTTCAGGGCATGGTCCCTGGGCGGTTGTTGTTCACGCTGTTTCTTCCAGCATTCCGCAACTACATGGCCGCGCTTCTTGCAGTAGTTGCATTTCTTGGTGTTCTTCTGCACCGTGTTGATCGAAGGGTTGCTCGTTCCGCCGGACACCCTTTGCGGAAACGTTGCGGCGTCCTTTCGCTGCACCGTCTGCTCAGCATTTGCTAGACGGTTGCCAATATTTGCCGGATTGACAGGATCCTTGTCATTTTGGATCGCATCCACAATCAGGATGTATTCCGGTCCGATCTGCGTCAGTAGGATTGCAATGTGCGCTTTGTCGCCGATGGATCCAGGGGCAATCGCATTCAATCGATGGACTAGCATCCGTACACGATCGACAAATTCACGTGCACTGCCGCAACGCTCGCCAGTGGTCTCACGCAGCTGGGCGAACAGCTCGCAGAACGTGGCGAGCTCCATCCGCCGATACCGTTCTTCAAGTTCATTCCAGAGGTCGCGGGATGTCTCTAGCCCCGCGACATGGATACTGATATGGGGAGACAGATAACGGAAGATGGTGTGGTAGGCTTCGGCCTCGCGACGCGACCATTCACGATGGCGCTCGAATGCCTGGACCTCGACTTCGAGGCGCGCCTCAATCGCGCGTTGCCTCACCGCCCCGTGCCCTGAAACGAACGCAGTGAGAGAAAGGGAATGCCCTGAAACGAACGAAGTGAGAGGAAGGGGAAACGACCTGCACGTGACAGGACCTAATAAACCATATTTTTCGTTAAATATTCGTGAGGCTGCCAAATCCCATACAAAATTTGAGGCGAAATCGGACCAAAATCGCAATGATTGGTTCGTCGTGCTTCTGTGTTATTGGTCGAATGCTTTCAGTACCATTGGGCAAAGGCTTATACTGGAAACGACTCTAGCATCTCGTTCTTTGTCCAATCCGCACCTCTTTTAGTGTTTTGTAGCTTTTCAATTCTTCTCTGGCTCCAGTCCAGAGCATTGGGCTTTCGGTGATATTTTCGTTTCGGAGATGGCGTTCGCGCTACCGTGATTGAACTGAATCTTATCGGGTTCGGCTGCTCTTTTCCGGAACTTTAAACTTGTTAGAACCCATCCAGCCACTGTTCCTCTCTTCGTTAGGCTCGTATCCTTGTGATGAGGAGCGATATTTAAGTTCCTGGCCCAGCATTGTCGACATCATCACTTTCTTGCAGTGAAGATATTCTCGCCTTATTATTGGTGTTGTGACGATGAGCTCTGCATTTTTACTTTCCCAAGCCTTCTTTGGTCGTTGTGCAGGATCAAATCCATTCGTGTGACTTGGGAAATAATACTGTAAATTTTTCTATTTGACTGCATTGATAACCTTGTATCGATTTGATGTCCTGACACTGAATGTTCTTTACATATATATTTCGTATGTCTGTGACAGTCTTGAATGCCACTCCTTGCTCAAAACGCTTCGGTTTCGCACTACAGTATCTCGGTCTTCATTCCCTCTCAGCTTGTCATCCTTATGCCGTCTCAGGTTAACTCGCCGGCTATTCTTCACTTGAGGGATTTCATAAACAGCGTGGGACCCGACCCGTCTCGACCTGGCCAGGGACTTGCCCTACAAATCAAGGCTTCCTTACATCTTCCTTTTCAAACGGATCTCTACTCGGACGATGTTGAATTGGCCGAACTTCCAACTACCACCATACATTTCTTTGCCTCTCCGGGTAATTCTCAATCCTACGATCTCAACAAACTCATCTACGCTTGGGGCTCGTTCTTAACTTGTGTAGACCCGGATGGCTTTCTACATCTGATTTTACACGCCCATGAAGTTGACTGGTGAGATTTCGACGCACTACACCACCCTTGTTTCCCCACCGCTGAAGGTTTCCTTAGCCATCCTGGTGACCATTCTGATCCTCATATGTACAATATGCACTGCCCAGAGGCCGCTCTCCCTTCAGTTAGCTTACTAGGAATAGTCCGAGGTGGAGCCGGGCAGTTGAATAACGGGTCTACTCTGTTGCATTATGACCTTGAGACTAAGGTCTACGACCTTTCCAACAAGTCGTCTGTGACTTTTACAGTTTCCATTTATTTCAGGAACGGAAATCGTTGGACGAATTTTCCCATTCTTGCTATGCAGTCCCGCATATTTATCGCCGGTCGCATTTTCGGCACCACGACTAACACGCCTCGGCTGGCAATTGGCGTGGATGATGTTTATTTTATTCCAAATCTCGGTAGCATTACAACGCCTCCAATGACTCTTCCAGTTTGAATAGCACCTTCGTTGGTTACTTTATGAGCCGCGGAAAGAGCGAGATCACCAGAATCAAAGTAAGTGCGATTCTTCTGGTTGTCAGTCGGAACTCCTTTCATAAAGTTGCACACAAATACCTTGGATTGTTCCCCGAGTAGATCTCCATGAGGCCGCTTTTCATATGTGCTGAACTTGTGAGTCTTCTCACATCCAGAGAGTGGCTGGGAAAATGTGGTTAGCGCTCTTGTTCGATATAAGAGAAAGAAAAATCTTACCACGGAACATGATTTCTTGTCTCCTGGTTCCATTGTGAGATTTTATTCAAATGTGAACATGAACACGATATGAACCGCATCTGACAGGCTTTCTGTATAGACATTTGCCACAAGCAGATAGACAAACGTGTCAATGACGTAATACGTTAGGATTAAGTTACAGCTAGTCCCAATCGGGATCAGTTATTTCTTTGTTGCCTGATGGACGAGGCACAACAGCTCGTGGATGGTCCACTATTTTTGCTTAAACTAATCGACGAAAGTTTAGACAGTTTATTAGAGATTCCGTCCACTTCAATCGTGCAGAACTCCATACTAGCGCAGATCGTATTTCGAGTGGACAAATGCAGGGGTGCACACGAATAACCAGATTACGAATGTTTGTTCGAATACCGTAAATCACTAGCAGCAGCCGGCTGGGGATATTTGTTCGATTGAGCGCTTCACCATGATGAAAGCTGTTGTGATATGAGGCTGGTGCAGATCAGGAACCAAGCCGAACCATCGGAATTAATCCCGAGATATCTATACGAAGAAGCAAGTTGATTAGAAATCAACTTGTTCTTCTAGTTGTATATATATGGCCAAATAATCACCTGGATAGCACAAATAATTAGAAGAAATCTAAAGAATTCGAAATATAGAGGAAATTCGTTATGTATATGGTATTTTTAATTATGACACGTGGCCGATTCGTTGTATCGCGACTATTTGTTATAACCGGGGGCTATAGTACCCATTATCTGAGAGCTCTTTGGATAAGTGACAGAGAATGACCCATTTAAGTCATAGTTATTCTAGGGAGTTGACCGTAAGAATCGTGATAACTCAGTCGAATGTGTTTGTCGGAGGATAAATTCCTTGCTATTATTTCCGAGGGGATAGAAGAGGCCATATATACCAAAGGAAGTCCAAGTTGATTTTGAATCAGGCTCTTCATATGGCCAGCGCAGAATATTCTTCCGATATGGTGACTTTATTCTTGATATGCACTGGCCTCGTATCTGTCGAAATACTGTGTGGGTCCCTAGACAAGTGCACCAATCGATGGACAACAAGTCTTAATTGTAAACTACGGACGCCCATCAGATATGTGTGGTGTCGGATCCAAGTTATGCAGTATGCACTAGTACTAGAATAAGACAATGAGACCATTGCACGGTACTTGAGATATGTTGCTCTAAAATAAATTAATATGGGTAGATAGGGGCTTCAATACACTGATCCAGCAGTTAATTCCTTAGGAATCAAAAGAAGTGGGTGTTGAATAGTCACAATACTCCATCCGGTGAACCTCTACTACAATATATATTGATGTTAGGTGGCTGTGGTGGATGGGCCGCTCGCTTACAACGTATGTTATCAAACTTGATTATTTTAATTAGAGAGACGAAGCTTCTAACGGTTTTAGCTTTGAACAGAAATACTGGGAATATTATCTCATCCCCCACGACATCCGTTCCTGGACGAATCAAATCATCACATTCATTTCTCACTAGCATTTTTGCGCTTTCATGCAGCGCTGTTAACGGCGCTGCGTTCTTTGATGATTTTGAAATGGGTACAGCCAAAGAATGTAAGCCCAACCTCTACCTCTATGAGAATTCATAAAGTGAGCAAGGACTCCTTCGAGACCTTTGGCTAATATATCCACCTAAGCTATGCGCTCATATGAGGGTGTCTGACTGGGAACGCCCAAAAGAGCAACAACAATAATTCATGTTCTCACCCTGCTGTAAGCTCTTCATTACCCACTCTGATTATTATAATGGGAAAGGCTAACGGTTACTAGCGGTACTTTCTTCTAGCAAATGCCACTGGATATTTAGTCTCTGAAACAAGCCAGTGGGAGAATCCGCTTGCCTGCTTTATCTACGTATTCAATTAGAAACTGACTATCAACGAAGGGAAAATGACTAGCAAAGGACATGCCATCTAAATCATGAGTCAATGATATTTTCAGTTATTAAAACATATTGCGGCTGGATATCATTTACCCCTTAATTTACGCGTAAGTCCACAACCTGATTTGTTTGTGATTAAATACTCGTAGATCGCATTGAGATACATACACGTAGTATCAATATAGAGCCGAAGTATGATTAGTTGCACAATATCTTTTGTTGGAATTCAAAGGAACGGATTCCTTTTCTAAAATTTCAGAGAGAACATTTGAGGGTATATACAGCGGGAAGACCAAGTTGATTTACAATAAGTTGTGATATGAGGCTGGTGCAGATCGGGAACGAAGCCGCACCATCGGAATTAGCTCCCGAGAGATCTATACGAAGTATCAAATTGATCTTCTCAATGTGCATATAGCCTCACGTGTTTCCTCTGAAATAATAACTTAATGAAGCCCTGGGACTTTGAAAAGAAAAGCATAAACAAGAGAGATCAAAGTGGAGTGAATCGTACTAGACCAGAATGTACAGGACACCCACAGGTTTATTGAAGAGCGCCTAATCTGTTGAGCTAATCCTGTCTTCAAATTGTATAGGTCGTTGCGAGATGAAATCTGGCATGTTGACATCAATATCCAGCCCCGCACAAGGATTCTGCAGGATATCTAGAGGTATTCGCGGCTCTCTTGGGTCTCTCGAGAGAGTATCATTATCTCCAATATCGTAACCAAGCCCCAGCGTCCAACCCAACACTGGAAAATAGAGACCTTCAGAATCCTGATTCCGGCATCGAGATATCGGACTGCTTGTTTTTTCAAACCCCCTTCCCTGATGCCAGTCAGGAGGGGAAAAAGAGACTTCGGTGGAAGGCATGCCATCTAAGTTGAAGCCCTTCTCTGCCGCTATGCGGTGATAAAAGCTATTGCAAAGCTGAAAGGCCCGTCGCGCTGCTTCATTGGATTTCCCAAGGCAACAGAGCCAGAACAAAGCTTTTTTTATCGTGACGATGATAACTTCAATGGATTCAGAAGCTGTTGCGTCTCTCTCTTCGGGCTTTGTTGTTTTGGTTTTTCCAGGCAATATCCGAGAATAGTCAATTGAAATATACATGAGCAAGACTGACGTGGCCTGCATTAGATGATGCACCACAGTCCACCATGGAGAAACATCGTAGGCCCAACGCGCATCCGGCTGGTCAGGCAAAACAGAGAGGAGTGACAGGGATGCACGACATGCTGAAGTGATATCTTTAGTATATTGTGGTCGCTGAAGGAACTTCCCATATTTCTTGTCCATGGTTGGCCCCATGAGACATGGTCGATTGAGAACTATCCGAGAGCTGTAATAGTGCATTGCCAACGAAACTTGATAGCGTGACATATTCCCCGGAAAAGGATTACCCTGGTCGTCTTCGAAAGCCATAGAGCTATGTAAACCAGACACCCATTGGTCCATCATCATGTTGTAGAGGTCGATTTGATGTAAAGGCCGAGAGGACTCCTCCTGGAACAAGTCTGTGCTATACATCCGACTTGTGATGGCGTGGATGATCAAACTCAAGTCCAACATATAGAAGAAGCAGAGAGATGGGCTGGGTGCAACATGTTTCAGACGCCTATGCTGAGCTTCGATTTGTTCGTGATGCTGATGAATCGTCCATTGAAACACGCCATCCTGAGCCAGCCTTGCATGTCCCAGTTGGTGGACATCTGACGCTGCAGAATCTACACTCTCAAACGGCCAAATTGGCGGCACGGAGCATGAGCCGTCCCCAAGACAGGAGACTCGGCCAGTCATGATAGTAAGAATATGCTCCAAGTAAAATATGGACCACCAAAGCCGCTTTCGCGCTTCCTTTGCTATCGAGTCCAGTTTGGTACTCGAGCTCTCGAGATTGAGCCCTAATGCAATAGCTGAGCGGGTCGCAATTCCTACTGTCTTCCATGATCTGCGGAGTTATTACATGAAATCTGTTGGAACAGGCATAATAATATATCGCGTAGACATACCTGTTAATTTGCGACGAAGACAGGAAATAAAATGCCATAAGAGTCTCTGCCTGCACTTGCTGCAGATCCCCATAGATTTCAGAGTAGTTGAGAATCTTTGCCCTGGATAAGAACATTTGCTCCTCGCCGATATCTTGCCCATCGTGCCGAGATGCTCGGCAAAACCGACTGCCGATAGCGAGGACCATATTGAAGATAGCTAGCCATTTTCTGCCCGGCCTTTTTTGGGGATTTGAATAAAGCTGTTGATACTGTTCAATAAAAAGGTCCTCTCGGATGATAGGCAGAACCGTGTGGACTTCTTTGAAAAAACAGTGGAACAAGTGATCCGCCAGCTCTTTTGCTGGAAGAGCGAAAGCATCCGGTACTTCGAGACCATTGGGATAAACATGATTAAGATGATAGCTCATTGAAGCCGTGGAAGGTTCGACAGGAAGCAGGTATTGTCGAGTCTTCTCTGAAGAAGTCAGATGCCTTCCCTGTCTCGACAGTCCCGCCTCTAATTGTCGCATCCACGCGACGTCTGAATTCTTCCCCATATATCCCGTAGCGCGGCTTTGTTCACTCCGGTTGAGATCTTCCCCCACACTATCGGTATCATTCAAAGGACGGAACACGGATGAGGATAAGACACTAGACAAATTCTTGTTATTTTCTATCGTGGAAGGGTCCTAGTTCAATGAGCATCTCTATCCGATATTGAGGAGGCAGCACATAAGAAATATCAAGACATACCTCCAAAATACGTGCTATTCGTTCTGCAAGGGATTTGTCGGCCCCACGCGAGATTTCCCGAAGAAATTCCTCGTAAGATGCATTTTTCAGCTCCGCGGACTGCAATTGCATGCGGCCCCTGACAGTCTTGTTATCGGTGTAAACACAATTAACCAAGCCCTGAGCATCGCATTGCGCGCACATAGGCCTACTGCCGTCACATTTCGTTCTGCGTTGTCGGCACGTCTCGCAGGCCCTGGCTGTCCGCATTCGCCGATTTTCATTTCTCACCCTTTCAAGGCGTTGAATAGGAAGCTTTTTCAGCATATTATAGATACAGTGAGGCGATGTATGGGAATCTAAAGAGTAAGCACTTCGTTCTTGATAGATGTTAAGTTGCCACCACAACGTCACAGCAACACGGGTTGGACCCATAATCGAAATGTCTGTGCACAGGAAGGTGGTTGGCGACTGTGGCCGTGCAGAAACTGACCGCTTGCCAAATCCACGAGACTCCCGCTATCCTGTTTGGATACTTTGCATTCGCATCAATCAACCGCCCTTGCAGTTAGTTACTGGGCCATGAGTCATGAATTAATTTGAAGTAAGGATCTGTATGGACAACGACACGGGAAAATTGCTACTAGGGAGGTATTCTGACACAGACTAGTGTATCTTGGCATTAGGGTTCGAGAAACAATCGATGAGTGTAGGTGGTGACACTTGTTGTGATATGAGGCTGGTGCAGATCAGGAACCAAGCCGAACCATCGGAATTAATCCCGAGGTATCTATACGAACAACCAAGTTGATTGTAAATCAACTTGTTCTTCTCGTTGTATATATAGCATCATGTTTCTCTCTAAATAAAAAAAGGTAATTCATACCTCTAAACAACAACACTGATTTCTGGAACTACACCAAAATCCGGGGGTTTGGGATATGAAGAACCATCCGACTTCTTATTACCCGACTCGCATTCGGGCCCAGATGCTGGTCTTGCATTACTAGTCAAGTGGTGTCGCCCTAGGAAGAAGACAGGGCACCCCTGAGCTTGCATACGGTCTGGGATCGCATCGTGGGAAATGCGGCGAGGCGGTAGTGAACCAGTGACACAGGCAGTCAACGGTCAAGATAATATCGGACAGACCTCGTTCAAGACCCAGAGGCATCGTTAAGACTCGAACTCGTTAAGGCTCGGGAACATCGCTCACTGGAGACCTCGTTAAGGCTCAGCCACGGGTAAGCTCTGGTGCGACTGTTCTGCGAGACACGGGCAATGTGGAAGATATTGGTGGTTGGCTGATGGCAACCGATGGAGCTCGTCAAGGTTGTGCTACGGGTAAATCATCGGCCCTGCTCAGTCACTGGGGACCAAGTATGGTTAGTAGAGAGCGACCGACAAACACTGCCAGCCGGAGCGTATACGAGGGCTCTCTGCAAGACACGTTCAGCCTATCGGAGGGAAATCTCCCCACATAACGCGAAACAAGAGAGTGAGGTCTCGCGGGGCGTAGTGTACAATGGCAGCCACTGTGGCAGGGTGGAGTCCTGCCAAGAGACTGTCTAGCAAAATGAGAGACATACAGGGTGCGAGGCGTGGTGAACCTCGAGAGTCCAGAAGCCTCAATTATCGGACGGAAAGCTGGGGTAGTGGTCTATGCAAGTAGGCCTCGACTAGAGCGACAGCGAATTCGCAACCGATACAAGCATAGATAAAATAAAAAAACTAACTTACCATACATTGAAGTACACATCCACCGCAAAAGAAATGTAAATCTAGGGAAGGAGAAACCTGATCCTTGGTATAAGTGCCTCAATATGAACATGTGGATCGAAACCTCTCAACTGCGGGGGAAATACACACGCAAACAATACTATACCTCCCCCAAAAAATCGATATAAAAAGCACTTTCTTGAAATCATAGGAGACGTGGAGGGATGAAGGGACTTTCAACGTAAATGGAGAAATAATCCAAAGGAAATCAGGCTTAAAATTGAAATGCTATTAGTATTCGCAACCTGTTATAAAATCCGCTGTGGACTTCACCTACAAAGTAAATAATTAGCTTGGTTGGTTCTGTGGCTTTTGGGGGTGCAAGAAGTACTTTAGTGGTGCAGTGAATGCACGTGGGAATGCGCGAGGAAATAGGCAATCGAAGGTGAAATTGGCCTATTGCAGAATTCTGAGGCATTCGGGATGCGTGGATGCTGGATGCGACGGCTTTACTGGATACGAGTAGTCCAACGACTAAGTCTTTTTCTCCGTTGAGTCTGCGACTAGGTCAAATAGCATGGGCGGATTACCCTGCAGAGATTGGGTTCGGCTCGGACCAAGAAACAGCGAGAGAACAGGCCGAGATTATAAAGTCAACGTCTGCAATTGTCGTCTACTCGCACGCCTCGGACTGCGACGGTCATCTAGGGACCTCCGTAGCAACACGATGACGACAGCATGGAGGTAATCGAATCCCAGAAGGTCCAGGTGGAACAAACATACCACTGGTTGATCCACGTAGCCGAGCTCATTGCCAATTTCCATGCGATCAGTGCGGTATTTAAAATAGCCTACTAGCGATTAACATCGGTAGACTGACAAACAGCTACGATTCCCCTCCAAGCCTGCCAGTGTTCAAGCTGAAGGTATCATGTTGCGCTTTCAGTGGGTACCAAGCCAATGTGATTGACCCTGACAACAACGCTGCAGGCAGAATGGCGAAAGTCAAAGGAGTTTTTGGCTGATAGCTAGTAACTAGAGGTATTGAAAAAAAGATTAATTGTACTCCTTAATTTTTCATTTCCAGTAGCTCCATCCAGGAAGCAGAATAACGATGTCGGGAAAATTGGCCGCTTATAGCACAGGAAAACATGGCTAGTTTAGAAAAAGAAAGAATAGAGCAGGAGACCTGCGGGGTTGGCTCTATCATAGCTGTGTTCTTACATGGATAAGTCATAATATCACCTTCCCGAATTACCCGGCTCCCAATGAATCGGCTCAAAGTGTGAATTCTGGAAATGAGCCCGGTTGTCCGGCGAGCTAAATCTAGTCAATCACCAAATTCTGAGTGGAAAAAGTAAATAACCTGCCAAGCTGAAATACTCACTTATTAAAAGACGTACTCAAGGGCAGCGAATGACTCAAGTTGGGCTTCATAACTAGCGGATTCAACCGGATTTTCAACCCGCCCGATGACCGACCGTGTAGTGCAGTCATCGGGGGTGGTGCGGCAGACGGCCTGGCAGGCATTGATGGAGAAATGGGAATTGATGGAATGGGTAGATGCTTCTGCGTGGGGGGCTGGTACGTCCCCTGCGCGGGCGAGGCACGGAACGAACTTGCTGCGGCGGGGGAGACGGAAGCCATAGGGGACATGGGAGAGCGAACTCCAAACACCCCGTCTGCCGTTAAGTTGGGAATGAACATCAAGTGCGAGTTGATGTCTAATGAGAGAACACTCTGGTCCCATGGTGGATAGTTGAATGACATCGCGTATTGGTAATTCACCACAGGGGTAATGTTTATGGTCCGATGAGCAGGATAGAGAAGGTCATAGTGGCCCCTAGATGCTTAGTTAGATATTCAAAAGCTTGGAGAAGAAAGAAGGCACCCACGATCGACACAGCAAACTTATAGTTACACCGCTGGGACGGCTCGGTGAGAGATGGAACGGCGTTAATACGTCGCCATCGCCTCGGTCGAGGTGAAAAACCTCGACTCCGAATCCAGCTTCCTCGATGACTACATCCACCAGGGCCTGCAGTCCAACTTCGTCGATTTTAGTCTGGACAGTTTCGATGTGGGTTACACAGTACTGCTCTAGCGGCAAAGACAGGAAGCTATGGTAGCTGTGAGGATTGAGCTTCATCCATGCGCTGGTCAAAAGCTGATTTGCGGTCAGCGCGAAAGCGACAAGATAAATTACCTAGACCTACCTAAAATATGCGAGCACGGCATTCGAGTTGTACTCCTCATTAAAGGCATTGACCAGGAAAGCCTCGTCCTGCTCGCCATTCTGGATGGCTGCGAATGTTCGGTCGAATATATCCGCGGTAGCTTCCACAAAGCACTCGTACAGGTGTTCCGGCTGACCAACTTGATCCAGAAGTAAACTAAGAGACTTGATCCGGGCCAGCTCACGCTGCAGGTGTGTAGGATCCCGGCGAGCAAAAAGTGTTTCAAAATATCCAAAGGCCACCGCTAGACAAAATTAGATAGCTATCCCAGTCCCATGAGGCTGTGGAACACACACCTCTCCAACCGCAGTTTCCATCGCCCTTCATGATGCGGTTCATGGGTGGGTGACAGCAAGGACCTAGTAAAAGAGTCAGACTCGACCAGGGTCTGTGTAGCTGTAAGCGGTGGAACGGCCTTTACACTGGCCTTGGTAGCAAGAGTGGGATCTTCAGTAGCATAGTCTAGCGCGATTCTGTTCGTCAGCTGCTTGGTCGACACCAGAGGGTCCTGTCGGATGGGCGGGTCAGCTCGCATCTTCATTGATGATCACGGTTCCCTTACATGCAAATTAGGCTCAAAGTCATTGGACAAATTCTTGAAGCGCTCCATATTGTCGTGAGAGAGCGCATCCATGTTGGCAGAGTTGCTCATATTGAAAAACCAGATACAAAAGCAGTTGTTATTGAGAGTTCTAGCGGGGGAGGAAAGACGGGGCAAGAGCGTCTCGGTAAGAGTTGCAAACTTCTACTTTTACAGAAGGATAAAGATATAAATGCTTTCAGGGGATTGATATGAACATGGCATAAACAGTGAGAGAATGGCTTGGGCGTTTGGGTTTGAATGAATTTTTGATGAAAAATTCGGATTCCGGATAATAGCTGGTGGCTATGAAGATCCCCAAAAATTCAAAGAAAGAGGCATGGGGCAACCTACATTGTAAAATAAACCAGGAGGGGAATGATGTCAGCAAAGCAGAGCTGGTGACTAGGTAGTTAGCGCCCTTAACGGCCGCATAATACGCCACGGATATCGTTGAAAGTGGGTCGGTAATGGAATCATCAGCCCTCCAGTAGAGACTCGAGCGGCCCACGAGCGATACGCCGGGGGGGCAGGGATCCAGCCCGATAATGGCTACTGGCTGTCAATTCTTCCGGATAGCATTTAGAAAAAATGCAATTCTTATCGCTCTCTCGCCACCCACGAGGCGTGATTAAGAGGTCGGTCCACCAAGGAACCCACATAGTCTCCGGTTGTTCAACACCCTGCCGAAGAACGAGGTGGTGAGATGATGACCACCTGATGACCAACCCCGCTACGGCACCGAAAGACTTTCCTTTTAGCCCATTTCTAATATATCCTTTCGCGCATCTTTCGTGGATTTTTCGGAAAGGAATTTCAAGCTCACGATGCCCTATTCTTTTGATGTTGTTGACTTAGGCGTTGAACGCATTTAAAATGAATAAGTGCACCACACATCCGATAGAGACATCAATTAGTTGAGTATCAACAGTTTTCATGGTGGACACCCATATATTCGTACAATTGTGGCCTTGCCGACCGGGCGCTCCTCCACCTGGCCTGCAGCCATTACCCGGCGGGCAAGGACGACCTGGTTGCCGCTTGCACAACGTATACCGGCAAGGAGGGGTTGTTGATCAGCGTAAGCCACACTTTAGTGCTCGATTGAGACAACATACCTCTTCCAGGGATTGTGTCGATTCTGCCGCTCCCACGACAGCAAGAAATCTAACGGCTGCCAAACCAATTGGCCACCGATCCAAGTCACTGACACCGACCATTTCTTCGTCATTCTCATTTTTCTGCATGGGTTGCATCATCGGAGATGGCAGAACAGTAAGATACGTAGTCTCAGACTGCAACGGAGAGCAGTCCACGCAGATTTAGGATAAATCGAGGAGCAAGCAACGATATGCGCAAGAGACAGTGGCAAGTCATCCACGAGAAAGAACCCTAACTGGCCGTCGACATAGTACTCATGCAGAGCTAGGATATCAACGCCTCAAACATTCCAATCTATCGATCAACCTTTGAGCATCTTGTCTCGGGTATCTTCGGGCAGCAACCATGCGAGAAGGACGGGTGCGGCGTGTTGCGATGGCCACATCCCCGCAATCTCCTAGGTGAGGTTACTCCCACACTCTAGCAAATGCCACGAAGTCGCTCGCCGTGGGAGAGAAGACCTAGCGGGTAGGTGGAGAACAGCAAAATTAAATAGAAAAAACTCAATCGAGCATATGGGAAGTCACAACCTAAGGAGTTTGTAGCCATCATTAATAGAACAATTACGCCACCCATAGCTCATGTTATGGTTCTCGGCGATTTATAAGATCCGTATACCTCGATGGGGATCTGGACGGCTATGTAACACTTTCAGTGCGATAACTGCGTTCAGGAAACTGCCTTGCTTGTAACTACGAGTGTCCTGCGGGGCTTTTATGCTGCATGCCAAGAGAAAGGAACTCAGCTAGTCCATGTCAAGTTTTCAAATGATTGGCTGGAAAGAAGTACAAAAAGCATAGCTCACCGATCAGTGGGTAGTGGGGCCGGCGTTAGTAGTGATAACACTAAGCCCCACCCAATGCGGTTACGGCAAACTTAAAACGGGGCAATCCGGTCAGCAAAGCTACCAGGAGTGTGTCATTTGTGGAAGGCACTTCCGCAGTCTCTGGTGACTCTGAAGTGGGCTCTGTCCATTTCAAAAACCGGATATGCCAAATCTCAAGCTACTGCTGGTTGGTCCACGTGTGGATCTCCAGGGGTATAGCAGGTTCCAGGCTTTCTTAACCTGGGTAGCCTTCTCTTTGCTCCCCACATATTCGTACATTTTTCATGCATAAATATACGATCCAGACCAAAGTGTTTCTCTTCGCCATGCCTGGATTTAGCCATTCCGAGCCCCTTGGTCTTTTTGAGTCCGAGTTCATGCGAGGAGGTGTAAAATTATGCAACTCGCACTCGACATCACATACTACGTCTCTTCACATACATGACGGTTCATCACGTAGTATATGTATATAAGGAGAAAGAGGCCGGTCATACTATATGGTTCCTGTTTGTTTTCGCAAAATAAAGAGCCGGAAATAACAGATATCTCTGCCAATGTTCCATGCAAGGCTTAACAACTTGTACTTTGCTTTCTAGAGGAGCCTACACGTTTTATTTTTATTCTCTTATTTCTTGAGCAACTTGCAGGTGGACATCAGAACGGCAAAAACAATGCCAGGGTGTGGCGAAGATTCAGGCCGCTTTTTTGGAAACGAAACGAAGATGGTGTTCACACTGGAGCCACCCACCACAATCCAACAGGGTGATACTTTCACTGTTTGTGTGAGTGTGGTTCTGGGTAGTTCATATTATCTTAGGGAAACACAAAGGCAAGCATTTGCTGTGAACATATCTCTCGTCGACGAATACAATCCATGCCCCAGAGATGGACTAAGAGGTAGCTTAACGTCTTGTCTACAGTTTCATCCAGGCTATCCTTCACACGGTTTTGCTGTGTTCAATTATATTAGCATCCACCGAATAGGTCTGCACCGGCTCCAGGTTTTACTGGGAGCTCTCTCGCCTACCGGAATGATGATCGAGGCACGTGTGGTCTCTAAAGTTTTCCACGCCAGTTTGGAAACGTAAATCCATGCAAATACAGCAGGCCAGGTTCCTTTGCCGCCTCGACTTCGAACCCGAATTCCGGTATCTGGCACTTCTTGGGCCGAGAACGCCCACGCCCTGCATCAGCTCTTGCTGGTACTAAACTACTTATTCGTTACTGCAATGCTTCCTGAGGAAGAGGGTGCCTTGTGGTCATCATATACCGTACTTCTCAGGACTGGGAGAAAGGCTTGGTCCTTCAATACAGTCAGTTGCAGCCTTGGCTCACTGGTATACGCGACGCTTTAATCGAATCTCAGAACTTGCATGCCATTTCATGTGAAGGCCTGGAAATGCAAATCCGATACGTTCTCTTTCTCCTCGGACAATATGCATCGAAAGAGCCTCGCTTTCTTCAGGCGTGCTTTGAAGAGCCTTGGTTCCCCTATCGACCTTTTGGGGTGGGAGCTAGTATCGCTCTGATATGCTACGCTTTCATGGACGTTGGTGCTAGTCACATACGGGGCTATGAGTCGAAGGAGATCTGGGTACACGACAAATCTCTCTTCTCTACCATGCTGGTAAATTTAAGAACGTCGCCAATATTCTCCTCTGGTCTCTCGATGGGGCAGCTGCAGTCGATCTTGATGAGCCTCCAAATGGCGTTCCAGAATGAAGAATTCCGGGTTGCTGCGGTGAAACCCCAAAGGATAAATGTCAGCAACAGCGCAGAGACGATAATTTATTACACCCACGCATTCCTATCATTAGGCCCGCTCCTTCTTTCAAGAATCTCTCTGGTCGCTTTAGGGATCAAGCCGTCCGCCAGCTGCACGATTCATGATTTGGCCACTACCTCTGCAAATGTGTTTTACAATAGGCATCCGATCAGAGATCTAGAAGAAGATTTCAAAAGAGTCCCTGAAGTTATGCGGTCAAAGCCTGATTGACTCATGGTCACAGAAATGTTAAAGCGTGGCAGAGAATTTCGCTGGATGAAAGTTCAGAAGAATTGTATATCAATGTCTTTCATGTTGCTGTAGAACCTACAGCAGAACACATAGCCTAAGGAGGCGAATCAAGTATACTGACTGGATCGTCAGAGACAAGTAGCAAATCTAGTCCTTTAATTCGAATAGGGAGGACCACTCCGAATTCGTTTGATCGTATCATGACCTAGAGAGTAGGCTACGGTAAAACTATCGGAACGGAATCATGATATACCGTGATTAGAGAAACTATGCCGAATCCGAGTTGATGGTATGGGCGGCCCCATGGCTATAATTAGCCCTACGCAGCCTGGAAGGTACTCGCAAAGGCTGTTCCGTGATGAGACTGAGGACCTGTTTCCACAATACCAACGTTTTGAATGTTTGCCTATCTACTGGGCTTGAGAGAGGCCGAAATGTGTGTTTGCGTAGAATCAGTTGCTGCACTGGCGATATTCCGTTCAATTCTCAACTGCATGGTGTTATGTAAATCATCACCGAATAGTTTAAGTTAAAAGTCCCTCACCATCCGAAATTAGAATTTACTGTGGAAAGAATAGCGGCTATTTTTCCATAGCTTAGTCTGAAGGTTTCTCTCTCACCATTATTTGCTTGCATCTAACTGCCATGATTTTCTTTTATAAAACTACACTACTCCCCTATACAAACCTTTCGACCGCCAGTCAGCCCGTTCCAGTTTCAGTGCAGTGCCTTACCGGCCCATTCTGATACTGGCGATTACGAAAGCATGGATCACGATGACAAGCCAGCGTATAGATATTCAAAGCTCCACCTCAATACCTTTCACCAAAAGCCCGTCGGTATGTGATATATCTTATTCCGGCTATAGCAAACAAAAAAGCTAATCTCATAAAGACAAGCCTCAACTTCCAGTGCAACGCTCCTCTGAAGCTTTTATGAACAGCTTTCCTTTCCTATATTCGAAAACCGAGGAGCTTGTCTGGAAATGGGAGCAGACAAAGCTCTGTGGCCAGAGTATCAACACTACCTTGCAGTCCACCATCATGCCACAGGATCACCCTTCCAACAGACCTGACAGAGCAAGCAAATTCGTTTCCATGCACAATGGAAGTGTTACCGTGATGCCTCCGGCCTACTTGACGAATCTGAGACCGGAGGAGTATCAGGTTGGATTTCTTCATGCAGGAAGCCTGACAGATATGAAGATTATTCTCCTTGGGTTGCCCAAATGGAAAAAGCCTTCCAAAGTCCGGGAAAGTATGCTTGGTTTTGAAAATTTGCTGGCTGGGAAAAGTTTTCCACTTTTCTATAACTGGTCAACCAAATTTTGGATCACAGATTCGGTCATTCTCGATCCACGATCAACCGATGAAATTGAGATGATCAGTAAGGGAAAATGGACGGTAAGTGGTCAAGATTCGAGGTACCTTTGCGCTGGCCTCCCATCAACCACGATGGGACCTCTTTTCAACACGCTTGTGACCTCGGGAATGCAAATCCAGCCTGCTTTGAGTATTCGATGGGGCTCATTTGGATTTATGTGTCGATAGATCCGAAGAACTTCGAGATAGAGCTTGACACCTCTATCGATACGTCGTGCAATCCCGTCGATTACATGCTAGAACAGATGGGAGAGAAGTCTTGGTTGGTTCAGGCAAAGCTAGCGATGAAGCTTGAGGGGTCCAGCAGGGTGAAAGCCGCCATCTCGGTTCAGGTTTTGGGCGTTTCTCAGGTGCGCGTCACTTCTACTCATAAACCAATTACTCATCAGTAGGATGTGTTTCAGAGCAAGGTGCCATGCTTTTCACCTGGGCCATGCTATTTGTGTCAAAGTATCTCTTCAAAATTCATCATCTTTCATGTAAAATCAAAGAATAATTGCGTCATTCGTGTCGCGTTGCCGCCGCACCGGAAAGACTTACCGAAGGGACGAATTGGTATATAGACTCGGCCACTGAGCAAAGCTGTACCTCCGTGCAATCTGTAATATCGACTGACTCGGTAGGTAGGTATATTCATGAAAGGCCCATTTGCAAGGCCTTTGCTGTATTTGCAGAAGACAGATTTCATTGCGTACCACCTATTTAAAACACAACAAGAGTCCTGGTCCGAACATTGTACAATTGGTAATCGTAAGAAAGGCAAGTATGTATTCAACGTGAGGATCCCTTGGACGCGTGCTCCGCAAATTCCCGCACCACGAACGTCCTCAGAGGCCCCCGAGTCCGTCGAATTTCATCACCGCTGCGACC